TATGTCCAAAACTGGCTGGGAAAGTCGCAAATGGCAATCGCATACCCCAGGATGCTGCAGCCATCATAAATACACACCAGTTGCCAAGTATCTTAATTTTGATTAATTACCACGGGGATATTGTGATGGTCATAAGTGTGAGAACCAATCAAAAGTCTTTTTTTTTTCCAGTGCCTTCATAACTTTCAACTGCCTAAATAAATGGTTGTCAGTCAAGGATCACCTGCATTTGATTGCAGCCTTGACGTACAACAGTTCATTTAGTGGCCATTAAAAGTTAAAAGGGCACTGAAAAAAAAAGGCTTATGACCATTTTTCAAACTTGTAGCATCCCCATGGTCACGTGATTTATAATTGGATGCTTGACAACCAACTCACATTTATGATGGTTCCAGTGTCCCTGACTTACTTGATCCCCTTTTGCGACCTTCTGACAAGCAAAGTCAATGGGGAAACCAAATTCACTTAACAACCATGTTACTAATTTAAGAACTGCAGTGATTCACTTATCAAACGTGAAAGAAAAGTTGTAAAACGGGGCAAAATTCTCTCAAATTTCTCACTTAACATAAATTTGGGGGTCCATTGTAATCATAAGTTGAGGACAACCTGAACTATATTGTATAGAACCTAGGAATTTTACTTCATAAAATGTGTTTTTTGGCTTGCCGTGTTGTACAAACCCAGACTATCATATCTTATTCAGCAAACCGTGGTTAAACAAACCATGTTGAAAGGTTTGTTATTTTACAGAAGCCACACTGATCTTCAGTATCAAACCCTTGCCTTATCTCCTTTCTATACAGCTAGAAAGAGTGTTTTGGAAAGCTTTAGATTTTATCTGGCAAACTACAACTGGACATATCAAGTGGCACTAATTAATGTAATTTCAGTAAATGATGGCACTTAAGTTATGTATTTTGTTATTGTGCTTTGATGGGTTTGAGGCTTGCACGATATATGAAACCAGCCCTTCTGATTTGTAAACCACGATTTATAGCTTAATTTATGAGAACCAGATTGCTGGTGACAGGCTCACCATGCACACAGTGCAAATATGGCTTACTCTCGCATGTGAATGCATCAAACCAAGACACCCTGACAAACTGTGATAAACTAAGAACTCATGTAGAAGATGGCAAATCCGTTCTCAGGGAAGGAAAGGGGCTTAACAGGGAATTGAAGCCTTTGGTTTAAGGTAACGGGAATACAGTCGTGAGGTTTTAATCCCCATGATTAAACAAGCAGATGTCTAATGGTGTTAGTGTCTTTTTCTACTCAGCAGTAAGCTCATTTCTTCGGAGTACAGAAATATTCGGTCAGGAGCCTCCAATGGGGTGGGGGTCCAAAAAGTTGAGTTGCAGTCACAGTCACTCATTTGAAACCCGTTGCCTTTTTTACAAGCTGAATATAAAAATGGGCAGGACTTGGATTGTTACAGAATCCCTCTTTGGCATAGGCATCCTCTAGGGCAGTGATGGCTAACCTGTTTGCCATCATGTGCCAGGAGAAGGGGGCGGGGGAGGGTCGCACGCGCACATGCCCACGCGCATGCGTGCGCAACCCCCTCCCCCCCCCGCTCCTGGCACATGATGGCCTGCTAGACCCGTTTTTCTTTCTTACCTGGTTCCAGATCCTCTCTGTGTATCTGGGAAGGGAGAAAACAGCCTTTTCCTCTCCCTTGGAGGCCCTACGGAGGCTGAAAGGGCCCATTTCCCAACTCTCGGTGGGACCGGAAGTGACATTTTTTGCTGTCCCCAGCCTCCAGAACCTCTCTAGGAGTCTGTGGGAGCCTCTCTAGGAGTCTGTAGAGCCTCTCTAGGAGTCTCTGGAGGCTCTCTAGGAGTCTCTGGAGGACAGCCTCCACCGGGAGTCGGGAAATGGGCCCTTTCAGCCTCCGTAGGGCCTCCAAGGGAGTGGGAAAGGCTGTTTTCGCCCTTCCCAGATACACAGAGAGGATCTGGAGCCAGGTAAGAAAGAAAAACGGGCCTTCCCCACCCCGCCCCCAGGCCCTCCAGAGGCAGGAAACAGCCTGTTTCCCTACTTCTGGTGGGCCCAGAAGGCCCGAAAATCAGCTGGCCGGTGCGCACATGCGCCCCAGAGCTGAGCTGGCATGCCCACTAATATGGCTCCGTGTGCCACCTGTGGCACGCGTGCCATAGGTTCGCCATCACGGCTCTAGGGTTTCTAACCTTGGCAACTTTAAGAGTTGTGGACTTCAACTCCCAGAATTCCTCAGCCAGCAAAGCAAAGCTGGCTGAGGAATTCTGGTAGTTGAAGTCCACAACTCTTAAAGTTGCCAAGGTTGGAGACCCCTGTTCTAGTATGCCCAAGACTTATGCAAATGATGTGGAGGGTGAGGGTTCAGAAGAGCAGAACAAGATACCCAAATGGGCCAAATAAAGGAAAAATAGGGAACTCATTGGATTAAGGGCAGAAATGTATTTTTTTGGAGAGCATCACCTTCTTTATTATGAGTGGCGCGGTGGCCTAGAGGTGGAGCTCTCACCTCACAATCAGGAGGCTGTGAGTTCGATCCTAGGTAGAGGCAGATATTTTTCTCTCTCTGGCCACAGTGAGAATATATCTACTGAAAAAAACTCAGCATTGGCGATGGGAAGAGCAACTGGCCAGTAAACTCTCTCAACTCCATTCAGTTGCCCACACTCCACCTCGCAAGGGATTATGGGGGTCATTAAAAGAAGATGATCACCTTCTTTATTATCTTCTTTGTGGGGGGAAAAATGGCTTTTGCCAAAAAGTAGGATGGGGAACTGGGGGGGGGAAACAGGGACTGTACTTAGCATTTGGGGAAGGGAGAGGCTGCCATGGTTAGAGCTGTGATTCCAACCTATGGGCAGAGCCATGAGCTGCTCTTTTCCTTTGGTTTGGAAGAGAAAGTTCCTTATTTCTTTCATGCCAGGTAAAGCCTGTATCAAGGTGTACATTTAACCCTCTGTGTTTGCCTGGATATGGCAGAGAACCAGGGGTGAAATCCAGCAGGTTCTGACACGTTCTGGAGAACCAGTAGTGCAAAGTTTGAGTAGTTTGGAGAACCGGCAAATACCACCTCTGGCTGGTCCCAGAGTGGGATGGGAATGGAGATTTTGCAATATCCTTCCCCCAGGAGTGTGGTGGGAATGGAGATTTTGCAGTATCCTTCCCCTGCCACACCCACCAAGACACACCCACCAAGACAAACCATGCCCACCAAGCCACACCCACAGAACCGGTAGTAAAAAAAAAATGAATTTCACCACTGCAGAGAACTGATTTTTTTTAAATGCTATTTCAAGAAGGCATTTGTTCCCTATCTTGTATCCTACCGTGACAGCTTTTTCTATTTGAATTATTGTAAAATATCCTGTCTGCTTATACTTTATTTCTCCTTCATGTAATGATTTTGATGAATGCTTTTTCTATAGGATTAGTGCGGGATTTTTTTCTGACTTCAGTCATTCCAAACTCCGTTATTCACCTATCTGTTTCTTTAATCATCAAACACAAACAAAATAAAGGCATTTTATGAAATAAAGGGTTTTAGCTGGTGTGCAGACTACAGAAATTTCCTGTAGGGAAATTATCCTATATATGGTTAATACGATCTAATGCAGATGCAAATATGATGCTTTTATCTACTATTTTTTAAAAAAACAGTAGCAAGACTAGGAATATTTTTTCTATTTCAGGGCAAAAAAAAAAAAAAAACACCACCAAAACTCAAAAAAAAAAAAAAAAAACCCAAAAATCCAACCCTCAAGAGTGTCTAAATTATTCTCTTTATTTTCTGTTGCTAACAGTTGTCTGATCCTCCTCAGGAAGCTTTTCCTTAATTTTGTAAGAATAAATGTTCCTCTCTTAGTCAAATAGACCAGAAGATATATTTTAAAGTATATTTAATTGATTAATTGCAGTATTCAAATATAATATAGGATTTGATTTCATTTATTCATTTGATTTTTTTTTTAACCAATCACGGCTACTTACATTCTCCACAGGATACATAATTTATAATATTGTAACAATAACTAAATCACAGATAAAATTACACAATTATGTTTCAAAAGCTATGAAAAAGATGGCAACATTTATGTACCAAAAGGGCTGTTACAATAATTTCCTGGAGCCTAGCAAAGTAGGAGGTGGCCAGGTTTGGTGAAGAAGTCAAGCAATTTCATCATTTTGGCATTACCTCAGAAAAACAAAATGGGAGACCCCTTGTACAGTAGTGGCCAAAATTGTGGAAACCTTTTGGGGAAAATGTGTTTTCTAAAACTAGCTAATAACACCACTTTTTTTTTTTGGAGTAGTACCATAAAATTATATATCAATGGAAAGATAATTTAATCAAGAACGTAATGCAATAACTTTTATGAAGGGCTTGCTATTAGAATAGCAGTTACAGTATAAAGAAGAAAAGTGAAATAGGTAGAAAAAACGAGATACAAAAAAATGATTACTGTATCAGTTAATACTTAGTTGGGTAACCTTTAGCATGAATTACGGCCTTACAACATCTTCCCATAGAGTGAACCAAGTCTTTTAATTCTGCAGCTGTTATAATGTGAAACCAAGATGGAATGATTGCTTCTATTAACTGGGTTTTATTACCGGGTCACTTCTGACTAACAAGTTTCTTTAGTCGGCTCCACAGATTTTCAATTGGGTTAAGGTCTGGGCTATTCCCAAATCATTCCAGCAGTGGAATAGGATTATCTTGAAACTCCAAAAAAAAAGTGGTGTTATTAGCCATCAAACCTCAAAAATACACTTTTCCCAAAAGGTTTCCACAATTTTGGCCACTATTGTAGATTTTTCTAGAAGCTGCAAATCAGGTAGGTTGAAGCTGAGTGAAAGAGATAGATTTTAGGGCCAGGCATTGTTGGTTGGGCTTCCTTTTTTCCCCATGTTATTCTTTACATGTGGGGTGAGTAAGTTTCGAATGCTTGAACTTTTACGTATTGAAAGTGAGTGCAGCTGATATTGTGTTTGTGTTTTAGATACTCAGAGAATCTAATAAATTAGCTGAAATGGAAGAGCCCCCCTTTGCTACCAGGAGAAACTATTAAGGACATGGGTAAGTGCAGCTATTTGTATTTTCTCGCCAAAGTAAATTGCAAGAGCCATGGACAGTCTCAATTTGACCCACAAGTAGTCCTCAGCATACGACCACAATTGAGCCCCAAATTTCTATTGCTAAACAAGACAGTTGTAAAAGTGAGGTTTGCCTCCATTTTATGGGCTTTCTGGATATAGTTGTTAAGTGAATCATTGCCGTTGTTAAGTGAGTAACATGGATGTTATGTGAATTGACTTTGCTTGTCAGAAGGTCGCAAAAGTGATCACATGACCCCGGGACACTGCAACCATCATAAGTACGTGCCAGTTGCCAAAGGATGCTGCAACGGTCATAAGTGTGAAAAATGGTCATAAGTCACACTTTTTAGTGCCGTTGTAACTTCGAACGGTCAGTAAGTGAACTGTTGTAAGTCGAGGACTACCTGTATAAGTGTGCCTGAATAAAAAGTAAGTACAAGTAGTCCTCGACTTACAACCATTCATTCAGTGACTGTTCGAAGTTACAGCGGCACATTTTTCACATTTATGACAGTTGCAGTATCCATACAGTCACATGAGCCTTAGGAATCATCAGATACGATAGATAGATAGATAGATAGTGTTATGGCCCGTCAGCAGCCTGTGCAGCTAGTAGCTGATTCCGACAGCGAGGAAGCTGGTGTGGTGCTGCGCCAGCAGCCTGTGCAGCTGGCACTCGAGTCGGACAATGAGGAGACTGGAGAAGATGTGGTGGCAGAGGCGGGGATTTAGCCAGGGCCTTCAGAACCTCCAGAAGCTTCACCATAAGTGAAGAGGAAGAAGAGGAGGAGCCTCTTCTCGATGCACGGGCGCGCAGAGCTGCCAAAAGGCAGGAGTGGCTCCTCAGGAGGAGGTCTCCTCGAGAGTAAGGCTTGGGGCTAATTGGCCACTCCCTTAGCTTATTTAAGGAAAAACGACAACTGAGGCAATTTGCAGGGAACAACCTCGTTCACTCTCCTTCACGTCTGGATCTTAGTTCTCTGCAAATTGCTTCTGGGCTTTCTGCCAACCATAGTAAGATTACGATTATTTATTCTTTGGATTCTTGTAGGTTGTTAAGAAAGTTAATTAACAGTCTTTGTTTGAAAAAGACTGATTTAATTTAGTAAACTAAGGTTTGTACAGACGTTGTGTGTGCTGCATTCTTTGGGGTGCATAGCTGGGACAGAACAGGTAGGTAGGTAGGTAGTAGGTAGGCAGGCAGGCAGGTAGGCAGGTAGAGAGAGGTAGAGACAGACAGACAGGCAGACAGACAGACAGATCAGGTAGGTAGATAGGTAGGCAGGCAGGCAGGCAGAACCAATACTTACATATTAGCATCTGCTATCAGTGTATACCAGTGGAAGGAACCTGTTTAAGACGTTCAACCAAAATACCTCTATGCTAGCACAGAGAAACCCAAATACCAATGATGCGTCAATGTGTACCTCACTTGGCCAACCCTCCACACAGTTACCTCTTATTTTATTCAGGCACACTCATATTCCTGAAAAATCTATCCTCTTCCAATTACAGGGAGTCTTTGACTTACGATCACAATTGAGCCCAAAATTTTTGTTGCCCTTCCATTTTATGACCTTCCTTGCCACAGGTGTTAAGTGAATCACTGCAGTTATTAAGTTAGTAACACTGTTGTTAAGTGAAACTGGCTTCCCCATTAGTTTTACTTGTCAGAAGAAGGTCACAAAGAAAGTGAACACGTGACTCCTGGACACTGCAACCGTCATAAAATACATGTGTTCGATTTTGATTACGTGTTGACCTAAAAAGTGTAGGATAGATAGGATAGAACTGGAAAACTGGTGAAACAAATGAAATGGAGTGGCTGGGCCTGTGTGTCAGATGAATTCCTGCTAGACATACTTGGCTTCAAGTCTTTGTTTATATGAATTCAGCTTCTAGCTGCGCATGGGGCTCATTAAAATAACTTTGCGGGAAAGTTTAAAGGTTAAGCATTTTGTCAGAGATTCCAGGGGAAATAATGTCAAACTGTGTGCCTCTCTCATTCTCAAATCTGTCCATAAAACAATCACGTCAGGCCATATTTATTTGTTCCTGCCACAAAGTTTAAAATCCTTTGTCATTCTCCCACATATTTCTCTGTACTACAAGACTGCAGAAGTAGTGAGAAGAAAATTCTTTTTGTTTTCTTCTTCAGACAGCATAAATCCAGAATTACTCTTTCACCTTAGAAAAATGGGGGGGCGGGGGGGCGGGGGAGAGATTTTAAACCGTATGGCAAACGGTTCCCTGTGGAAATATTTATAATACTTCTAATTTCTTTCGTAGCAAAAGATGTTACTCATATCTGCCCGTTTACCGGAGGTATTAGAGGAACGTTGACAGTTACAAATTACAGACTGTATTTTAAAAGCATGGAAAGGGTAAGACTTAATAAATTGCTTTTTTTTTTTACTTTTTCTTGTTTTTGATAGATACTCAGCTCTTATTTGAAGGGAGGGCACAGCTCAGTACATGTTTTGTGAAGCCATGATGGAATCTTCTGCCCAGCGGTGGGTTTCAGATAATGTTACCACCGGTTTGCCGTGCGTGCTCTCTTTGCACATGTGCGTACCTTCTGTGCATGCGCTCAACCTTCCATGCATACGATTTGCTCTCGCACACGCCTTCCGCACATGTGCCTGGCCTTGAAAATGTGGTTAAATAGGAAGGCATAACGCCGGGGCGGTGGGCAGGCTCCCCCGCGATCTCTGCTACTGGTTTGGGTGAACCGGTCTGAACCAGCTGAATACTACCTCTGCTTCTGCCTTTCAAAGTGGAGTTGAAAAATCTCACATTCTTATCTATGAAGTGATTTACACAACATAGCCTTCAACATGAAATAATCAGAACTAAAAAATTTATTGTTCGACAAATACTTAGATGCAGCATTTCTTTTTATCTAACATTATACTGAACTTTGGATGAAAAAGTCAAGCAATTTTATGCTTGTATCATTGACATCCTACATTTTAATTAATCTTGGTAGAATATTTCTTTCTCTTTATTTCCAATACTATAACTCAATGTTTCTCAACCTTGGTGACTTAAAGATGGGATGGGCTTCAAATCCCAGAATTCCCCAGCCAGCTATTCTGGCTGGGAAATTCCGGTAGTTGAAGTCCACCCATCTTCAAATTGCTAAAGTTGAGAAACACTGTTCTTAGTCATTATTTCTTAAACATTTTTTAAATCTCAGAATCCCTTTCTATTTTTAAAAAATTACCCCCCAAAAAGGACCCCCAAAGGAGCTTTTGCTTGTATGGGTTATGCTTATCAATATTTACCATATTAAAAATTAAAATGGATGCATTCTCTGTCTCTACATGTCTATGGAGATTCTCAATCAACTGGATTATGGTTTCACCAAAGGTGCTTTTTCCAAAAGGCAATCAGACTTCCTTGATTTTTTTTCTTTCTTTGAAAACGTTTTGCTTCTCATCCAAGAACCTTTTTCAGAACTGAAGAAGAAAAAAACCAAGAAAGTCCAGTTGCCTTTTGAAAAAAAAGCATCTTTGGGGCAATCTTTGCCTCTAACTTTTATTCTGATTGTTTGATGGGATTTTAATATTGGCTTATTTTCAGGGGTGGGCTGCTGCGGGTTCGTAGGGGTTCAGGAGAACCTGTAGCTAAGATTCTGTGCAGTTCAGAGAACCCCCAAATCCCACTCCTGGCTGGCCCCGCCCACCCCACCCTTCCTAGGAGTCTCCACGTGGCCTGTTTTGGATGCAGGTAAGTGCAGGGCATGTACGGAGGCTTGGGGAGGGCGAAAAACAGGCCTACTGGAAGTTTGGGTAATGTTTGGCCCATTTCCAGCCTCCAGAGGGCCTCCAGAGCCTGGGGAGGTCGTTTTCACCCTCCTGGAGGCTCAAGAAAAGCCTCCGGAGTCTAGAGAGGGCAAAAATGCCCCCCCCCCGCCGTGGTGCAGGAGATCAACTAGGCCACACCCACCATGACCATGCCCACCCAGCAACCGGGCAGAGAACCCCTTGCTAAAATTTTGAAGCCCACCCCTGGTTATTTTTCAACTTAGGTTGGCAAATAATTTTGATTTTGAGGACTGCAGAGAGAGCCCTTGGGGCTTCTAGGACCATGCTTTAAAAAACACTGCCCTAGGTTAACTAAATAATAGAATGTCAATGGTTTTTAATTGATATTGTATAAATATTATTTTATTTAAACAATATCATGTGTCAGCATTTACAACTATATAATGAAAAGGGGGGAGAGGAAAAACTCACCTGTGAAAACATTGGAGCGACATTGCCAGCAGCTTAGATAAATGTAGGCTAAATGAACCAGGGCTTGTACTGGATATTCATCAACTTCAAATATTCATTAGGACTGTAAAGCACTTTAGATTCGGTCTCCAAAGAGCAAGTCTGTTATTTCTTGCACAGTGATGGCAAAATTTATGATTGCCATAAGAAGGAGAAAAGCAAAGCTGTAATATTCATGTTTCCATACCATGCATGGAACAAAAAGCCACTTTAAAAATTACATTTTCTCATAGCTTGTATTTTTATAGATAATAGGCCTGGAGGAACATTGTCCATGGGGTCGCGATGGGTCAGACACGACTTCACAACTAACAACAAAACATGTGTTGAGATGGGCTGTAACAAAGGGAAATACATTTTGTGCTAAGTAGCCATTTAGGTGTTGGATTAAGCCTGGGGAGATCCAAGTTTATCCACTCTTGTGGAAATTTCCTGAGTGATTTTGACCAGTTTTTCTCTCTCAGACCACCATATTTCACAGGGAACTTGTTTTGGTGGTAAAATGAAAACAGATTCAATGTAAAACGCTTTGACTTCTCTGAGGAATGGTGGAACATAAAAGTAATAAGGATGTATATACTGTAGTATCTAATGCAGAGGTGCCAGATCCGGCCTGCAGGGTGTTTAGATCAGGCCCGGGAGGGGCACCCTGGAATCAGCTAAGGACCAATCTGCAGTGCCTCTGCCAGCGAAAATGGAGCTCCATTTTCGCTGGCAGAGGGTTGTAGGAGACTGTCGCAACCTAAAACGGAGCTTGGGAGCCTGTTTTTGCTGGCAGAGCACTTGGGCACCTCAGGCACCCCCAACCTGAGTGACGTTGTGCTGGCCACGCCCATACTGGCCATGCCCCCCCCCAGCCCCCACGAGGTCAAACACAACCCTGATGCAGCCCTCAATGAAATCAAGTTTGACACCCCTGATCTAATGCATTAATCTTAAAGGTATCCTCAGCTTTCTGAACATGTTTGTAAGTTTATTGCATGGCTAAGTATCAAAAAATCAAATCTTTAGCTCTGTTAGCTCTGTCTAACAATAATTCTTTCGTTTGGATGCTTTATTAATAAATTTCCATTTTTTCCAGAACCCTCCATTTGTTCTAGATGGCCCTCTTGGAGTGATTAACAGAGTAGAGAAAATTGGAGGAGCTTCTAGTCGTGGTGAAAATTCATACGGCCTAGAAATTGTGTGCAAGGTAAACTGGTTTATCAAGAATGGGAAGATATTGAGTTCATGATCCATATAGCATGTAATGGCTATGGCTTGTAACCTTCTTAATGGACTTCAGTAAAGCATGTTGTCAGAAAATTCATATAATCATAAAATGTAAGGGTTGTAAAGGACTCTGAAGACCATTTAATCCAACTCCATGACCAATTGAAGACTGGACTATTCTGGTTTTACGTTTTAAAGTATAATAATTTTAGATGAGGTTCATTGAAGTTAAACATTTCTTGAGTCTGGAGGCCATTGTCGCCTACATTCATGATTGAATGAATTAAATTTCATTTAGAGATTAGTGGCCATTCAAGTTTGTGGCTTTCTTGAAAACTGTTCATGGACACCAGATTAAGAATCTGGTGATTCAAAGTTCAAAATGATAGACTTGTGGTTTTGCCTCTTACAAAATAATTTCCTCTTCATGGCATAACATAGGACCATGATGGCAAACCTATGGCACATGTGCTGGAAGTGGCATGCAGAGCCATCTCTCCGGACAAGTGAGCCGTCGCCTGTTGCTCTTCCGGGTACCGGTGCACCAGCCAGCTGGTCTTCACATGCGCGGGGGCACCAAAAACTAGAACAGCAGCTGCCCGGTGCACATGTGTGCGCCGGAAGATTATCTTCTGGTTTCCGGCATGCAAATGAGCACCGACCAGCTGGTCTTTGCACATGCCTGCGCACCAAAAACCAGAACACCATCTTTCCAGTACACGCATATACACTGGATGGGTGGTCTTCCGGTTTCCAGCATGCGCATGCCCCCATTTCGGCATTCGGTGTCGAAAAGGTTTGCCAACACTGACATAGGAGGAATTTGGAAGCGATTGATAAAGTAATTTCTCAGCAAATGAATCAGTATGGCATGCTAACGGGCTTCTGGCAAGACCTCATTTTTTCCCCTACATTCTATAGGATGTCCGGAATCTTCGGTTTGCTCATAGACCTGAAGGTCGCACGAGAAGAGCCATATTTGAGAACTTGACAAAATACGCATTTCCTATGTCCAATCACTTGGTGAGTATTTGTTGCTAATCTGATAAACATCTTTTCCAAGGAATCCAGGTAGTCCTGGATTTACAACCACAATTGAGCCCAAATTTCTATTGCTAAGCAATGCAATTGTTAAGTGAGGGGTCCTTGGCAGGGGTGAGATTCTACCGGTTCTGGGAAACCGGTAGCTCTAACGATCAGCCTGGAGTGAACCGGTTCACTCTGACGATCAGCTGGGCCCGCCGGCCCACCTCTACGCTTTACTTACCTTTATCTTTGCAGCTGATTAGCACGGCCAAGCGGATTGCCGCACCTCAGCTGTTTTAATTCCCTAGCACTAACATGGAAGGTGATTTTTCATTGAATTGTGCACACGTGATCACCGAACCGATTGTTAAACCGGAAGGATCCCACCACTGGTCCTTGGTGCTCTCTGAACTTACTTGTTTTCTTGCAGACATTTCATTACCTTAACAAGGTAACATCATCAGTGCAATTGTTAAATGAGTTTTCCCCATTTTACCCTTCTTTCCACGGTTGTTAAGTGAATCACTGGAGCTTTAAGTTAGTAACACAGTTGTTATGTGAATCTGGCTTCCGCATTGTCAGGAGTTCCCAGAAGGTGATCACATGACCCCAGGATTCTGCAACCGCCATAAATCCATGCCAGTTGCCAAGCGTCCAAATTTTAATCACATAACCATGATAATACTGCAACAGTTGTAGATGTGAAAAACAGTCATACCTCCTGTTGTCAGCACGATTGTAACTTCGAACGGTCACTAAACAAATTATTGTAAATTGTGGGTTACCTAGACACTGTGGTTGTAAGATAAAAATGCAGGAAAGTGAAGGGATGTTGATCTTGGTGGGAGTTATTGGCTTTTTGAAGCCAATCTAAAAGCAAGGCTGTAATCAGGGGTGAAATCCTCTGAAGTCTGCTACTGGTTCTGTGAGTCTGCTACTGAGCGTGCGCTTCGCTAAAAAAGGAACATTTTTAAGCCTTCCGAGTCTGCAAAGGTAAGTAGAACAGCGAGGAGGGGGACTCCGCTGTGCCACGCAATTTAGATTAGCTAGAAAGCAGGAAATCCGACAATTCTAGCTAATATAAATTGTGCAGTCACAGCTGATCATCGCCCAGCTGATCGCTGGAAATACTGGTTCGCCCAAACTGGTAGCATTTTTTACTACCAGTTAAAGAGAACCGGACAGAACCGGTAGCATTTCACCCCTGGCTGTAATCCATTTCATGTTGCAAAAGAGGGAGACTCAAAGTTGAATCAGAATGTTCAAATATTTTTATTTCTCCATAATCGCTAGGATTAATCACTTTTCCCATAATTGATGGGGAGGATATGTGTGTCAAACATTCCTTTCTTTTAAAAACAGTCTGAAAGGGTAAAAAAACCTTTGGATTGAATTCAACTCCTGGTGCCCTGAGGGAAATATCCATGAGGTCTTCTCAGGCAACAGTACTGAAGTTTTGCCCCTGTCTTCTTCCAGGATGTTTTTTCAACTTCCCTTTCTAGCCTACAGCTCTAAGATTTCTTTACTGATCTCCCGTCAAAATGCAAATTTGATCTTATCCTGCTTGGCTTTTTAAGATCAATCAAGGCTGGGTGTGCACTACAACCATCAAAGGTGCTTTTTCAAAAGGCAACTAGACTATTTTTTCCCTTGAAGAAGAAGAAGATGTTTTGCTTCTCATCCAAGAAACTTCATCATTGATACAGCTTCAGTGCACCCCTTGAAAGTGCAAATCAGACAGGAGTTAAAGGGAGTTCAAAATTTCTCCACGTACCGTATTTTTTGCTCCATAAGATGCACCTGACGATAAGATGCACTCTCATTTTTGGCCTCCATGGGCCCCATTTTCAGCCTCCATGCGCCCCATTTTTGGCCTTTGTGTGCCCCACTTTTGGCTTCCATGCATCCCATTTTTGGCCTCCTTTGCAGAGGCCAAAAACGGGACACACAGAGGCCAAAAACGGGATGCACCGAGGCCGAAAACGGCGGACGGAGGCCAAAAATGGTTGAAACGTGTGGGCTGGCAAGTAGGCGGGGTTTTGGCAATATTCGCTCTATAAGACACACAGACATTTCCACCCACTTTTGGGAGACAAAAAAGTGCGTCTTATGGAGCGAAAAATATGGTATATCATTTTCAGGACATTTCTCCATACTGAAAACTATTTTTAAAGAGTGAAATTGATATGCCTGTACCCAGACATATAAAAGTGATCCCAGCCATACTTCTCTTGTTGCTTACCCTATTTGATGTAGGTTCAGGATGGTCACCCATCAGTCCAAGGTTAAGTACCATCCGTATGCTGATGATTCTTAACTGCAAACTGTCTTGATGTTTTGGAAGCTGGAAGGGATCCAGGCAGGGGGAGAACCCAGACAAGATTGAGGGTCTTGTGGGTATTTGCCCCCTCCCCCAGGATCAGATCAGGAGGAGATTTTTCAAGGCAAAAGGTATCAGAGAAGTACCTTCAATTCATCTATAATTAGTTCAGGGTTTTGTTTTTGTTTGCTTGTTGTTGTTTTTTAATTTCCATGCAAACTCTCAGAAAATCTAAGAAGCGCTCAGAAAATCTAAGAGCCGTGGTGGCACAGTGCTTAGAGTGAAGTACTGCAGGTTACTTCTGCTGATCACCGGCTGCCAGCAGCTTGGCAGATCAAATCTCACCAGGCTCAAGGTTGACTCAGCCTTCCATCCTTCCGAGGTGGGTAAAATGAGGACCCAAATTGTTGGGAGCAATATGCTGACTCTGTAAACCGCTTAGAGAGGGCTGTAAAGCATTATAAAGCAGTATATAAGTCTAAGTGCTATTGCTAAGTGCTATTGCTATTCAGCAACTTCCCTGAGAAAATTTAAAGGGATCATCAAGTTTGGAATGAATTTATCCATGTCTTTCCAGTGTCAACATTTCCTTGAAAGGGACAAGGGATCACCAACAGGAACCACTGATTTCTAGGACTCCTGCTAAGCTCAAGCCTTCATATTCAGGATGTAAACGCCCAAAGGTTTATCCCAGGAAAAGGAGTTCCTAGTGTCTCACATAATATTTTGTTAGGGAACTCTGTTTCTTTAGTGAAACTGTAAGCATGTTGGGACCTATGGTCCTCTTTTAATTTGTGAGCTTTCACGGTCAAGAAGATCCTTTGCAGAATCCTTCTCTTGATGAAACAAAAGAGAAAGTGGGCAGTGATGATTTATGTGCCGTGGCATGCATTAAAAGTTTGGGGGGGGGGGTTGTGCCTTTTTCATCATTTCGCACTAATCTAAATGGGAACTGTTGATTGTTCCCTAGTTATAGATCCCACAATTAGCATTAAGTTCCATGTCACTCTAAACCAGAGGTCTTCAAACTTGGCAGCTTTAGGACTTGTGGACTTCAACTCCCAGAATTGTGGACTCCAGCTATGCTGGCTGGAGAATTCTGGGAGTTGAAGTCCACAAGTCTTAAAGCTGCCAAGTTTGAAGACCTCTGCCCTAAACAAACAAAACACCATCTGGAGATCATCACTTACCTAGAGGGCAACCCTGTGCAAAACTAAGAAATGCAGCCGTATAATACTGCTCTGAAAAACCATTCTTATTAACTTTCTCCTTAAGAACCCTTTATTTCTTCCCTACCATTTTCTTGGCAGTTTCATAGATCAGAAAATAAAAGGAATGTGGATAAACATATATTGATCTGCTTCCTATAACAGATGCACGTTCTGGGGCTCTCTGCCTTTCTTTTGTGCTTTTATTAAGGTACACGGACGAAAAAGGCTGCATGGGAATAGTTATTTGAAATTACATATAAAAATGGAAAATGCATTCCTAAAGAATCTCTCCATTTTTTTTAAGCCTCTGTTCGCATTTGAGTATAAAGAAGTTTTCCCAGAAAATGGCTGGAATGTTTATGATCCCATTTTGGAGTACAGAAGACAGGTGAGTCTCACTATTCCACGACTGATTTTCATGTTTTGCTCTCTAGCAAACTATCTTATTACAAAATTGCTGGCTGGAAGAACTTCTGATGCAGGGCTTGGGAATTCTGGGAGTTGAAGTTCACACATCTTAAAGCAGCTAAGGTTGGAAAACATTGTTCTAATGGGGTAGTCAAATGAAAACAATTCCCACGTAAGTTGTCTGGGCCAGATAAATCTAAATCATAGCATATCATGTGGTTATCCAGGAAAAGCTGCAGCAACAATGCTGCATCTGCAGAATGATTAGCACTGCAGAGGATGTGAAATATTTTTGTGGATCAAAAAAAAATAAAAATAAAATAAAAGGCCATCTTATATATTTACAAAGCAATCTGCTGTCTTTATAGCAGAAGGTGATTTCCATCCCCCCCCCTTTCTCGGTTGCTAATTAAAAATCTAGAAGTAAAACTGGTAGAAAGAGAAATCTGCCCTGCAAAGTAGACAGTGAAATGGGTTTGATTTGTCCAAATTATGTAAATATCTAATTTCTAGAGATTGGTATCCAGACAGAGGATCTCCTCCCCTCCCCTCTCCCCTCCCTACTCCTCTCTCCTCTCATTTCTGCCTTTTCCGCTCATCTCTCTCCTCTCCTCCCTTCTCCCCTCCCTTTTCCTCTCTCCTCTTCTCTCTGCCTTCCCCTCTCATTTCTCCCTTTCCCTCCCCTTCCTACCTCTCCCCTTCCCTATTAAAATCTCCTGAACAGCTTCTCTTTCCTATGTAGGGAATTCCTAATGAAAGTTGGAGAATGACTAGCCTCAATGAGCAATATGAGCTTTGTGATACCTATCCTGCCCTTCTGGTAGTTCCAGCCAATATTCCAGATGAGGAGTTGAAGAAAGTGGCTGCGTTCCGGTCAAGGGGCCGTATACCTGTAAGTATGGCACTAGCAGTATGTCTTCTGTGGATTGGTGTCTCCCAAATGGGTTGGGCTGCATCCTTCACCAAGTGGATTTTCCAGGGATGGGTGGGTGGGAAAGATCATTAAGAATCCTTTTACAATTTATGGACATCATTCATCCTAGCAGCAGAAATACTTCAGATTGCAGTTGCTAAGGTTTGATTCAGAATAGTTAAATATAAAGCCATGCTATTCAGTTATCTTCTTTGGAATGGAATGGAATGGAATGGAATGGAATGGAATGGAATGGAATGGAATGGAATGGAATGGAAGAATAGAATAGAATAGAATAGAATAGAATAGAATAGAATAGAATAGAATAGAATAGAATAGAATAGAATAGAATAGAATAGAAGAGTTGGAAGCGACCTTGGAGGTCTTCTAGTCCAACCCCCTGCTTAGGCAGGAAACCCTGCATCACTTCAGACAAATGGTTATCCAACATCTTCTTAAAAACTTCCAGTGTTGGAGCATTCACAACTTCTGGAGGCAAGTTGTTCCAGTGATTAATTGTTCTAACTGTCAGGAAATTTCTCCTTAGTTCTAAGTTGCTTCTCTCCTTGATTAGTTTCCACCCATTGCTTCTTCTCCTGCCCTCAGGTGCTTTGGAGAATAGCTTGGTTCCCTCTTCTTTGTGGCAGCCCCTGAGATATTGGAACACTGCTATCATGTCTCCCTTAGTCCTTCTTTTCATTAAACTAGACATACCCAGTTTCAGCAACCGTTCTTCATGCGTTTTAGCCTCCAGTCCCCTAATCATCTTTGTTGCTCTTCTCTGCACTCTTTCTAGAGTCTCCACATCTTTTTTACATCGTGGCGACCAAAACTGGATGCCGTATTCCAAGTGTGGCCTTACCAAGGCATTATAAAGTGGTATTAACACTTCACGTGATCTTGATTCTATCCCTTGATCCACTCTTGATTGTTTTTTTTCTTTCTTTCCGTTCTTGTCTTCTACCAGGTCCTATCATGGATTCATCCAGAAAGCCAAGCCACCATCACTCGCTCCAGCCAACCAATGGTTGGAGTCAGTGGCAAGAGGAGCAAAGAAGATGAAAAGTATCTTCAGGCTATCATGGATTCCAATGCCCAGTCCCACAAAATACTCATCTTTGATGCCAGGCCAAGTGTGAATGCAGTAGCAAACAAGGTTGGACTGTCATACCTTTTGCAACAAGTATTTCAGCCTGTTCCCACCTAGCAGTTTCCAGTACTGTTACTCCTTGACTTACAACCGCAGTTGAGGCCAACATTTCTGTGACTGTTAATTTTGCTCCATTTTATGACCTTTCTTGCCATAGTTGTTAAGTGAGTCACTGCAGTTGTTAAAGTCCCAAAGATGCTTTCTTTCAAGAGGCAACTGGACTTTCTGGTTTTTCTTTGAAGACGTTGTGCTTCTCATCCAAGAAGCTTCTTCAGCTCTGACTGGATAGTGGGGAACGGAAGGATTTATACTCCTTGCAGACAGCTAGTCATTTGCATCCTTTTAGCGAGTTGTTAAGGTCACCTGGAGGTTTATCTGTGTCATCAGGGTCACCTAAGGAGTGCAAATGGGTGTGGAGCCTTCTTGGAACTGCTGAGAGGACTGTGTTGTAGTCTGAAGATAGATGATGTCGTATCCCTCCCCCCTCTGTTGAGAAAGGGCTGTTCAATTTTGTCATAGATGGCCTCTTTGACCCCTCTTTCAAACCAGTGGTCCTCTCTGTCCAAAATGTGGGCTTTACTGTCTTCAAAAGAGTGGGCTGAGTCTTTTAAAGGCAGATGGACTGCTGAATTTAGTCCTGATGGGTTTGTTCTCCTATGTTGTGCCATGCGTTTATGAAGTGGTTGTTTTGTTTCCCCCAATGACCTGAATGACTGAGAACATCCATAGACAGCATGGTTCTTAAATGCATGCTTTTTAAATGAATCTGGCTTCCTCCATTGGATTTGCTTCTCAGAAGTTCACAAAAGCTAATCACATGACCCTAGGACACTGTAACCAACATAAATACATACTGGTTGCCAAGAGTCCAAATTTTGTTACCGTGGGGATGCTGCAACAGTTGTAAATGTGAAAAGCAGTCATAAGTCACTCTTTTCAGTGCCGTTGTAACTTCAAACGGCCACTAAATGAATGGTTGTAAGTCACGGATTACCTCTACTCTGCTTCTCCCCACCTTGAAGTAACACCCTCAAGTAGGTAGGATTCAAGGAATAGGATCTCATTTCAGTCTTCGCAACTTTGGCTTATTGCTGTGCAGGTCTGAAACTGCTCAGGGGTGTCAAACTCCTTGAGGGCCACATTAGGGTTGTCTTTGACCTCAGGGGGGACAATGGGGGCATGGCCAGTTTGACATCACTCATGTCGGGGGCGCCTGTGATGGCCCAAGTGCTCTGCTAGTGAAAACAGGCTCCCGAGCTCCATTTTCAGCTGTGACGGCCTTCTGCAACACTCTGCAAGGGAAAACAGAGCTCAGGAGGGCTGTGGTCGGCTTTCCTGAACTCCGTTTTCGCTAGCAGAGGCAACGCGGGCTGGTCCTTCACTGCTTCCAGGGCAGCCCCGCGGACCAGCTCTAAGCACTCCACGGACCAGATTCAGCTATCGGGCCTTGAGTTTGACACCCCCTGTTTTAGCTAGCTCCAAACAGCCCCCGTATTCACTGTCTTTGCAGGCTAAAGGAGGAGGTTATGAAAGTGAGGACGCCTATCAGAATGCCGAATTGGTTTTCCTGGACATCCACAATATCCACGTCATGAGAGAATCACTGAGGAAACTGAAAGAGATTATATATCCTAACATAGAAGAGACACACTGGCTGTCGAATTTGGAATCCACTCATTGGCTGGAGCATATCAAGGTCGGTTGATGGGTATGCTGTGTCTGTCTGTATTAGGCCCCAGAGACCCTTGGGAATGGGTGCCCTAGATAAATAAATGGGTGCCCTAGATAGATAAAATAAATAAAACGTATTGTGATTGTGTGTCATCGGCATGGATTGATAGCAGCTGTTGCTACTGGTAAAGGTTTTCTACTATCCAGGAGCAGAGTCTGCATTTCATGCTTGTTGGCTGCAGTGATAAACTTTCCCTTCCTTCTAATGAATAATTGCTAATTGGAGCTCTGAGATATTGCTTCATATCTGTTCTCAGTCCAAACAGAAAGGAGGACATCTGACATGTATTCCAGACAGAGATCTTATTTTCAAATGAAGCAGGCAGTTCTGATGATGTTCATTTTCTCTCATTCCTACAGTGAAGGGGGTTAGTAGTTTGTCTGATTTGTAAAGAAAGGAGAGAATAAATCTGCCGAGCATGACACTTTTGCAAGGAGAGAGTTGGACTGAGGACATGAAGAGGGCAAAAGTGGCCTTCTAGTGCAGGACTTGGTAACTTTAAGGCTTGTGGACTTCAACTCCCAGAATTCCAGACAAGGAACAATGGATGGAAACTGATCAAAGAGAGGTTTAACCTAGAAATAAGGAGAAATTTGCTGACGGTGAGAACAATCTGCCAATGGAACAGAAATTGCCTTCAGAAGTTGTGGTTGCTTCATCACTGGAGACTTTCAAGAAGAGACTGGACTGCCATCTGTCAGAAATGGTGTAGAGTCTCCTGCTTGGGGGGGGGGGATTGGAATAGATAACCTACAAGGCAGGAGTAAAATGCTCCCGATTCGGACCGGATCGCCCGATCCGGTAGCGATGGAGGCAGGTGGCAAAAATCGGTAGCAAAAATCCCTGCCCCCACCCCCCATGCCCAGCTGAGCCGCACAATCATCAGAGGCTTTTTCTTTTAATTTTTAAAAGCATTTTTTCTACAACCTCTTTGGCTGAAAAAAATGCTTTTAAAAGTAAAGTGTTTGTCAGTTTTAGTATATATGTATATTTAGTATATTTAATATATATATGTAATTTAGAATTATATCTTCTTTTTTAGAGTTAAGAACGTTTTGTACAATCTTTTATCTCTTTATATTGAATAAAGTTTGTTTTTAAAATAAAAAAAAATAAAAGTAAAAAAAAGCCTCTGATGATCCCACGGCTCAGCTGGGATCGTCAAAGGGATCGTCAGAGCCTTTTGAAAGCATTTTTTTACAACCTCTTCGCCGAAGAGGTTGTTGAAAAAATGGTTTTAAAAGAAAAAAAAATTGACCATGCCCACCCAGTCACATTACCCACCAAGCCATGCCCACAGAACTGGTAGTAACAATTTTAGATTTCACCACTGCTGCAAGGTCCCTTCCAAGTTGTTATTCTAAGTTCTAATTTCCCAGCCAGCATGGCTGGATGGGGAATTCTAGGAGTTGACGTCCACAAGTGTTAAAGTTATCACTAGACCCCTATTCTAGTGGCAATCTGGAATGATTTGCAATCTAGAGTTGCCTTCTGCTAATTATTTGATTTCTTTCAGCCTACTTTCCACCTGTTTTATGCAAAGGGGAGGTACTTGTAAAATACAGCAAAAGCTCATTTAACCGGATCTTGACTGATCAGATTTTGCATGCATCAGACTGAACTTCTGCTGCAGTTTATATAATTGTAAATCATGAAAATGACATAAATTCACCCAAATGGTGTGATTAACATTATTTGCATGATTTGTTTATTTGTTTTTTTTGCACTCGTGTCTGAAGCACCAAGGCGCTTCTGGGTTGAAAGCAGGGGTGAAATCTAGCAGGTTCTGACAGATTCTGGAGAACCGGTAGCAGAAATTTTGAGCCGTTCAGAGAACTGGCAAATACCACTCTGGCTGGCCCCAGAGTGGGGTGGGAATGGAGATTTTGCAATATCCTTCCCCCAGGAGTGGGGAGGGAATGGGGATTTTGCAGTATCCTTCCTCTGGAGTGGGGTGGGAATGGAGATTTTGCAGTATCCTTCCCCTGCCACGCCCACCAAGCCACACAATGCCCACCAAGCCACGCCCACAGAACCGGTAGTAAAAAAAATTGGATTTCACCACTGGTTGAAAGGATTAGTCAATGACATCATCATTGTCCTGGGCACACCTAGTTGAGGGCTTCTTTCATGTCCTCAGCCGGAGCTGGAGTGAAGGAGGAAAGCTCACCCTGCCCCATGGCAGCTCTCAGGTCTCAAACACGCGATTTCCATCCTTCTGCCCAGAGTTCCAACCAATAAAGCCACTGGGCTCCAAATTTGCATGATGATGTCATCACATAAATTAGATAAATATTCACGATAGTCCTGTCTCTGATTCAGCAGGCATTCTTGAATAATGACTACCTCTTATCCAATTTATTCATTTATCAGATTAAATAGCTGCTCATCTCACAGATACGTGGTACCTTGCTCAGTAGTAGTAACTGTGAGAGGGATCTTTTGAGTCCTAGTGGACAAGCATTTAAATATGAGCCAGCAGTGTGCAGCAGCTGCCAAAAAAGTCAACACAGTTCTGGGCTGCATAAACAGAGGGATAGAATCAAGGTCACGTGAAGGGTTAATACCACTTTATAATGTCTTGGTAAGGCCAAACTTGGAATACTGCATTCAGTTTTGGTCGCCATGATGTAAAAAAGATGTTGATACTCTAGAAAGAGTGCAGAGAAGAGCAACAAAGATGATTAGGGGACCTATTCTATTCTATTTATTCTATTCTATTCTATTCTATTTATTCTATTCTATTCTATTCTATATGACTGGTTAGTGTACAATAAAACAAAAATAAAACAATTAAGCACTAATGCAAAAAAAAAAAAAAAACAAGGGAAAATGGACCAGCATCCTACACACCATCTATTAAAACAAAGCTGCACCATAGATAGTATGTACCATGTTTTCTAGAATTCAGCTTTACAGCCGTTGACTTCTTATAATTTCTGGTAACTCAATTTGCATATTTCTGTTGGAAGACTTTGAAATTTCCATGAACCTGAAAAGTGTCCATGCCCATAGGTGGAAAATGGTGGCCACCAAGTGTTCTTGAACTACAGTTGCCAGCCAGGATCCCTGTTGGTGAAGCATCTTGAGCAGGGGTGTCAAACTAGCGTAGTCATGGTTTCGTCATGTGACCTATCGGGATTTTTTCCCCCCTTCGCTAAACCGGGCATGGACATGGCCAGCTCGTGACACATTCTGCCCACAGGCCGCAAGTTTGACAGTCCTGATCTTGAGGACTGTTTTGGGGTCTTAAGACAACTTAAGCTTTTTATATATGAATCTGATAGAGCATACCAGTATTATATATGTTAAATCCCATTACTCAGTTAAAATGCACCAACAAGAAAGAGAAAGTTTTCTTTATTAGAAGCTTCTTTTAACAGCAATCACTGGATCTGTTCCACATGCCAATGTCTATTTATTTACTGTATTTATTTATTAAACTTGTATGTTGTCTTTCTCACCAGAGGTGACTCAGGGCAGTTTACAGTCATTGAATAAAATGTTGTGTAAAACATTAGAACAATAAATACAGATCTTAAATTTAAACATTCAGTTAAAAATTCAATTGTGTCACTATAGCCAATGAATGACTGAGGATTGAAGGTAAAATGTTTTACAGCTGTAGCTTCTGTCAACCTGTTCTAGCAAAGGCAATGTGACCTGAGCTAATTAGCCGGAAGAGAGTTTTATTAATGTTTACACAGGTTCCATCAAGCAAATTCATGATATTCGCTGATTGGCAACGGTATTTGCATTACATAGAATGCAGGGACCTAAAAAGCTGCAAGTGAAAAGTTACAGATCAACTGATTTATCTTTCCTTTGTTTTCCACATGACTCATTTCTTTGTCCTTTGCATCTACGTGACCGGGTCTACTTTCTAATAGAACTGATTTATATTTCTCTACAAGAAATATAATATAAGAAAACAGTTGGGACAGTCTCATAAAAGTGGAAGGGACAGTGACCTCATGTCGCATTGTCTTTGCTAGAATAGGTTGACGGAAGCTACGGTTGTAAAACATTTTAGGTTGAGTCCTTAGTCATTCATTGGCTATGTTCACACACAATGATTGAACAAGGTCACTTAGATCTGACAGTGCATTTTCATAATTTGCAAATCTTGGTTTTAACATTATTGGTTCTCCTTTTTTTAAAATATTGTGCTGATTCTGTTTAGTACTTTAAGATTCAACATACCATGTAAAGCCAAAACATAGGGTGATACCATAACTAGGTTAAGAGTGTGATGTAAACCCATTAACTTATATAATTTAACTTAGATATGTTTTTGTTGGGGCTATCCCAAAGATGCATAATAATGGATAGATTCTTCTATCCAATTCCAATGGCACAAACTGAAAATTGCAAATGGTCTTTATAGCAAATACGATCCAAAACATCTAAGTAGCAAAGAAGTACCTTTCCTGATTTATTTTATGATTAAGCACGAGTACAAATACAGTGTGTCGTGTGTTAAAATAATATGTATGTAAGCCTTAGCAAATAAATTGGGATATATTCTATGAAATATAACAGAACTTTGAGAACAGAAGGTGGTTGCCTTCTTATTGAATGCATGCATCAACATGAAGGTATGGAAAAACATTGAAATATCCCTTGCTGATTTTTCCATTCTGCTCCCATCATGTAGAGATATTAGTTTGGGCTCTTTTAAGGTGAAGGTGATGGATGGAGCCCAATTGTTCTCTACTTCTATTGGAGATAAACAGCACAATCACAAAATGCTTTTTTTTTTTTTTAACCCAGCTGATTCTCGCTGGAGCTCTTCGGATTGCTGACAAGGTGGAATCAGGGAAGACCTCGGTAATTGTACATTGTAGTGACGGTTGGGACCGTACTGCTCAGCTCACCTCTCTGGCCATGCTCATGTTAGATGGTTATTACAGGACAATACGAGGCTTCCAAATGCTGATAGAGAAAGAATGGCTGAGTTTCGGGCACAGATTCCAGCTGGTGAGTGTGATTATTTTTTTGGTAGAACATCAACGGATTTTGAAACTCAGTTTCTTAACAATAGTATCAGCAGAAAGAGAGGATAATATTTTTCTGGGTTAAATCGGTTTCCAGAAAAGCCAGAATAAGGATTTTTTGGGGGGGGGGTGCACTGATTCACAGTTAGTATTTTGTTGAATTCTTGTGCTGAACATAGTCTGTTTTCTCTGTTCAGAATGCAGTATTTCTTTTTCCTTAGCTATTTCTTTGCATTTGGCCCATTACCTGATCTTGTAAACAAACATACAAGTGGAATTCTGTATCTTGATTTAAGATTATGAATATGCACTTAAAAACTGGCTGAGGATTGCTGATCACCACTCAGACATAATTGCAAGAGACTAGAAAAATTCCACAGCTTACTGTGGAGGAATAGAGCGCAATAGTTTTCATGGGATGATGCCAGGGGTCTTTGACGACTATTGAAAACCAAAAGTGATTATTTTTCAACCTAAACTCTCACAAACTACCATAACTGGAAAAAGTGAAGAAGAGGGCAATCAAAAAAAGCAAGGGCCTTGAATACTTTTCCTACAAGGAAAAGCTAGGATATTTGGAATTGTAATACAGGGAAAAAATGAAGGATGTCAGGAAATTATACATAGCATGGAGAAAAAGAATAGCATGAAGTTTTCTCATCCCACAAAATGTTTAGACCGTATCCAGTGGAACCAAATAGAAGATTTAAAACAAAGCATTTTTTTCCAAACAGTATGTAGTTTGGATGTAGAATTCATTAATTCTAGGTGTGATTAATTCTAGGTGTAATTGATGACATGGATAATTCTAAAAGGAGATTGGATAAATTGGTGGGGATGAGTCTATCAGGAGCTATTTTGATAGAGTCAATCTCAACACTCAATGTTGAAGATTCTTGTTACTTGAAGATGGGGGTCAGCATGCCCAAAATACCAATTGTGAAGAAACAACATGGAAGAGAATTGTGTGTTTTCTCCTTATGAGAACTTCAGGAGGCTTCAGTTGGCCACTAAGAAAGACAAAATGCTGAATTCAGATGCCTAATTAAGGATACTTCATGTTATTAGATGAGGATGCAGGGTGAAAATATTTACACTGTAAGAAATCCACAGTGAACTTTAAATGGACAGAGTGGAGAGAGAGAAATTTTAAAAATTGCTCTTTAATTGTTCTTCAGGCTGCAAACCAGGAATTGGGGCTCCACCTACAGGCCTGTTAAGTTGCTTGCTTTGGTTCTCTATGAAGAGGGTAATTGTCTTAGGTTGGTGTCACTGTGTCTCTTGTGTTTTTCCTTCTACTTTTTTCTTGTTTCAGAGAGTTGGCCATGGAGACAAAAACCACGCTGATGCTGACCGATCTCCTGTTTTCCTACAATTTGTGGACTGTGTCTGGCAGATGACGAGACAGGTATATTTTGGGGACAGCAAAGAACCCCAGAAATAATATTCCCCTGTTTTTGTTGTCGAGCCAATATAAAGTCAGTGTGTCACTGTTTATGGGTAGCAAGGGCCAAGAGGTTGCAGCTCTGTCAAAAAATACTTCAGTGGGCAACAAGCCTCTGTAAACTCAATGGGTCTCAGTGCTGAACATATTCTCCATTCATACAGGTGGTCCTCAACTTACAATCACAATTGAACCAAAAATTTATATTGCTAAGTGAAAAATTTGTTAAGTGAGTTTTGCCCGCAATTTACAACTTTTCTTGCCACATTTGTTAAGTTAATCACTGGTTGTTTAGCGACTCTGGTTTTCCCCATTGACTTTGCTTGTCAAAAAGTCACAAAAGGGGACTCCAGGACACTGCAACCGTCATAAATGTCAATTGTCAAGGATCCAAATGTAAATCACGTGACCATGGAGATGCTGCAATGGTCATCAGTGTGAAAAATGATCATAAATAACTTTTTTCAGTGCCATTCTAACTTCTAACGGTCACTAAATGAACTGTTGTAAGTCAAGGTCTACTTGTACAGTAACCCCCCTTCCTAGTGACACTCTCCCCATGCCTTGAGCATTAATCAGTCATGCTGAGACAAACAGCAGAGGGCTTCTTTTGATATTACAGCATTTTCCCCTATCCCAAATGACGTTCCTTGGATTGAAAAAAAACAGGAAATCTCCAAGCCAAAGTTTGCATGCAGAACTTGCATTTGTTTTTGTTTTTTTGCAGATTTGGTCTGGTTTGTAAACCACATTCCCCTGGAGCAGGGGTCGGCAATCTTAAAAACACAAAGAGCCACAAAGGCCCTAACCGGAAGCTCCCCGTTTAATTCTGGAGCCAACCGGAAGACTGGTTCCCCCCACCATAGAGTTTCCTCCTAGCATGGCATTCTTTTTCCTCTACCTATCCTAACCGAAAGCCCTATCAATTGTGGAGCTGACCCCTGCCCTGGAGGCTCTGAGCTGGCCCGTTGAAGCATGTGCCCTCAAAAACTTGATTTTTGAAAGAACACAGGTCCTGAATGTGAGGGGGGAAAGATTTTCACCAGAATAACATAACCTTATACAGTATTTTAATACAGGGGTCTCCAAACTTGGCAGCTTTAAGACTTGTGAACTTTTAACTCCCCAGAATTTGGCTGGGGAATTCTAGGAGTTGAAGTCCACAAGTCTTAAAGTTGCCAAGTTTGGAGGTTCCTGGTTTAACACAAGGTGTTCTTTGCCTTCTTGGAACTTGAATTTGCTGACTAATATTCAGGTAGCTTCATATTGTACTGGCAATCATTGTTTATTATTTCTCCCAAGAGCAGCAGTTTCAAGTGGGCTAATATCATGTGTGAAGAATCAGAAATACACGTTAAGTTCCACCTAACTGGGTTTATTTCTCATACCTATACACAAGAATCTAATCAACTAAAGGTCAACACTAAATTGGCGCTAGATAAGAGTTAACAGAATTCAAGGGAGGTTGGTCTTGTACGGCGTGGGCTGCTGAGGGTTCGCAGGGGTTCAGGAGAACGTCTAGCTAAGATTCTGTGCAGTTTGGAGAACCCCCAAATCCCACTCTTGGGTGGCCCTGAAAAGTTGCAAAATGGGGCAAAATTCATTTAACAACCATTTCGCTTATAGCGGAAATTTTGGGCTCAATTGTGGTCGTAAGTTGAGGACTACCTGTAACTAAAGGCTGCAGAGAAGATTCTGAAATGCCAAATGGAGGCTACAATTAGCCCAGTTGTAGTCTTCACTCATTAGCAGCAAGTCTTTGGGGTTTTAATTGCAATTTTCTGCCAGCTGTTCCTCTAGACAGTCTCTACTCTGTCAAAAGCTGTCTATAGGCCTGAAGACAGTCTTCTTTTCATTGCTGGTTGTTAGTCCACATTTCTGGATAGCATATACAAAACAGGTATTTCTTATTTTTTAGAGATAGTTACATCCTTTCCTAAAGGAAAGGGATGCTGATAGTAACACTGTTTTTTTCCCCACCAAGTCTTGGAAGTAGGATAATCTCTTTTATGTTATCACTATGCACATACACAAACACATATATATATACACATCCCAAACGTGCTTTTTCAAAAGGCAACTGGACCTTGAAGCTTTTCCTTGAAGAGGCTTTGCTTCTCATCCAAGGAGCTTCTTCAGTTCTCATTCTCCACCATTCAATTAGAACTGAAGAAGCTTCTTGGATGAGAAGCGAAACCTCTTCAAGGAAAAACAAAGAAAGTCCAGTTGCCTTTTGAAAAAGCACCTCTGGAACAACCATGACCTGGATGACACACACATACACACTTCTCCAATATAATTTTCTGGCAGGAAAATGCTCTTTCGAGTGTCATGTGAGAAATATCCAGTGTAAACCTACTGTAATTTTTTTCCTTACTACCCTCCCAAGTTTCCCACAGCTTTTGAATTCAACGAATTCTTGCTCATCACCATCCTTGACCATCTCTACAGCTGTCTCTTTGGGACCTTCCTGTGTAACAGTGAGCAGCAGAGAGTGAAAGAGGTAAACCATCATCATGGTTCTTTTTTTAAAAAAATAATAATATTTCTCTCTATTCGCTTATGTATACTTTTTTTTTAAAAAAATCCATTTTTAAAATTAAGTTATAAAGTATTAAAGGTAAATGTTCCCCTCGCACATATGTGCTAGTCGTTCCCAACTCTAGGGGGCGGTGCTTATCTCCGTTTCAAAGCCAAAGAGCCAGCGCTGTCCAAAGACATCTCCATGGTCATGTGGCCAGCATGACTAAATGCCAAAGGTGCATGGAACACTGTTACCTTCCCTCCAAAGGTGGTCCCTATTTTTCTACTTGCATTTTTTACGTGCTTTCAAACTGCTAGGTTGGCAGAAGCTGGGACAAGTAACGCGAGCTCACCCTGTTATTGGCACGAAGGATTCGAACCGCTGAACTGCCGACCTTCCGATTGACAAGCTCAGTGGATTGTAAGCCACTGAGCCACCGCGTCCCTCATATAAAGTATTATAAAATATAAAATACAAAAGTAAATAAAAGAGCAGCGAGGGGAAAGAGAAATGTGGAAAGGTAGGGAAAAGAAAAAGAAGCATTGACTTCTGACTCTCTATTGCAGTAGAATAAGGCATTAGCATCAAATCACAGCTTTTTGTTTTTCCATAATATTATGAACAGGTGATTTCTATAAATATCTATCAATCTAATCTATAAAACCCAAAGTCAGAGAGTTATATTCTTTTCTACATCAAGCATGAAATTCAGAAGTGGTCTCCATGTGGAAACAAAAGTACTTATCTGTATTTTTCAGACTATAAGACACACCTAGCTTTTGGGGAGGAAAACAAGAAAAACAAAATCTGCCTCTGCCTCCCAGCAATTTGCCTCCTTACATCAAACAGCCTGGTCAGCTTCAGCACAGCCTGATTTAGCACAAGCAGCTGATTGGCAGTTAGATCTGCCTCCGGGAATACCGCCTATCAGTTGTTCCAGGCTGCTGGGATCGCCACCGCCCATCACCACCATCGCCGCCTAATGCCACCTCCATGTGCTCCATTTTTGGCCTCCGTGCGTCCCGTTTTCGACCCCCACGTACCCCATTTTCAGCCTCCGCGCATCCCATTTTCAGCCCGTTCCAGGTGGCAGGGATAGGCAGCGGAGGCGGCGATCCCTGCCGCCTGGAAGGGGCTAAAAATGAGGTGCACGGAGGCAGTGATAGGCGGCAGCAGCAATGGGCAGCAATGGGCAGTGGCGATCCCCGCAGCCTGGAACAGCTGATAGGCGGTATTCCAGGAGACAGATCCAACTGCCAGTCAGCTGCTCGTGCTAAATCAGGCTGTGCTGAAGCTGACCAGGCTGTTTGCTGCAAGGAGGCGAATTGCTGGAAGGCAGAGGCCGAAGGGTGGGGGCTGGTGGGTGGGCGGGGCTTCGGCAACATTCGCTATATAAGACGCACAGACATTTCCACCCACTTTTGGGGGTGGGAAGTGTGTCTTATACACCGAAAAATACGGTATGTTCTTTTCTTTAATCAGAGTAGTCAGTTTTGCCATTTCAGCCAGCTCCATCAACTTCTGCATCCATTCCTCCATGGTAGGTATCAAAGTGTCTTTCCATATTTGCGCATACAATGCTGCAGTCAACATGTATGGTAACAAAGTTCTAAATTTTTTCTCCAGTTCTTTTTCCATTAGTCCCAAAAGGAAAAATTCTGGTTTCATTTCTATCTTCAGTTTCATTTCTATTTTCTGTATTAGAGTAAGAATCATACTCTTTTTTTTTTTTTTTTTTTGCTTTATCACATGTCCAAACCATAGATCAGGGGTCTCCAACCCTGGCAGCTTTAAGACTTGTGGACTTCAACTCCCAGAATTCCTCAGCCAGCTTTGCTTGTGGACTTCAACTCCCTCCCTCAGCTTTGCTGGCTGAGTAAATCTGGGAGTTGAAGTCCACAAATCTTAAAAGTTGCCAGGGTTAGAGACCCCTGCCATATAGATGATTTAAAAAGTCCCTTCTTTATTTTTACACTTCCAACATTCATTTGACATGCCTTTATAACATCTTAGATAGCTTATCCGGTGTTAAGTACCAACGATACATCATCTTATAAAAATTCTCTTTTAAATTATAATTTAATGTAAATGTTAAACGCTTCGTCCGCATTGTTTATGTGTACTTTTGAAATGGAACAACGTTCTTGCTCCTTACAGGGCCTTTCGGAAAAGACAGTATCCCTGTGGTCCTACATCAACAGTCAGCTTGAAGACTTCACCAACCCTCTTTATGCCTGCTACACCAACCATGTGTTGTATCCGGTGGCTAGCATGCGCCATTTAGAGCTTTGGGTAGGATACTACATCCGGTGGAATCCTCGAATGAAACCACAGGTAAACCACAGATTCATGGGGATGAGAAAGGAGACTTGGGTCAAAACCAGATGTTTCTTAGGATTGCAATTACGGTCATGGACTTCCTGTGTTTCGCCATACAGGTAGTCCTCGACTTAAACAGTTCATTTAGTTAACTGTTATAAGTTACAATGGCACTGAAAGAAGTGACTTATGACCATTTTTCACACGTATGACCTTTGCAGCATCCCCATGGTCATGCGAGTTACGTTCAGAGGCTTGGCACACTGACTCATATTTATGACGGGGGTGCAGCGTCCCGGAAGTCATGGGATCTCCTTTTGCGACCTTCTGACAAAGCAAAGTCAATGGCGTGGCCAGGTTCACTTAACAACCGTGTGACTCATTTAAAAACCTGCAGCGATTCACTTAACAAATGAGGCGAGAAAAGTTCTAAAATGGAGCAAACTCACTTAACACATTTCCAGACTCCAGGACTGGCCCATGTTCCTCCCCAGCCTTCTCACTGTCCGACTCTGCTGCCAGCTCCTCAGGCTGCTGGTGGACCACAACATTAAGTTAGTAACGCAGTTGTTAAGTGAATCTGGTTTCCCCACTGACTTGGCTTGTCAGAAGGTTACAAAGATGATCACATGACTCGGGCACTGCAACCATCATAAATATGAGCCAGTTGTCAAGTGTCTGAATTTTGATCACCTAACCATGGGGGGTACTGCAATGGCTGTAAGCATGAAAAACAGTCATAAGTCTGTGCCATTGTAACTTCAGTCACTAAACAAATGATTGTAAGTTGAGGACTACCTGTATAGCCTTTCCAGAAGAGAATTTGGGTATTTTGAACAGGTTCTGTTGAGGAGCCGTGGTGGTTCAGTGGTTAGAATGAAGTATTGCAGGCTAATTCAGCTCACTGCCAGGAGTTCAATCCTGACCAACTCAAGGTTGACTCATCCTTCCGAGGTTAGTAAAATGAGGACCTAGATTGTTGGGGGCAAAATGTTGACTCTGTAAACCACTTAGAGAGGACTGTAAAGCACTGTGAAGTCTAAGTGCTACTGCTATTCTGGAACTCTGCTAGGTCATGAAAAATGTCTTCTGGGTTTTTATAATCTTGTCTCAAGACATCCCAAGATGCCTTTTTTCAACAGGCAACTGGACTTTCTGATTTTTTCTTTGAAGATGTTTAGCTTCTCATCCAGGAAGGTTCTTCAGCTCTGAAGAAGCTTCTTGGATGAGAAGCGAAACATTGTTTTGACCTAGGCTTCCCCAGCAGCACGAAGCCGAGTCCTCGTCCCAATAAACCCCTTTTATTTAATTTACAGTGAATTCCTCTCCAGCAAAGTCTTTCCTCTCCCACAGTCTTTCAAGATAATTCACAATTAATCATGCTTGGAGAGAGTGGCCACGCCGTTATCTTTCAGACGCCGCAATGCTTGGCAAGAATGCAGGAATGAACTAATTGTCTCCTGCAAACACCCCTCCCCTTTCGCTCCTGTTTTATTCCCTCTGGGAGGGGCCCTTCATCGTCCACCTGTGGCCTTACTCCCAAGTCGACCCTTGTTCCTTAGCTGTTCCCTTTGTCTGGCAACTCTGTGCATGCGCACACTGGGAACAGGCTCCAGCTGTTCGTCTGCCTCACTGATGTCTGACTCCGAAGGCAGCTGATACCTGTCCTATGGCCCTGGCCCCATCTTTGCCTCCGACGCAAAGCACAGACTCCAGGACTGGCCCATGTTCCTCCCCAACCTCCTCACTGTCTGAATCTGCTGCCAGCTCTGCTGGCTGCTGGCAGGCCACAACAAACGTCTTCAAAGAAAAACCAAAAAGTGGAGTTGCCTCTTTTAAAAAAAAGCACCTTTGGGACAACCATGACTTGGATGCAAGGGTGAAATGCTTCCGGTTTGGACGGTGGGTGGTTCGGAGGCGGGTGGTTCGGAGAACCGGTAGCAAAAATTCCTGCCCCCCCCACACCATGCCCAGCTGAGCCGCACAATCATCAGAGGCTGTTTTTTTACTTTTAAAAGCATTTTTTCTACAACCTCTTCGGCCGAAAAAATGCTTTTAAAAGTAAAAAAAAAAAAGCCTCTGATGATCACGGGGCTCAGCTGGGATCATCAAAGACTTTTAAAAGAAAACAACCCTTTTTTTCTTTTAAATGCCTCTGACGATCCAAGCTGAGTTGCTTGATCGGCAGAGGCATTTAAAAGAAAAAAAGCCTCTGCCAATCAGGCAACTCAGCTGGGATCGTCAGAGCCTTTTGAAAGCATTTTTTTACAACCTCTTCGCCAAAGAGGTTGTAGAAAAAAATGGTTTTAAAAGTAAAAAACAAAAAATGGCCATGCCCACCCAGTCACATTACCCACCACCACCAAGCCACGCCCACAGAACCGGTAGTAACAAATTTTACATTTCACCCCTGGAGATTCTCCATAGACATTCTGTCTCGAGAGTGAGCAAGGTATGTAGCTTTTTTTTGTTTTGTTTTGCCATTAGGAACCGGTACATAATCGCTACAAAGAACTCCTGGCAAAACGAGCAGAACTTCAGAAAAAAGTGGAAGAGCTCCAACGAGAAATCACCAACCGCTCCACTTCCTCCTCGGAGAGGGCCGGTTCCCCTGCGCAGTGTGTTACGCCCGTCCAGACGATTGTATGACATCACGCGCCCCCGTCTTCCAGTGCTCTTCCCCAACGTCTTGACGGGTCCCCTGGCTGGCCTTGAGAGGAGCTGTAACCCAACACAGTGGGAAAGCAACAGGTTGAGGAGAAGCTGGAGCAGGACTCTTTGTTGGTGGCCCCTTTTTCTAAGAAAGAAGCTTTCTTGAGTCTAGACACTGTATTTATTATGGTCTACTTCTCCAGGGTATTTTATTACAGCTGTAGCACTACAAGAGGTGGAATCTTTTTTTTTTTTAAAGATCTCTTATATAATTAATTTTCTTGTGGGCTAATTAAGAGGAAACTAGCTGCATGGCATCTCAAGATCCAACTATAGGACATTTGTTAATGAGTTCAAAATCTTTAGCATTGACTTTCGTGGTGGAATGATGCACTTATTATACAGGGTCTCATACTTATTTCAAACCTCAGCCACCTGAATACAAACAGCGTCACAGGGACTTCTGATGTATACGGTGGGCTTTATTGATTTTTACCTTGCCCACTTACTTCACTGCTTCACAAAACGCAAAGGAATTTGCAAGTGGAAATGCAAGTCATCGTAGGAAAGAAGAATATTCATTGCAATCGTGCATATCAGAATTATGCATTCTTGGCTTCTGACGCTTATCAGTGATAAGACTATTTTGTGGTGCCTCATTCTTACAGAAATATGACCTCCAAAGAGGGAAAAAAGCAAGAATTTCAAAACTTATGAGGTTAATTGCTCTACACAGGGATGAGGAAAAAAATGTGTCGTCCACATGTTTCTAGTGGCGTTCATGTAAAGAGGAAAACCTTGAGGCCCTCCAGATGTGAGAACGCCTGAAAATCTCAGTAGATTCAATAGCTGGAGGATGTTCAGTTGAGAAAAGGCCATAGCTAAAGATGCTATATATTGAAGTCATACATCTAGCCAACACCTAGATTGGGGAAAGGTAACTTAGAAGCATCTATGGGAGTAAGCCAAATGTCGTTTTTTAATGACCGCGTAATCCCTTGCAGGGTGGAATCATGGCAACTGAATGAAGCTGAGTGTTTACTGGCCGGATGCCCTTCCTGGTGCCAGTGCAGTTTTTTTCAGCAGATACATTCTCAGTGTCCCCAAAGAGAGAAATATCTGCCTCTACCTAGGATTGAACTCCTGATTGTGAGGCGAGCGCTCCACCTCTAGGCCACCGTACCACTCATATGAGAGTAGGCCAAATGTATCCATCTATTCTATCTCTGGGTGCTGTGATTGGTGGATCAGGCAATTAAACCATACAGCATGGTAAACAAATGAGAGCCTTGTTCATGAAGTGCTGTCAAAAAGGACCCAAATATAAACAATATTGTTTGCTCACTTTTGATTTGGCTACTTCGGTTTGTAAATCATGGTGTATGATTTAGGATCCAATCTGGGTCGGTCAACCGGGACCAGAGGTTTAGTCTTCCAAGCTTTTCGACGTGTGCTGAAGTCCATCCTCCAGAGCAGGAGTCTCCAACCTTGGCAATTTTAAGACTTGTGGACTTCAACTCCCAGAATTCCTCAGCCAGCTTTGGAATTCTGGGAGTTGGAGTCCACAAGTCTTAAAGTTGCCAAGGTTGGAGGCCCCTGCTCCAGAGAACTTTTCTCTACCAGAACACCCATTCTGGTAGAGAGACGTTCTGGTAGAAGTTCTACACATTCTGGTAGAGAGAAGTTTCCTGAGGATAGGTTCCAACACAAGTTTGAAAGCTCGGAAGACTAAACCTCTCGTCCCGGTGACTGACCCAGTTTGGATCCTGCAACATTATCCTGGGACACGTATACAGGTAGTCCTTGACTTACAACAGTTTGCTTAGTGACTGTTCAAAGTTACAACAGCACTGAAAAAAAGTGACTTGTGACCATTTCTCACACTTAAAAACTGTTGCCGCATGGTTACGTAATTTACATTCGGATGCTTAACAACCGACTCACATTTATGACGGCTGCCGTGTCCCGGGGTCACGTGTTCCCCTTTTTGCAACCTTCTGACAAGCAAAGTCAACGGGGCGAGGAAACCAGATTCACTCAACAACCGTGTTGCTAGCTTCATAACTGCAACGATTCGCTGAACAAAAAGTGGCAAGAAAAGTCGTAAAACTTCACTTAAATTTCTCACTTAGCGACATAAATGTTGGGCTCAACAGTGGTTGTAAGTTGAAGACCATCTGTATTTGCCTTCATTTGTATATGATTTAGTATACAGTATGAACGCATACCATATGTGAAATATGGGACGCGGTGGCTCAGTGGCTAAGACGATGAGCTTGTCGATTGAAAGGTCGGCAGTTCAGCGGTTCGAATTCCTAGTGCCACTTAACGGGGTGAGCTCCCGTTACTTGTCCCAGCTTCTGCCAACCTAGCAGTTCGAAAGCATGTAAAAAATGCAAGTAGAAAAATAGGGACTACCTTTGGTGGGAAGGTAGCAGTGTTCCGTGCACCTTCGATGTTTAGTCATGCCAGCCACATGACCACAGAGATGTCTTTGGACAGCACTGGCTCTTCAGCTTTGAAACAGAGATGAGCACCTCCCCCTAGAGTCGGGAATGACTAGCACATATGTGCGAGGGGAACCTTTACCTTTACGAACACACCAATAGATTGAATAGATTCAGATGCTTTGCATTTAAAACCATCTTTGATCCCTGGCATCTCAAGGTGAGCCTTAGATAAGTCTTTACGACCACTGCTGATCGGAGGAAACACTGCTTCCCTGGATGGGATGAACTAGTCATTTTCTCTGGTAAAGGCAGTTTCTCATAGATATACCTATATAGGTAGTCCTCGACTTACGACCAGAATTTCCAGTGCTAAGTAAGATGGTAAGGTAAGATTTGTGCCCAATTTTATGACAATTTATTTGCCATGGTTGTTAGGTGACTGCCACTGCAGTTATTAAGTGAATAATAGCATTAAGCAAATAATGGCTTCCTCCATTGACTTTGTTTGCCAGAATGGATGAAAACTAATCAAGGAGAGAAGCAACCTGGAATTGAGGAGAAACTTCCTAACAGTGAAGACAATTAACCAGTGGAACAGCTTCCTCCAGAAATCGTGGATGCTTCAACAGTGGAGGTTTTAAAGAAGAGACTGGACAGCCACTTGTCTGAAATGGTATAGGCTCTCCTGTTTGAGCAGGGGGCTGGACTAGAAGACCTCCAAGGTCCCTTCCAGCTCTATTCTGATTCAAAGCCAGCAAATGATGATCAATGAATCCAGGACATTGCAACGGTTGTAAATGCGTGGCTGGTTTCCAATTCTGATCATGTGACTCGGGGGATGCTGCAACGCTCAGAAATGTGAAGACTGGATTTACTTTTTTCAGTGCTGTTGCAACTCTGAATGGTCACTAAACAAATGGTTTGTATGTCAAGGACTACCTACATTAGGCTAATTTTCACAGAGGATGGAGAGGTGTGTTATAGCAGCCTTCCCCTAGATGTGTTGAAATGCAACACCCAGAATTGTCAAGCAGGATGCTCAAAGGGAATGAATGCTGGGAATTATAATCCTAATACATATGATGGGTGCCATGCAAGCCTAATTGATAATTCCCACACCATCCTTGCCTCTGACTTCAACTCTGACTTTGACTGTTTGGGGGGCTAAGATCAAGTATCTGTACTACAACTCCCAGCAGCCTCATCCATCATTGCCAACAGCCAGGATTTAATAGGTCTGTAGCTGGAGCATCTTGTATGTTTTCCAGCTACTTTGTAAAGCTTTCTGTATATTAAACTGGACTTTTAACAGCAGCTCCTTTGAGATGTAGGAACTAGCAGGCAATTACAAGGATGTGCCAAACTTACAAAGTACAACATAACTTTCCTCTTTTTTGTCAGAGTGCATACCCCGTATTTTTCGGAGTATAAGACACATCTTTTTCCCCCCTAAAAGGGGGTGAAAATTTAGGTGTGTCTTATACACCAAATGCAGGTGTACATTCCCCCACCCTTTGGCCTCTGCCTCCCAGCAGTTTACTTCCTTGCAGCAAGCAGCAAGAAGAAACAGCTCCTTTCAGTTTCAGCACATCCTAATTAACACAAGTTGATTGGATCGGCCTCCCAACTCTCAGCTGTTTTGCTCTCAGCTGTTTTGGGACCTCTGCTGCTTGCTGCAAGGAGGTAAATTGCTGGGAGCAGATTTTTTTTTTTCTTGTGCTAATCAAGCTATGCTGAAAACGAAAATGAAAGTAAAGCAGGCTATTTGCTGTTTGCTGCAATGAGGCAAAATTGCTGGGAGGCAGAAGCAGATTTCTTTTTCTTGTTTTCTTCACCAAAAAAGGTAGGTGCGTCTTATAGTCTGGAGCGTCTTATACTCTGAAATACGGTAGTACTTTTTTGTGTGTGAAGTCATGAGGTGGGACAGGACTGAGCTGTTTCTTCTGATGGACATGGAATAGAATGGGATGAAAACAGCAGACTGTGGATCTTTAGGCTTCAGAGGGGCTGCACTGCTTCTATAAAGACAAATATATATAATATTCCAGGAAATTCAATCAGAATCCTCACAAGAATATCCAATCGCATATAATGTCATACAAGGGTATCCAATGACATCCAGCATTTCCACCAAGGTAGAGCCGAGCCTTCTCTACAAACCCTTAATTGTATTGACCTGGGGATAGCTTTCCTATATTTATCTTAAACATGATTGTCATGCATTGCCTTGAGGAAAGAGATACTATGAACCAGAGTAAAATGCCACTTTCTTGTTTGTTGGCACACTGTATTTCACTCCCCCCCTATCACTGAAGATTGGGGAAGGTTGGAAGAGACTGTCCCTTAACAAGATTTGACAAATGTGTGTTCTGATGCCATTTTAAACCATTTATCCTATACTGCACTAAAAAAAAAAAGAATCCTCTATATAAACAAGCCAGTACAGTACGCAAAACAAGCTGTTCCATTTCTGAAGAAGAATGCAAAAGTGTTCTTGACAAGTTACAGATAGAGGTTACACTTCTGGTTGAGATTGTTAGCATCTGTTACCTAACAATTTGCAGCCCATTGATAAAGGGAGCTACAGAGCAGTTGGATAAATGAGACAGACCTAGTAATGTCAAATTTATTAATTAGCAAGTTTCAGCAGACAAATTTAAAATGAAAGCATAACTTAAAGATTCATAGTCTTGCAAAATAGCTTTGTCATAATTGGCCAACAGGCTTGCTTTGCAATTGAGAATGTATGGCAATGCTTCAGCCTCTTATTCAAAGTATGCCAAGGGGAGAGATGTCAGCTAGCACCCAATTTTGGGTGCTCTAAAACCAACTACAATTCTCTCATTAGCATGACCAATGGGGAATGGGGTTTGTAGTCCAAGACATCTAAAGGAGGAAGAATAACTGCAGAAGTGGCACATCCTTATGACCACGGTACTCCGCTCGTGGATTAGAGACAGAGCCATCATTTTTTATGATCCTATTTGTGTGTTTGGAACAGAAGCTTAAAGGTTTATTATTAATGGGAGTACTCTGCTCTCACAAGAATGGTCTCCCTGACATAGAATCGTTCCTTTTCCAAACCGCTGCCTTTCAGGCCACTACAGTCAAAAAACTGTGTGTCCATTGTTACCCGATTCCTTCTTTCAAATAAACAGAGGGACAGAATCAAGATCAGGTGAAGTGTTAATACCACTTTATAATGCCTTGGTAAGGCCGCACTTGGAATACTGCATCCAGTTTTGGTCACCATGATGTAAAAAAGATGTGGAGACTCTGGAAAGAGTGCAGAGAAGAGCAACAAAGATGATTAGGGGACTGGAGGCTAAAACATGAAGAACGGTTGCAGGAACTGGGTGTCTAGTTTAATGAAAAGAAGGACTAGGGGGTGACATGATAGCAGTGTTTTGATATCTCAGGGGCTGCCCCAAAGAAGAGGGAGTCAAGCTATTCTCCAACCCTGAGGGTTGGACAAGAAGCAATGGGTGGAAACTAATCAAGGAGAGAAGCAACTTAGAACTAAGGAGAAATTTCCTGACAGTTGGAACAATTAACCAGTGGAACAACTTGCCTCCAGAAGTTGTGAATGTTCCAACATTGGAAGTGTTTAAGAGGTTGGATAACCATTTGTCTGAAGTGGTGTAGGGTTTCCTGCCTAAGCAGGGGGTTGAACTAGAAGACCTCCAAGGTCCCTTCCAACTCTGTTATTCTATTCTATTCTAAATAATGTATATGTACCGGTATGTACTTACGTATGTATTTGGACTAGGGTTGTATCAATTTTAAAAATGATGTGGAAAAAGTACTCCAGGCCTCAGATACTTCCCATTTCTTAAAACAAGTCAGCTTTTTTTAAAAGACTCTATGAAAGGTGGAAAAGAACATATGCTGTAGCTCAGGGGTGGGTTCTACTTACCTTTACTACCGGTTTGCAGTGGGGCCACGCACGCGCTCTTCTGTGCAAGCTCTGGAGCCTGGGAAGGGTGAAAACCAGGCCTACTGGGCCCACCGTGCCATCACGGGCCAAAAGCGGGGGTCGTGTGGGGGTGTCACATGCCTGCACGGGGGGGGCACATTAAATTATGGTGTGGGCACACGCACGTGACACGCACACACCCCGCACTCCTGCTTTGGCATGCAATAGCAAAAAGATTCGTCATCGCTGCCCTATACTATTTCAGACAAATGGTTATCCAACATCTTCTTGAAAACTTCCAGTGTTGGAGCATTCACAACTTCTGGAGTCAGGTTGTTCCACTGATTAATTGTTCCAACTGTCAGGAAATTTCTCCTTAGTTCTAAGTTGCTTCTCTCCTTGATTAGTTTCCACCCATTGCTTCTTGTCCTGCCCTCAGGTGCTTTGGAGAATAGCTTGACTCCCTCTTCTTTGTGGCAGCTCCTGAGATATTGGAACACTGTTATCATGTGTCCCCTAGTCCTTTTCATTAAACTAGACACACCCAGTTCCTGCAACTGTTCTTCATGTTTTAGCCTTTAAAGCATCCCCAGTTCTAACCCTGGTCACTTATACTTCTTATTTGCAGCCCAGAGCAGAGTCAGGATAGCAACCCAAAAGTCACCGTCCATCCTCCAGTTGGCCAGTTTTCAATCTTGACCCTTTAATATTTTGCTTCGAGCTCAAGCAAAGGATGACTCTAGTTCCTTCTATTTGGTCTCTTATTTGCAAAAGCTATGGAGAGATTAGACTGGAGTGAGCAGGCGTGCTCCTTTCTCTGCTTCAGCAGGAGATGGAAATAGGCTGCGCCCACCAACTACTTTGCCAGGTGTCCCTTCTCATTTCAGCCAGCAATGGGCCATCTGTCAGCAAGGCAAAATGTCAACTAATGATGCTACCTGCTTTGTGCGTGGATTACACAGATCAGTTCCTGGAGCCCAGCAGTTCATAGAAAGCGGGAGATCAAAGAGCCAACTGGTTTTCGCAACTAATTTATTCTATTTGCCTTTATTGCAGTCCAATCAAATCTCAAAAAAGCTCAGGCCATTTTGAGTTACTACTACAGTCCAATCTTCGGAAAGCCTTTACATTATTAATATAATAAATAATATTATTTGCATGTACATTAAAATTGCCTAGTACCAGAACCACCACCAGATATTCTAGTCTAGAGAATATTAGATTTTAAAAAGCTGCCTGCCAGTATTAAACAGCATGATCGAAGGCACCATTTATTTTTTGGGGGGAAATACATGTATAACCTGCTTTTCAGCAGAACAGTAGAAATGAGATAAAATTAACTTGGCAATTCAGTTTCACTCTGAAACCACATCAATTCCATGGTTAAAATGGATATAAAATTTGTGGGCTTTTTACTGGTGTTTAATTGAATGCCAAAGAAAATCTTCTCACCTCTGTGCATAATTTCCGTATTTCAAAACGGGAGCATCTTGCTCAAACATCGAGACATGAGTGGCCAAACAGAGTCCTCTGTGCTGAGAAGAAAAAGCTTGTTTTCTTTATAAAGAAAAAGCCGCATATGAGACCTTGAAAAGAGTCAAAAGTGACATAGGGCTTCATACCACTGCTCCATTCAAAGGCACTGTATGTTTATAAAACAGAGTCAAAACTCTGCAAAAATAATAATAATAATAATTCTTATGCTTTTTCCCAGTTAATTTTCAGTGCTCCAAATGAAATGGTTTTTTTTAAAAAAACAAAAACCCACTTGTAGAAGGAAATCATCCCAAGCAATGAAGTACAATGGTCAGAAGCAGAATTGTAAGGGCAAGGATTACGTTTCGTAGCAAAATATCCCATCGGTGTCGATGCCAATGTGGGGCTTTAGCAATGAAATAATAAGAGGCCGGCCTATCTTTTCTCCCTTTCTACCCATCCCCAGGTTCCCCTCCACGATGGTAACACGATCAGGCATACAGGTAGAATAGGAGAAGCCTTTGTTTAGAAGGTGCCACTATGGTATTGTCTTTCATCCAGCTGGTTGGGCCGCAGCCAGAATGATAAAAGGTGCAAACCCCTCAAAAAAAACAACAACAAAACAACAACCCACCCACACACACACACGAGGAGAAGACAAGTCAGCAGTCCCAAGTGATGTCATCTTTCTGGAGGGAGGACTGTATACTTTGCATGTCTCTCAGCAGCTGGAGGCTCTTCTTACCCTGCCCGCCGGGCTTCCTTTTCAAACCGGCCTCTTTCGCCTTCTTCTCTTCGTCCACTTTACAGCAATCCCGAGCGCCGTGCTGCTTGGCCTTGCTGACCTTCAGCTTCTCCAGCTACACCCAAGCACAACCCACATAAAAAAAGAAATAAGAATCTGGGCATTTTAAAACGGACTTTAACTTCCACTCATTCCGAAAGTGGCCACACTCCGGTAATTTCTTTAATCTTTTTTAGATGTCTGTTCTGTAATTTCTTTAATCTATTTTAGATGTCTGTTCTTGTTCACTCGCGCACTCATTGTTACAAATGGTCTTTGTCTCTTTCTATTTTCAGCCACTCACAGATCACTTAATTTTTTTCCTCCTCGCTCCTCGCACGTTAAGATGCCAGAGGAACATTCTATAATGTTCAGATCTTTAATTAATGTTCTATAACCATGATGGTGAACCTATGGCACGTGTGCCACAGGTGGCACGCGGAGCCCTCTCTGTGGGCACGCGGAGCCGTCACCCAGCTCAGCTCCACCGCGCATGTGTACGTGCCCCCTGCCGGCCAGCTGATTTTTGGGTCTCTGCCACGGGGGTCGTGCGCATGCACGGGGGGGAGCACGGAGGGTCAAGTGCACATGCGCAGGGGGTTGGGGTACACGGGGGGGGCATTGCATTATGTGGGTGGGCACCCGCGCACGCAACCCCCTTGCGCTCCCACTACTTTCAGCACACGACGACAAAAATGTTAGCCATCACTGTTCTATAACATTCAGATCAGTGATGAAATCCAATTTTTTTAACTACCGGTTCTGTGGGTGTGGCTTGGTGGGCGTGGCAGGGGAAGGATACTGCAAAATCTCCATTCCCACCTCACTCCAGGGGAAGGATACTGCAAAATCCCCATTCCCTCCCCACTCTGGGGCCTGCCAGAGGTGGTATTTGCCGGTTCTCTGAACTATTCAAAATTTCCAATACCAGTTCTAGGAACTGCTCAAAAGTTCTGCTACCGGTTCTCCAGAACCTGCTGGATTTCATCCCTGGTTCAGATCTTTAATTATACTTAAAGGTATGTGAGTCTAACCAAGAAACAACCACATATTCTACACAATCTTTTGGGCACGCTACCTTTTTTCAGAGGCAAGCCTACTTCCTCCAATTGTAATTTTGCTTGGTGGGAACCTTCTAATGAATGCAGCACACTATCTCCTTGGTTAAAACATGATACAATTCTTACATGGACTCAAGTGTTTTGCTTGTGCTTAAATTGATGGCTGTTGATCCAACATCTCAGAAGCTGCTTGGCCTAGCAATTAATCCTGCAATTAAACCCATAGCTTTTCTCTTCTCCCCAGGTAGTCCTCAATTTACGATCATAATTGAGCCTGGAATTATGGTCGTAAATCATGCTGGTCATTAATTAGGTCAACTACATGAGCTCGCCTGATTGTATAACCTTTTTTGTCATGGTCATTAAGGGGGTCGCTGTGGTTGTTAAGTCAACGCAGCAGTCATTAAGCATTTTCCACAGTGGGTGCTTTTTTTTGCTGGAAACTAGAAGTAAAAACTGGTTTCTGGCAAAAAAAATAATAATTGTAAATTGTGGTCGTGTGATTGTGTAATGCTGCGAACAGTCCTAAATGCAGGCCAAAATGTGACCACGGGAGGGCCCGGTTGTCAGAATTTTGACTTTGGATTGTAAGTAGCCCTAGGGAGGTCTGTTGTCACTTCAAATGGTTGTCAACCCTGAAGTGAACCTGGCTGAGGCCATCTTGGAGACTTCAGGGTTGACACGCAAAGAGGGAGGGGGGGGGAATAAGCTAGATAGGGTTTTGTAGTCAAAACAAGAAAGTTTTCCTGTGGGAACCAAGGACAGGTAGCTGGCCAGAGGAGGAGTGAAGTAACCAGGCAACCAGCCAGCACCTTGATTGGACAGCGTGACCAGTGATTTGGGTGGGAAGGGGAAATGTTTACTTTTTAACTAAATGAAAACCGCGGGAATTTTCAGAGTCTGCTTTCACCAGTTGTGCCAATATGATATATCCAATAAATTGTCCTTTGAGAAATTTGCCTGCCTCGGAGTTCTGTTTCCTATGGGTGCATCACTTGGAATGCTGACAACGGTTGCTAAGCGATCTGTCATAAGTCGATATCCACCTGTACTGCTGAATTACATTAATTTTTATAAGGTCCGTAGCCCTACCAAAAAGGAGCGGAAATACAGTTTAAAAATATGTGTAGCTGCAAGGCTATCTACGTGGACAGTAAAAGATAGCGTTGGCAGAAAGAATCAACCGCTTCTCCTCTGCTTGAGAAAAAAGGGAGAGGGAGGGAAACGGAGCTTCAAAATTGCTCTTGTAACAATATTTCCCAATGCCAACCAATCAGAGCTTCCTGAATCTTCAAAACCCATGATAAAAGTAGGTTTAAAATGACAAAAAGGAAAAAAAATGGAAGAAACAAGGTCAAGCTAAGGAATGGATCATATGGTTCATGAGCAAATTAAACATCATTAAGTTGGAAGAAATGGAAATGCAGGCTAGTCTCTGGTTTAAGGGAAAATATTCAAGGCTCCACCCTATAGGTATCGTTAGCAATTTCTCAAATTGGTGGGGAGGGGGGCAAATTTAAATACAGTAGTGGCCAACATTGTGGAAACCTTTTGGGGAAAGTGTATTTTTGAGGTTTGATAGCTAATAACACCACTTATTTTTCCCTGGAGTTTCAAGATAATCCTATACCTACTGCTGGAATGGCCCGGGAATAGCCCAGACCTTAACCCAATTGAAAATCTAGGGAGCCGACTAAAGAAACTCGGTAGACAGAAGCGACCCAGCAATAAAACCCAGTTAATAGAAGCAATCATTCAATCTTGGTTTCACATTAGAACAGCTGCAGAACAAAAAAGACTTGGTTTATTCCATGGGAAGATGTTGTAAGGCCGTAATTCATGCTAAAGGTTGCTCAACTAAGTATTAACTGACATAGTGATAATTTTTGTATATCTTGTTTTTTCTATGGTGATAATTTTTGTATATCTCGTTTTTTCCACGTGTTTCACTTTTCTTCTTTATACTGTACCTGCTATTCTAATAGCAAATCCTCCATAAAAGTTATTGCATTACATTTTTTGATTAAATTATCTTTCCACTGATATATAATTTTATGGTACTACTTCCCAAAAAAAAAAAAAAGTGGTGTTATTAGCTAGTTTTAGAAAATACACTTTTCCCAAAAGGTTTCCACAATTTTGGCCACTACTGTACAGTATTGATTGAAGAAGCAGATTAAATTAAACCTATCGTGCATTTGGCTTCTGGTTCCCAGAAATGCTTGTGTCTTTGCAGAGAAGCTGCTGAAGACAACGGAACAGCTTTTTTGAACAGTGTCCCCCAACTGTTCAGAATAACCTCCATCATCTTCCAGTCCAATACATCTAAAAGATGTCAGAGACGAAGTCCAGACAAAAAAACTGTGGACCAGTTGTCCTTCCGTGTTTGTTCTCGTGCCTCTAGCAGTGGCCACAGAATGATCACCTATGGCTTCATGCGTGCAACTAAGCCCAGATGGGAGCCTTCTGTTTCAGCAATTCCTATCGCAGGCAAGCCCTGTGAGTCGATGTATACCCAAGATTCAGGATTCCAGAAGGTTGCATAGCCTTCCATTCTTTGGGTTTTACCAAAGCTAGAAGGTGTTGTGCAGCAAATAATGGCCTTTGATTTACGGAGATATAATACTAGGAGCTTCCCTTGCTTTCAGAAGAGGAACCTACAATAGGTAAAGTTTATGAGCCAGCCAAGGAGCTTCTTCAGTTCTCATTCTCCACCACTCAGTCAGAACTGAAGAAGGAAGCTTCTTGGGATGAGAAGTGAAACGTCTTCAAAGAAAAACCAGAAAGTCCAGTTGCCTCTTGAGAAAAAGCATTTTTTAAAAAAAATTTGATTTATATGCCGCCCTTCTCCGGAGACTCAGGGCGGCTTACAATGCGCTAAGCAATAGCCTTCATCCTTTTGTATATTTATACAAAGTCAGCTTATTGCCCCCACAAACTGGGTCCTCAATTTACCTACCTTAGAAAGGATGGAAGGCTGAGTCAATTCTTGAGCCTGGCGAGATTCGAACCTGCAGTAATTGCAGGCAGCTGGTCTTAATAACCAGCTTAATAACAGGGTGCTTTAGACCACTGTACTACCAAGGCTCTTTTATTTCCCACTCTTTGGGACAACCATGACTTGGATGACTGAGAATCTCCATAGACTCCATAGTATCAGTGCTTCTCAACTTTAGCAAGACATGTGGACTTCAACTTCCAGAATTCCCCAGATAGCATGGCTGACCAGGGGATTCTGGGAGTTGAAGTCCATATGTCTCCAAAGTTGCCATGGTTGAGAAACACTGGCCTAGATCATCCTATTGCTGCAAAATAGTCTATGATAGAGGTTGTTAAGGTAGTATCTTTTAACATGCTATCTTGAATTTCAACGATTATCTATGTCTCATTTCTTTGGACAGACTGTAAGGATGATGTCACTTTTAAAGCCGCAAATTCTGCCTCGGAGCTTGAGTGAAACCAGGCAATTATTATTCAACTTGACCAGGTGGAATAATAAATAACCATGTCACTTGGCAACTCTATCTAAATTTTTGTATCATTTTATACTACTCTATTTTATAACTTACGTTTTCTTTTACGCCTTTACAAAGGCAGTTTTCTAGTGCAGTATTCATCCTTTGAGCACTTTCATTTTATTTTATTTTTTAATTTCCATTTCATTTTACCTTATTTTTTTCCCCTAACTTAAATTAGAAATCGTTACAGAAGTCCCACTGAGTTCGGCAATTCACAGTATGTTATATAACTGTATACTTCTCTGGCTAGTGTTTATTTGTAATAAAGATATTCTGTGCAATGATTTCATTGTTGTTCTTATTGTCTGTGGGTGGGTGGGGGACGGTGCTTTCAAATAAGACTGGACTCCTGGCAACTGCCTGGATTAATCCCTGCAGTTCTCTTGGCAAAATTTAGGAAGTCGTTTGTCATTGCTTCCTTCTAAGGCTGAGAGAGAGGGACAGGCCCAAGGTGACCCAGCTGGCTTCATGCCTAAGGCAGAACTAGAACTCACAGTCGCCTGGTGACTGGCCCAAGGTCACCCAGCTGGCTTCATGCCTTAAGGCAGGACTAAAACTCACAGTCGCCTGGTGACTGGCCCAAGGTCACCCAGCTGCCTTCATGCTTAAGGCAGGACTAGAACTCACAGCCGCCTGGTGACTGGCCCAAGGTCACCCAGCTGGCTTCATGCCTAAGGCAGGACTAGAACTCACAGTCGCCTGGTGACTGGCCCAAGGTCACCCAGCTGGCTTCATGCTTAAGGCAGGACTAGAACTCACAGTCGCCTGGTGACTGGCCCAAGGTCACCCAGCTGGCTTCATGCCTAAGGCAGGACTAGAACTCACAGTCGCCTGGTGACTGGCCCAAGGTCACCCAGCTGGCTTCATGCTTAAGGCAGGACTAAAACTCAGTCGCCTGATGACTGGCCCAAGGTCACCCAGCTGCCTTCATGCTTAAAGCAGGACTAGAACTCACAGTCGCCTGGTGACTGGCCCAAGGTCACCCAGCTGGCTTCATGCCTAAGGCAGGACTAGAACTCACAGTCGCCTGGTGACTGGCCCAAGGTCACCCAGCTGGCTTCATGCTTAAGGCAGGACTAAAACTCAGTCGCCTGATGACTGGCCCAAGGTCACCCAGCTGCCTTCATGCTTAAAGCAGGACTAGAACTCACAGTCGCCTGGTGACTGGCCCAAGGTCACCCAGCTGGCTTCATGCCTAAAGCAGGACTAGAACTCACAGTCGCCTGGTGACTGGCCCAAGGTCACCCAGCTGCCTTCATGCTTAAGGCAGGACTAGAACTCACAGTCACCTGGTGACTGGCCCAAGGTCACCCAGCTGGCTTCATGCCTAAGGCAGGACTAGAACTCACAGTCGCCTGGTGACTGGCCCAAGGTCACCCAGCTGGCTTCATGCTTAAGGCAGGACTAAAACTCAGTCGCCTGATGACTGGCCCAAGGTCACCCAGCTGCCTTCATGCTTAAAGCAGGACTAGAACTCACAGTCGCCTGGTGACTGGCCCAAGGTCACCCAGCTGGCTTCATGCCTAAGGCAGGACTAGAACTCACAGTCGCCTGGTGACTGGCCCAAGGTCACCCAGCTGGCTTCATGCCTAAGGCAGGACTAGAACTCACAGTCGCCTGGTGACTGGCCCAAGTCACCCAGCTGGCTTCATGCTTAAGGCAGGACTAGAACTCACAGTCTTCCAGTTTCTAGCCTAATCCCTATATCAAACTGACTCTCCAGTGATTTGACAGGGGACTGAAAGCAGTCATCAGGATAACTCACCCGTGCCCGATGCCTCTGGATTTTATTGATTTGTTCAGCCTTGGCTTCCATCCTTTTCACAAGCACGTCCAAATCCTTCTCCAAGTCTCTCCTTAAGGCAATCGTTGAAGCTTCATGGATGAGTTTTGCTAAGTGCTGGTGTTGGCTTGTATGCAAAACAAAGAAACCAATAAAACAAGGTGAAAAAACATAGCTGATAATGAATTTCTTTAATACGTATATTTCAGACCCACTTTGCTAATAGAAGCAATACATTTTTTTTCCACGCAGCAATCCTACTACTGTCTCGGAACACTCCAATGTCAGAAGAGTCCAGCGTTTTGTAAGAGATTAGCAAATAAGGAATAGGATTTACTGCTTCTTTTCCCAACTAATTCAACACTACCCTGTATAGTATTTCCCAACACTAAAACCTCCAAGAAAAATCCCCAGAGGCTGGTATAAAGGAAAATTTGGCCTGGGTTTCTCCTTCCAGAACTAATGTGACTACTCTGATTTTAAAGCAAGGAAACAGAACAATCCCTGAGAAGCTGTGCCAATTCTAGTAATCTCATGACATCATTAACCACATCCTTTGCAGCCGGCAGGCAGAATGCAAGGACAAAGCATAGCCATCAAGCCAAAAAAAACCCTTGGCCATCCAAGATTATTTTAAATCATTGGAATTAAATCAGATAAAGCTTGTAACATTGTGCAAAGCAGAGGTTTAGCATACATAGCTACCAAATATTATAGCTAAGAGAAAATCCCTTTGAATTCAAAGATAGTGCCTGTCCCATGTTCATTGAATTCAAAAGTTTACAGGGTCAGTTTAGTACTTAAGACAGGGGTCTGCAACCTTAAACACTCAAAAGAGCCATTTGGACCCATTTCCCACAGAAAAGAAAATACCACAAAACCCTTCCCGTGCCTGACTATTTCTTGAGTGGCCACAAAACTAGCATATGTAGTTGAATTAAACGTTCTGTTTTCTTCTGAAACTTCTTTTCTTGGATTTATCCATGGCTGGCCTACCAGGGGTTGAAAAGCTCAATAAATCGTGTGCTGGCGGGTGTCGCACATTGGTGGTTATGATGCATATTTTGACTGACAGGGAGCCACAGCAGAAGGGTGAAAGAGCTACATACGGCTCCAGAGCCGCAGGTTGCTGACCCCTGACTTAAGACAACCTCCAGGAAACACTAGAACTGCATGATAGACTGGAAGTAAAAAAAAAAAAAATCCTAGAGGGAAAAAACCCATTTCATTACTGAGTGAATGATCATAATCGAAGACCAGCAACAATAGAATAAATCATGTTAAAAACGAAAACAGTTCTAAGAAGCGCTACAAAGTCAAGATCAAAGTCAACCTAATTTGACTTTGCAACCAGATTCACTGATTTAAAAAAAAAAAAAATTATAAAGAGCCCACATTATCTCACATCAGGCCTTACATCTACAGCACAGAATTTGGCCACAGGGTTCATAATAGTTGAGGTTTTACCGGTATATAAAAAGGAGGCACAGAGGTTGTCTAAATGAGGGGTCCCCCAACCTCTGTGCCATGGACTGGTAACGGTCTGTGGCCTGGAAGGACCAGGCGGCACAGCTGGAGGGGAGTGGCTAGCTAGCAAGCAAAGCTTCACCTGTATTTGCAGCTGCTCCCCAGCCCTAAAATCACCATCTCAGCTCCACCTCAGATCATCAGGCTTTAGATTCTCATAGAAGCAAAAACTCTACTGTAAAGATCTGTAGAGATTCTCGGTCATTCAGGTCATGGCTGTCCCAAAGCTGCTTTTTCAGGAGGCAACTGGACTTCCTTGTTTTTCTTTCGAAGACGTTTCGCTTCTCATCCAAGAAGCTTCTTCAGCCCCACCATCCAGTCAGAGTTGAAGAAGCTTCTCGGGTGAGAAGCAAAACGTCATCGAAAGAAAAACAAGAAAAGTCCAGTTGCCTCCTGAAAAAGCTCTTTTGGGATGACCCTACTGTAAACTGCCTGTGTGAGGGACCTAAGTTGCGTGTGCCTCTCCCACCCCCTCCCCCACTCCGGTCTGTGGAAAAATGGTGTTCCACAAAACCAGCGCCAAAAGATTTGGGGACCGCTGGTCTCAATGATCTGGTCCAATTGATCACTTGGGTAAACTTCACGTATCACTATAAAACTTGCACAGTGCTCGATAGGGCCCATCAGGTTTGGGGGTTTTTTTGGGAAAAGTTTTTCAGTTTTATTTCTTATACACATAATACAAAATGTACATTTGCTTATAGACAATTAATCCTACATATACATGTTTTCCTTAAAGAAAGCATTAAAATAAGGCATTTTAATTACATTCGGAGTTGCTCTTCTACCCTTTCTTCCCTCATTTCGCAACAACCCTTTTTCTTCTTCTCCTCTTTCCCTTCCCTCCCTCCTCTCCTTTCTCTTCCCTCCTCTCCTTCCCCTTCCTTTCCCCCCACTCCTCTCTTCTTTTCCTCCCTACTCACCTTCTCTCCTACTCCTGTCCCCTGCCCTTTCTTCCTCTCCTTTTCCCTTTCTTCCATTCCTCTCCCTCCCTCTCCTCTTCCTATCCTCTATTCCTCTCTCCTTTCTATCTTCTTTGCTGTGGAATATTCTACTTGTTTGGTATCCGAGCAACTCCTGTATTCTAATAGTATATACTTCCTTTCAATTTCTTTTCAGATTTATTCTATCAGTATTATCAGGGCCCATCACGTTTCAAGTGCTGCTGAACTACTTAGAATCCATCCGTTCCTTCTATGAAACCTGGTCAAAGAAGGTTTCACAAGGCAGATTATGCTACGGTCGTAGCAGCATCCCATGCATATCTTTTAGATGGAAAGCATGGCCAGACGTTGTTTCCAACCCACCTACCCATAGGACTGGGAAAAAAAAAACTTTTGAAGTGGTTGACGTGTCTGCTGGACCGCCATCTAATAAAATACAGGTATGGTCAGAAAAAAAGTCACACGGCGAACATTTGCACAAGAGTTTTGACTCACAAACTCATTTGCCCGAGCTCATCTTGTAAGGTCAGAAGCACCTCAGAAAGGTCTCCTTGTGACGTGGAAGAAAGGGAAGACGTAGATGATCTCCTGCCCCTACTCGTCGGCTTACTCATCGGGGCTTCGCTGACCACACGGCTGTTGCAGAGGGCTTTGGAATGCTGCTTCATGAGGTGGAGCACATGCTGGACGTTGGCTGTGACCGAGTGGCTTGGGCTGGTAGACTGAGGCAACGAACAGCGGACGGCACAAATGAAGAGCACCAAGGTTAAGCATTGAACGAACCAAACACAGTGATAAATGTCTATGGAGATTCTCAGTCATCCAGGTCATGGTTGTCCCAAAAGTGCTTTTTTCAAGAGGCAACTGGACTTTCTGGTTTTTCTTTGAAGATGTTTCACTTCTCATCCAAGAAGCTTTCTTCAGCTCTGACTGGATGATGGAGAATGGAAGGATTTATACTCCTTGCAGACAGCTGGTCATCTGCGTTCTTTTTAGAGAGTTGTTGAGGCCACTTAGAGGTTTATCTTATCTAAAATAAGACATCCCCTGATAATAAGCCCAATTGGGCTTTTGAGCACATGCACTAAAATAAGCCGCCCCTGAAAATAAGCCCTCCCCAAAAAATATTTAAACGCACGCACAGCCAGTCCTCGCCATTTCCTCTGGTTTCCTCCACATGCCCCAAAATAATAAGACCTCCCTGAAAATAAGGCCAAACGCTTATTTCGGGGTTCAAAAAAATATAAGACAGGGTCTTATTTTTGGGGAAACACGGTAGTGCAAATGGATGTGGAGACTTCTTGAACTTGGTGGCGCAGCAGACTAAAGCACTGTTAAGTAACACCAGCTGCCTGCAATTACTGCAAGTTCAAATCTCACCAGGCTCAAGGTTGACTCAGCCTTCCATCCTTTCGAGGTTGGTAAAATGAGGACCCGGATTGTGGGGGCAATAAGCTGACTTTGTATAAAAAAGAACACCGCTGGGGGGGGGGGGCGAAAGCCCTACTAAGCAGGTATATACAAAAGTATGAAGGCTATTGCTTAACGCATTGTAAGCCGCCCTGAGTCTCCGGAAAAGGGCAGCATGTAAATCGAACCAATCAATCAATCAATCAATCAATCAATAATAAATAAATAAATAAATAAATAAATAAATAAATAAATAAATTTAACAGTCTTTTCAATGGTCCCAAAAAGGCTCCACATCTTTTTGTACTACTCAAGTGAGGACGCAGATAAACTTCTAAGTGGCCTCAATGACTCTCTAAAAGGATGCAAATGACCAGCTGTCTGCAAGGGGTATAAATCCTTCCATTCCCCGCTATCCAATCAGAATTGAAGAAGCTTCTTGGACGAGAAGTGAAACGTCTTCAAAGAAAAACCAGAAAGTGCAGTTGCTTCTTGAAAAAGCACCTTTGGAACAAACACAGTGATACCTTTTAACAATGTTAACTTTAGAAGAGAATATTTGTATTTGTATATGAATATATGTATTAGTAGCACTGATGATGCTACCTTAGTTGGGTAAGAAAGCTTCTGCAAGAAAACAACGAAGCTCAGAGAACACCAAGGATGTTAACTTTACTCCATAACAAAATCTCAAATGGGTGAAGGGCTCACATATTTGGACCCTATTTTTAACGGCAATTTCTTTAAAACGGCAATGCTTTAAAGAGAAATAAATGACACCGTCTTCGCACCAGGATAAAGGTGACCATCATTTTTGAGGATGGAATTTTGCCATTACTAATTAACAAATCCTCCAAAAAAAGGAGGAAAGATTAAAAAGGCGCCACTTAGTTTGGACTGCAACCCCTTGAAATATCAGACGAAGCTCTGTGCAGCCCTGAGTCCAATATCCTGACCTAAGCCACCATTTTCACAAATATCTGAATTCTATAAAAACTGAATTATGCTCTTTCTTCATTAAATGTGCAATATCTTGAGAATGATGGCTCAACTCCAGCTAGCAAGTATACACAGCAAGTTAAAGTGGACAAGAACATGTAAGACATAAAGTCTTTTTTCCTGCCCTGAAGCAATTCGTTTACTCTTAAAAAAACAACCCCCACACAAATAGAATCAATGGGACTATATACTTCCTGGTTTGTTTTAGGAGCAGTTCTGCCTTATGCTCAGTTTTGTGTCTGATGCAGGGGTGAAATCCAGCAGGTTCTGACAGGTTCTGGAGAACCGATAGTGGAAATTTTGAGCAGTTCGGAGAACCGGCAAATACCACCACTGGCTGGCCCCAGAGTGGGGTAGGAATGGGGATTTTGCAGTATCCTTCCTCTGGAGTGGGGTGGGAATGGAGATTTTGCAATATCCTTCCCCCAGGAGTGGGAGGGAATGGAGATTTTGCAGGATCCTTCCCCCAGGAGTGGGGAGGGAATGGAGATTTTGCAGTATCCGTTCCCTGGAGTCGGGTGGGAATGGAGATTTTGCAATATCCTTCTCCCAGGAGTGGGGAGGGAATGGAGATTTTGCAGTATTCATCCCCTGGAGTGGGGTGGGAATGGAGATTTTGCAGTATCCGTCCCCTGGAATGGGGTGGGAATGGAGGTTTTGCAGTATACTTCCCCTGGAGTGGGGTGGGAATGGAGGTTTTGCGGTATCCTTCTCCTGCCACGCCCACCAAGCCACACCCACAGAACCGGTAGTAAAAAAAATTGCACCACGGTCTGATGGCATCATGGCCAGGAAGACTAGGATCATTAAAGCAAGATTGGACCTGATTAAGGTTGGATTAGGGTGCTCTCTGTTCTCTTACAGATGTTTCATTGCCCAAACTAGATAATATCATCAGTGCTCAGAGAGCACCAAGGACCCCTCATTTCCATCCTGAGCTACAAATATTCTCGTTTATTGGCAAGCTGTGAATGTTCCAACACTGGAAGTTTTCAAGAAGAGATTGGACAACCATTTGTCTGAAATGGTATAGGGTTTCCTGCCTGAGCAGTGGGTTGGACTAGAACAGGGGTCGGCAACCTTAAACACTCAAAGAGCCACGAAGGTCCTAACCAGAAGCCATCCATTCAATTCTGGAGCTGGCTGGAAGTCCAGTTCCCCCACCATAGAATCTCCTCCTAGTGCGGTGTCCTTTTTCCTCTGCCAACCGGAAGTCCGGTTCCTCCACCATAGAGTCTCCTCCTAGCACGGCATCCTTTTTCCTTTACCTGTCCTAAACGAGAGCCCTATCAATTGTGGAACCAACCAGCAACAGGGAGCCGCAGCAGAGGGATGAAAGAGCCACATGCAGCTCCATAGCCGCAGGTTGCCAACTTCTGTGCTAGAAGACCTCTTCCAATTCTGTTATTCTGTTATCCTTCAAGTAATCTGTGGAGGACTGCAGGCCAGCTGTTGGATGAGTCTATCCTTTCTTGCCTTCAAGCCCCTTTTTTCAATCTCTTCCTCCCTTGTACCCTATTTTTTTCCCTACTCCTTTCTGGACTTTTTGTCTATAGCCAGAAGCCTGAAACCAAGTATGGCCAACGAGGAATGCCACAAATTATACAGCTCAGCAACTTCTGGAGAACTTCTGGTCTCCCAACCAACAAAAGGCCTATTGAAATCTCTCATTTGTATGTGTGTACAATTGAGGTTTTGCATCCACGAGCAGCAGCAGCATTCTTAATTCAGAACTAAGGTCAGAACAGAGGCTCGTTTCATTCCACCTTCTCTTCCAAGAATAACTACTAAGATACTTCTGGGATACGTACAGGAATTTAAATGAAACCAGCTCCGCTTTTTTCCACTGTTTGCTATGATAGCACCAAGCGATCGAGAAAATAATCCTTCCTTACCTTCCCAGCAACAAAAGGCACATCGCCCAGTCGTAGCCTGTAGTGGGGCTGGGAGTGGAAGTGGGTCATTCCCGAGGCATTCTAAGGGAGAGAGGAGAAGGTTTTTCAAGAGGAAAAAGGAATTATGCCAGATTTAATTCTGTTTAAATGAAATCCATACAGCTGGCAATTAAATGAGGCCATTCAGGTCTCTCATTCTTGTATTAAAGGCTTGAGAGCAAACCAATAATGTAGCATAAACCAGGGGTCTCCAACCTTGGCAACTTTAAGACTTGTGGGCTTCAACTCCCTGAATTCCTCAGCCAGCTTTGCTTTGCAATCCTATTCGCTTCCCTAAGATTCCCGAGCAACTATTTATAAGATCGCAAGCAGGTAGCCTCTACCTACCTTCTCTGACTGCTTTGATTTCTTTTTCATCTTTTTGGGTTTTGAAGGCATCAAGACTGGTGTTGGCTGAGTCTGGGCCTGAAGCAACCTTCTATTTGTCTCCAATCCTGTCTGAAGCTGCCAAGGTAAAGCTGGGAATTATTTCATTTCATCACAGTAACAGAACTTGACACTTGGTGATGAACCAATCCAGAAACGAGACCTTCCTTGGCTTGTCAATTTGGATCCCTAAAAGTGGAAATTCTACAGAAATTGAATTCCAGAATGATTTTTCTCCCAATCAGGGATTTGGGACCTCAGCTGAGGAAGAGGGAGGGAGGAAAGAGAAAGGTTAACACACCCCAATTCCCCTTTCCTGTTGCTTTTTAGTTCATTGGAGAGTTTGGATTTTCTGTAGTTTATTACCATTTAGTCTTGATTTTCCCAAATGGTAGCAGAAATTTGGGAGCAATGGGATTGGTTAGTTTTCTGAAAAAAACATTATACTATGTTTCCAGATTAACAGGGCAGCGTGGTGGCTCAGTGGTTAAAACACTAGGCTTGTTGGCTGGAAAGTCGGCAGCCGAGGTTCGAGACTCGAGCATCACGCAACAGAGTGAGCTCCCTTCCTCACACCAGCTCCTGCCAGACTAGCAGTTCAAAAGTGTGCAGATGCGAGTAGATACATTGGTACCACTTCGGTGGGAAAGTAACATGATGTCATGTTGGCCATATGATCACGGAAAATGTCTTCGGACAGCTCAATGGCTTTGAAATGGAGATGAGCATCGTCCCCTATTGTTGGCAATGATTAGCGGAGTAAAATCTGCAGGAACTCCTTTTTCCAGCTTAATATGTTTTTTTTTTGTTTGTTTTTTTAATTTTTAAACAAGCATACATCAGCTTAATATGTTATGATCCCAATTTTTGTACTTTATGGTTTAGCACAACAATTAATTCATCTAGAATGTAACTAGTGAACTGTTTTACGACTCAATATGAAGGAATTGTATTGTTAAATCTCTCTGTCTTTTAACTTTGCAGTTGTTCCTATGACTCTGGGCTTGCTGTTTTCCAAACAAAGCATCTGATCCTACTTGCTGGCCTGGTAGTTCAGACACTTGAATCTTGTGTAACGTGGATAATTTAGTGATAGTTCCTGAAACAATGCACAACCTTCCCACCACCTCATGATCCCTTCCTCAGCAAAGGAAGGAGTATCTCACTGACAGACAAGAGTCCGGGTGAACAGAATTTACCTCAGCAGCTTTTTCCTGCACCAGCTTCCGAGCACGTTCTTCCTCCTGGAGCTTCTCTTCCAATTCTTTCATTTTTTTCTGTTCAAAAACATTAAAGCAGGACAATCACAGGCAAAATGTTACTGTGCCGCCCTGCATGGGATGCTGTGTGGCCGATGCAAATCATAATCTGACTGACTTCCCTTTAGGAAAAGTAGAACAGGTAGTCCTTGACTCACAAGTGTAATGGAACTATGACTTGGTCACAAGTCATGATGGTCATTAAGCGAGGCAACCACATGATTGCTTCTTTTAATGACCCCTCTATCCCTACTCTACCCAATGCAGTTAAGCAGGGGTGGGCTGCTGGGGGTTCGCAGGGGGTTCGCAGGGGTTTGGGAGAATCTCTAGCTAAGATTCTGTGCAGTTTGGAGAACCCCCAAATCCCACTCCTGGCTGGGCCCGCCCGCCCACCCCTCCCCTCCCCTCCCCTCCCAGGAGTCCCCACGCGGCCCGTTTTGGATGCAGGTAAGTGCAGGGCACGTGCGGAAGCTCGGGGAGGGTGAAAAACGGGCCTACCGGAAGTTCAGGAAGGCTGGAAACTCTCCAGAGGGCCTCTGGAGCCTGAGGAGGCTGTTTTCACCCTCCCGGAGGCTTGAGGAAAACCTCCAGAGCCCGGGGAGGGCAAAAAGCCCCCCCCCGTCCCCCCGCGATCCAGGAGGCCGACTAGGCCATGCCCACCATGGCCACACCCACCCGGCAACCAGGCAGAGAACCCCTTGCTAAAATTTTTGAAGCCCACCCCTGCAGTTAAGCAACTATGTGGGTTGTTAAGTGGAGGATAGGGTGCCTCAGAGATGGGGGAGGCCCTGGGAGGCCTAGCACACGTCTAGGCCTGCCTGCCTGCCTGCCCTGGGCTTCTCAATCCGCCACCTCCGGGACACCCCATGCTCTGCTTTTCCACACCTCTTAGGGATCCTGCAAGCCTTGGAGCTATCCCCCCCCTAGCCAACCATGTTCTTTAATCAATAATTTGTTTGTAGATAAGAGATGAGCTATGGGAAGAAAAAGTATTTTGTTAAAATGTCAGAGAAGGTGATCGTTACTGATGTGGTTTGTACTTGTCTTGATGAAGGGGAAAGTTATTTCTTTATATATCTTTATTTTTTATTTTTCTCTGCATTTGTTCTCTTTATGTGTTTCAAGCTGGTATTAGTTTTTTTATCTTTGTTTTAAAGCCTGTAGAACTGTCGTGATAGGTATAGTTGTAAACTCCCAGATTTCTCAGCGCTGAATTTGCTAGATGGAGAATTCTAAGTTACTCAGTACGTCTTGCGGGTGCCTAGGTTGAGAAGGCCGATATCCAGAATTCTATTACCAAAACTGAACATTTGATAAAAGGCTGAGGATTACATTAGTACGGACGGATCTTGCGATCCACAATGAGCAGAACCAATGAGGTCTCACCTCTGCATGAGACTGCATTGAAGTAAGCCGCGTGTATTCTTTCTCAAGCAGATCCAGCCTCTCCAACTTGGAGTTCACGTGGGAATGATCAACGATCTTCTCTTTTTCCAATGTGGCCTGGAAAAAAAAAAGAAGAAGACGAAAACTAAAACTAAACACATGGTGTCATGGAGAAGAAAGAGCCGGCCCCATGAAATTGTACCATGCCACTTGAAGTCACAAAAGGAGGGAAAGTTCAAAACACAAATCAACCACATTTGTTAGTTGTATTTCTCTGAAAAGAGCAATTAAAAAAAAAAATCTTGGACATAAATAAAACATTTCCAAGAGCCCAGCTTCAAAATTATATTCTGTGGCTAAACACTCACATTTTAGTCTGGAGACTACCTTTGGCCATTACCAAAGAAGTAGTAAAATGGTTCCTAGGCTATACAGTTTTAGACTGTAAGCAAGAAAACAGATATTGTTGAAGGAGATAATCCTAGGACAGTCTTTCAGCAGTCCAAAGTGCTAAATAAGTCTGAATATTAATGAGCCTGTAGTACAGTGGACTAAAGCACTGTTATTAACAGATTTATTTATTTATTTATTTATTTATTTATTTATTTATTTATTTATTTATTAAATTTATATACCGCCCTATTCCTAAGGGACTCAGGGCGGTGAACAGCGAACGAAAAAAATACATGTAATACAAACATTAATAAAAAAAACCAATTAAAATATACTAAACACTCTGGTCCTAGATAATTCAAGACATCCCAGTTTAAAATAAAATCAAAAAGCAATATAAAGGGAAAGTTAGGCCAGGCCGGCCTGCTGAAACAGGAATGTTTTGAGGGCACGGCGGAAAGTGCGCAGATCCGGAATCTTCTGTATCTCTGGGGGGAGCTCGTTCCAGATGGTGGGTGCCCTCACAGAAAAGGCTCTCCCCCTGGGGGCCGCCAGTCGACATTGTTTGGCTGACGGCACCCTGAGAAGCCCCTCTCTATGGGAGCGTACTGGGTGGTGAGAGGCTATTGGTGGCAGAAGGCGGTCTCGTAAGTACCCCGGTCCTAAGCCATGGAGTGCTCTAAAGGTGGTAACTAAGACCTTGAAGCGCACCTGGAAGACCACAGGGAGCCAGTGCAGCTCGCGCAGGAGGGGAGCCACATGGGAGCGCCATGCTGCTCCCATAACTACCCGCGCGGCTGCATTCTGGACCAGCTGGAGCCTCCGGGTGCTCCTCAAGAGGAGCCCCATGTAGAGAGCATTACAGTAGTCCAGGCGTGAAGTGACGAGGGCATGAGTGACCGTTTTTAATGAGTCCCGATCCAGAAAGGGACGCAACTGGCGAATCAGGCGAACCTGATAAAAAGACCTCCCGGCCACAGCCGTCAAGTGTTCTTCTAAAGACAGCCGTGAGTCCAAGAGGACGCCTAAGTTGCGAACCCTCTCCATGGGGGGGCAATGACTCATCCCCAATAGTCAGTGATGGCACCAATTGACTATATCGGGACGTCGGAAACCACAGCCACTCGGTCTTGGATGGGTTGAGCCTGAGTGTGTTCCTCCCCATCCAGATCCGTACAGCCTCCAGGCACTGGGACATCACTTTAAGGGCATCATTGGGGTGGTCCAGGGTGGAGATGTATAGCTGAGTATCATCAGCATACAGGATAGAGGAGCAACCCCTGTCCCGGGCCCTCCAGAGATCATCTACCAATGCGACCAATGCCGTTTCCGTGCTGTATCCAGGCCTGAAGCCCGACTGGAACGGATCTAGATAAGCCGATTCATCCAAGTACTGAGGAAGCTGTCGCGCTACCACACACTCAACAACCTTCGCAACGAAGCGAAGGTTGGAGACTGGACGGTAATTAGCCAACACTGCTGGGTCCAGGGAAGGCTTCTTGAGGAGAGGCCTCACCACCGCCTCCTTCAAGGCAGCAGGGAAGACACCCTCTCTCAAGATTAACATCTGCTGCTTGCAATTACCGCAAGTTCAAATCTCACCAGGCTCAAGGTTGACTCAGCCTTCCATCCTTTCAAAGGTAGGTGAAATGAGGACCCAGATTGTGGGGGCAATAAGCTGACTTTATATAAACATACAAAAGTATGAAGGCTATTGCTTAACGCATTGTAAGCTGCCCTGAGTCTCCGGAGAAGGGCGGCATATAAATTAAAGCAAAAAAAAAAAAAAAATGTACTCCAGGAGTAGAAAACACAATCTCTACCAGATTCCCTTTTTTTAGTTTCCTTCAATCATCCTCTTGACTACCAAGAATATCTTTCAACCCTACAGGTTCAATTCCCAACCTTTCCCAGCTGTCGTGGCTAAACTTAAAAATTAAAATACACAGATTTGGAGGATGTCTGTCTATACTGGACAAGGGTGTCAAACGTGGTGTAACATTGTCACATGACGTATGGCAACTTTTCCCCCTTTCGCTAATAGAGGTGGGCGAATTCAGCCCGCAGGTTTGACACCCCTTATATTGGGAAATGCTGGTATACTGAACTCAGCAACTGTATGAAAGTTGCTGATCGCGATAGCTAGCATGTGAGTTAATTTTTTCTAAACTTGGAGGTCAGTTATAGCTATCACGACTAATAACAATGAACATCCTACCCCCATGAGTGTGAATCTATGGCACGTGTGCCCAAAGTGGCACATGGAGTCATGTCGCCTGGCACATGCAGCATCGCCCGTTCCTCTTCCTGGTTTCTGGCGTGCATGCATGCGACAATCAGCTGCCTTTTTGCGTGCGGCAGTGCCGGAAACTGGAAGAGCTGGTCTTCCGTTTTCCTGCGTAAGCATGCGCGCTGGCCAACTGATCGTCGCGAATGCATGCGCGCTAGAAACCCAGAAGACTAGCTGGCTGGTACGCATGCGCGCGCCGGAAACCAGAAGTTCATTTTCGGGCACACGCATGCACCATTGGCAGCTACTCTTCCGGTTGTGGCCCAGACAAGTGCACATGCACAAGGCATGCACACTCCGTCTTCGGCACTCAGTGCTGAAAAGGTTCACCATCACTGTCCTACCCCAATCACTTTATTCCCGTTAAAACCAGCTAAATGGTGACCTTGAAAAATAGTGTAACAGCAAGTTCTGCAAACCAGGAAGTTTTAAAAGATGTTATGGCTACTGGCAACTTTTCTGGAACCTATGGATCAGGACTACATTGATATTTTATTTATTTGTTTGTTTGTTTGTTTAATCCTTTCTTTTTTCTTTTTTTTTAGAAATAACTCGATATGGCAAAAGTAGCTAATACTCTTTCTAATATTTTCCTCACAAGAGCCCTGTGAAATGGGTTGGGCTGAGAATGACTGATCCAAAGTCACCCTAACCCTAACCCAACCAGCTCTCGTGCCTAGCGGGACTAGAACTCACAGTCTCCCAGTTTCTAGCCTGGTCCCTTAACCACTAGACCAAACACAAACTCAATCATTAGAATTAAAAAAGCCCAGGTACCTGTTTCTCCAAGACGGTCGTCTTTTCAAGTTCTGCCTGCGCTATCATCTCCTTCATGTATTCCAGCTGTTTCTCCAGAAGTACACAGCGAGTCTCGGCTGCTGCCAGTTGTGCTGCCAACTCTGGAGGCAGTGCAGCAAAAGAAAACGGATATGAAAACTAACATGAACCAGATCGATTAGTTGCTGCAAATCTTCTCTTTAAAAGTGACTGTTTTCAAACAAAAGGACGAGGAGGTTCATGCTCCAGAACCAACGCTGAATGGGTCTCAGTGAGACTATTCCAATGGCTGCATTTAGCTACCGAACTGGCTCTTTGAAACCAGTACGTGAAAAGAGTAGGAGGAATATCTAACTTGAACATCCAATCATCATCATTTAACAACCCCATAACCCCTTGCGGGATGGAGTCTGGGCCACTGAATGGGGCTAGCAGTGTTTTAATGGCCAGATGCCCTTCCTGTCACCAATGCGGAGCTTTGTTCAGCAGATATATTCTCATTGTGCCCAGAGAGAGAAGTATCTGCCTCTACCTAGGATCGAACTCACAGTCTCCTGACTGTGAGGCGAGAGTTCCGCCTCTAGGCCACTGCACCACTCTCAACTCGAGCATCCAATGATGTGTCAAAAATAAGAAGTATGCATCCAGGGATATCCAGCAGACCTATGCTACTTTACATCTACTACCCAAGGTGCTCAGACCAGCCACAAATGTATCTCAGTGTGAAACAGAAAGGTAGAGATCACAGGGTGTTGAGCCTGATCATATATCTGCCTTGGCTAAAGGCTGATTAAGGGCAGGTAAATCTAAAGCTAAAGGCTGATTCATGGCATTAATGACTTCTCCTGATGGAAAAGTCTGCCAGTTCTTCAACAACCATGACACAACTGAGCATCATGGTAACTACCGTATTTTTCGGAGTATAAGACACAATTTTTTCCCTCCTAAAAAGGGTGGAAATGTTGGTGTGTCTTATACACCGAATACAGCCATTTTTGGCCTCCCGAAGCCCCACCCAACTCGTACCATTTTTGCAAAAAATGGGCCCGTTTTTCACAAAAAACAGGGTGAGCAGAGGGTTTGGGAGGCCTGCAGAGTGCCCCTGGGGGCTGGGGGAGAGCAAAAATGCCCCCGTTTTTCGCAAAAACAGCGTTTTTGCCCTCCCCAGTCTCCAGGAGCACTCTGCAGGCCTCCCAAACTCTCTGTGCACCCCATTTTTTGCAAAAACGGTTTTTGCAAAAACGGGGTGTTTTTGCCCTTCCCCAGCCCCCAGGAGCACTCTGCAGGCCTCTGAGCGCCTCGTTTTTTGCAAAAACACCGGTTTTGAGAAAACCGGGGGGGCGCAGACGGTTTGGGAGGCCTGCAGAGTGCTCCTGGGGGCCGCGGAGGGCAAAAACCTTTTTTTTCTTACTTACTTCGAAATCTTGGTGCGCCTTATACACTGGTCCAAAAAATACGGTAGGCTGCTTTTGGAACTGGGCTACACATTCTAGTTTCAGAAGGTGCTGCGGCTATACAATCAGAGAACAGTCAATTCTAGCTACAGCTTTCCTGAACAGTATATTTTCATCATAGTAACTCTCAATGCTTTTCCAGGGATTCTTAGAAATTTGTCAGTTTAAAAAAAAAAAAAAAAAGTAGTAGAAGATTTGCTGAAAGAGAATTTGCCTCTTTCTGTGGAATTTCCTTTATAAATGCAGTTGGAAGGAATTGGATCCTTCCCAAAGTATTTAGGGCCAAAACATGTAATGCTTTTTTTTGAAGTTTTAGGGGCAAAATAGGTATTATGCCTTATATCCCTTAAGCCCCCAGCTTCTCCCAAATCAGGGTTACTGATCCTATTTTAGGATGAGTGTTAAGTTTCTATCCAACTTAAAGCAACCATTCACCTTTAAGCAACTTATCTTTTAATGCTGCTTCCCCCTCCTTCTACTTCTAAGACAGGGATCGATTAATGTCAGCTACAATCAGACCCCATTGTGCCTCCCCGATATGCGTGAAGATGACTTTATGCCCCAAAGAACCAACCAGCCATACATCTTCGTATTCTTATTTGTTGCCTGCAATCAGATATCATCAGAGATCCCTTGACTATAGCTTGCAAATATTGCACTGAACTACTTGCAATCCACAAGTATTCTTCACGATGCAATATTATTCATAGTATAAACTTTTTTTTTTACTTAACTCAAAAATGTTCCTTTTCAAATAGAGATGCTTATGAACACACACATGCAGCCATGCCCTCATATCCATCAGCCATTCATTTGTACATGCAAGCCACAGTTTCAAGCACTGTGCAAAGGATGTTTGTGAACAGCACGTGGACACAAAACATCTTCCTATCCCATCCTGTGGAGGGATCCAACTTGGCTACAGTGTTCTGATCAAGGCTTCCCAAGAGCACGAAACAAACTCCTTGTCCCGACAAAAACCCCTTTTATTAACTTCCTGTGAATTCTGCCCATTCACAACTGGCAAAGTCTTTCAGGGGAGGATTTACGGTCACAGACCTTATCTGGCTTGGAGAGCTGACAGGCTGATATCTGAAGAACTTGGCAAGGAGTCTCGGAGACTCACGAACCAATTAGCAAACTAATTGTCTCCTGCAAACTCCAATCCCCTTTCTCTCCTCTTTTATTTCCTCTGGGAGGGGCCATTCAACATCTGGCCTTACTCCCAAGTCGACACGTTCTTTATTTGTTCCCTTCATCTGACACATGCACACATTGGGAACAGGCTCCAGCTGTTCGTTTGCCTCACTGATGTCTGACTCTGAAGACAGCTGATAGTGGCATACGGCTCTGGCCCCCTCTCTGCCTCCGACACAGAGCCCTCATCAGTCCTCCCCAGGCTCCAGGACTGCCCCATGTTCTGCTGGTGGGCCACAACATACAGCGCCTGCATATATAGAAGCATTCAACCTAGCAATAGCAACATAACAGGGTTGTTATGCATGCCAATTGCAATCAAAATTGGGAAAGATGCAGCAAATGATTTCTGGAAACGCCTTATGCCTCATTTAATACCTGTCCTTGTACATGTAACCATTCTAAATGTGGACAAGCAAAGAAGATGTGTCTGTATACCGTCATTTTTCTTGAACACTTGCAACTTCGATTGTTCCTTTTCCAGCAACTGTTCGCTTAGAACTTTCTTATAATCTGAGGTCTCCCTGGTCAGGCTTTTCACATTCTCTTCCGCTTGGATCCTTTCTAGCTCCAGCCGACGTATTTTCTCCTGCAGATTCTTCAGAGCGGAGAATATGGCTGGTAGATAAATTAAATCAGATTCATCAGTTAGCAAAAGAGTAGGATACAGGCAATGATGATGAGGGACTTAAGAGTGCAAAAATTAAAAGTCAAAGACAGTTCAGCTATCAAACTATCAACCTGCCTTCCATTGAGAACCTGTATACTGCACTAGTCAAAAAGAGGGCTGGGAAAATATCTACAGACCCTTCCCATCCTGGACATAAATTGTTTCAACTTCTACCCTCAAAACGAAGCTATAGGGCTAGTTGTCTAGTTGTCTAGTTGTTCTGCACACCAGAACAACTAGACACAAGGACAGTTTTTTCCTGAATGCCATCACTCTGCTTAACAACTAATTCCCACAACACTGTCAAATTAACTACTAAGACTGTATTACTATTCTTCTTCTCTTCCTTTCTAGTCTCTATCTCTTCCCACTTATTACTATAACCATGTTGCTTGTATCTTTCAATTATATTGTTTTTGTTTCCTAATACGATTTGATAGCTTATTAGTAACCTTGACTATCACTAAGTGTTGTATCTTTTTATTCTTGATGAATGTATTTTATCCTCCTTATGTACACTGAGATCATATACACCTAAGACAAATTACTTGTGTGTCCAATCACATTTGGCCAATAAGAATTCAATTCAATTCAATTCAATTCTATTCTATTCTATTCTATTCTATTCTATTCTATTCTATTCTATCAAACTATCAAAAATACAGGATGGGGAATTCTGGGACTTGAAATCCCCACATCTTAGAGTTGCCAGGTTGAGTGAAAAACACTGGCCTGGGAATAAAACACATTTTTCTCTGCCTCACTTATTTGACATAAGGCCCATTTGCAAAATGATTTCAAATGGTTCAACTTTTACAGGATGAACAAATTATTAAAATATTTGGAGGGGTATATTAAGGTAATTCATCAGTTTAATGTAATTCTGCATACTAAATTTTTTTTCTCTAATTCGGCTTTTCTCCTGCCCTTTGCCCATTTTTTGGAGTTCATCGTTCGGCCTGGGGGGGGGAAAAGGTTGCAGGCTTTCTAATATAACAAAATTAATACCGAACAAAGATTGCCAGCTGTAATGTTTGAGCAACTGAGCCTCTGCAATTAAAGAGGAACAGAGAGAGCTGTAAACAAAAGTATGACTTCAGTTCTTTTCATGCTGGCAGTGCTGCAAGGAAGTAATTGTCTGTGATAATTAGCAGGAGCATTTTTTTCCCTCTGTAGCCTCCAACAGAGAGAGCCTTCCTTGCATAATCCTATTTTAATTGGGTTATCAACAGCCACTCCAAAAGGAAAGGTAATTAATGTCCTGGGGTATACGTGTGGCTCAAAGATTCCCAAGGGCTTCCAGGTAAGGAACCTATAATTTCAAAGGCTGCTCTCCTTCACATCAGATCAAATGGGTAAAAGGATGAAAAATTCATGCAGCTTCCTGGAACTCGGGGCCCTCAAGGGACACCCTCAAAATAGAGAAAGATGGAAATACGATCCTCCCACTAGATTCCAGCACAAATGATAACTGGTAGAACGTTTGCATTGCTTCCTTAGGGACCAGGAAACTCATCTAAATGACGACTTGTAAACCATCAAAGCAGGTTGAAGAGGAGAAATAAATTATAGGCTTTGTGACAAAAGGGCAGTTAAGGCATATAATACCAGTCACGATTGTTGGGGGGAAGAGACAACAGCAGCATTTATTTCTTGCCGCATAACTGAATAAATCAAAAACAACCTCCCCTTATGCCTGAAAAGTTTTCTATCAGTGTGTGCTACCTACTCTAACATATGCCACGTGAAACATGGACACTAACCTCACAATCGATACAAAAGCTAAGAGTGGCGCAAAGAGCCATGGAAAGATACATGCTGGGCATCACAAGACAAGATAGAAGGACTTGCATGTGGATTAGAGAACAAATGAAAGTATATGATGCCGTCAAGAGTGTTAAAGAATTGAAATAAGATCCCAAGAGAGAAATATAAAAGAAAGATCAAAAAGTCAATAAATGATGAAGTCTCAAAAAGAGTAAGAGATGATGGGAGGCCCTCCCAAGCTCCAATTTCACTGGCAGAGGGTTGCAGGAGGCCGTCACAGCCTTCTGACCTCCATTTTCACTGGCAGAGCATTCGGGCCACCACAGGCACCTCCAACACAAGTGATATTGAGCTGGCCATGCCCACCCTGGCCATGCCCACCCAAGGTCAAACACAACCCTGATGTGGCCCTCAATGAAATCGAATTTGACACTCCTGTAGTATTCAGTCCATAGGCAGGAAGCTGCATCCTAAACTCTAAAGCTTCACAACTTTCTTCAAGGGCCAGTCCCACGCAGAATAAATTACAGTAATCTAAGAGTGAGGTGACCAGTCATATCACATCTGCAATTTTATTGCCAGATGCTTAAACCATGAGGTCTGTCATGCAAAGACGTTCCTGAGATAGAGGTTGCAGGCTGAATGAAGGGACAGTGTTAACTGTTTGTAACTTTTAATTACGCCCAATATTCAAAGACTCGGAAATTATGCCGTTACTTGGACTTGGGAAGGAGATATCAAGAAAAGCAAACTTGAGGCCAGGAGGGCACTTGGAGAAGGAAACCGGCAATGCCTATTCTGTTTATCTGGTGGATAAACACAACTAAGCTGCCATTCTTGCCTTGGTAAGGCCACACTTGGAATACTGCATCCAGATTTGGTCACCACAATGTAAAACAATATAAAACTCTGCACAAAGAGTGCAGAGAAGAGCAACAAAGATGATTAGGAGCCTGGAGGATGAAACATATGATAAACATATGTCTAGTTTAATGAAAAGAAGGACTAGGGGAGACATGATAGCAGTGTTCCAATATCTCAGGGGCTGCCACAAAGAAGAGGGAGCGAAGCTATTCTCCAAAGCACCTGAGGGCCGGACAAGAAGCAATGGGTGGAAACTAATCAAGGAGAGAAGCAACTTAGAACTAAGGAGAAATTTCCTGACAGTGAGAACAATTAATCAGTGGAACAACTTGCCTCCTGAAGTTGTGAATGCTCCAACACTGGAAGTTTTTAAGATGATGTTGGATAACCATTTATCTGAAGTGGTGCAGGATTTCCTGCCTAAGCAGGGGGTTGGACTAGAAGACCTACATGGTCCCTTCCAACTCTTGTTATTCTATTAATGATTACCTATTGTAGAGTGTTTCAGTCTGAAACCAGGCTGTTTTTCCATGGTGAATTCCCCCCCACCTTTTTTTTTAACACCCACTCCTCTGTTTTGTTCTATTCTATGCCTGTAAAATTTATGAATGCATTTCCTAAATGCCCACAATTTTTATTAATTTGTGTCACAAAACAATGCATAGCTTTCTTCAAATTTCATACAGCAGTTTTTCAGAAGGGAAGTGCACGTCAAGGCCTAGAAAGATAACACCATTTTCAAGATGATCTATTGGTTGGAAACGGGATTACATATAAAGTAAAAAAAAAAAAAAACATTCCCGACAGCCCATTTCCTCTGGGGAGAAATATTACCTTTGCTGTTACTCTCTGGATAGGCAATTACCGGCTTGGCGGGGGATCGGCATAGGTCAGCATTAATGAATGGTTTGTGCCTGGGGTACTCGGAGAAGGAACCTGCTGAAAGCCCATTGGTGTAGGATGTTGATGTGTGACTTGCATGAAGAACGCCCTGAAAGCAAGTTAAAAATGGTGAATTGAGCTCCTTGAAAAATACACAGAGATATTATCCCACACTCATCCATAACAGAAAGGAGAACAAGCTGAAACTTTAGAAGGCTGTAATGGTTTGAGTAGAGAAACCACTGTTGAGTTGATAAAAGATTATCAATCCCTAAAACAGCTACTGTCACACTCCAGCAGACCAGTGACAGAGTCTATAACTTTTCCAGTGATAAACTTTTCTCTTTTCTCTCTCTCTCTCTCTCTCTCTCTCTCTCTCTCTCTCTCTCTCTCTCACTCACACACACACACACACACACACACACACACAGCCTGAAATCTCCAAGATTTCTGCGCTCTATTCCAAAGACCTAATCAAGAATGACAGAGTCTCACAAACTCCGAGTGTATGAGTTTACGAGACTCCATCATTCAACATCCATTGAGACTTTGGAGGGAGCGATTACGATGATTAAGAAGCCCGGAGACTAAAATGTATGAAGAACGGTGGCAGGAATTGGATATGGCTAGTCTAGAGAAAAGAAGGACTAGGGGTGATGTGATAGTAGTATACTTGTATTTGAGGGGCTGCCATAAAGAATAGGGGGATCCACCTATTTTCCAAAACATCAGAAGGCAAGGCAATGGATGGAAACTAATCAGGGAGAGAAGCAACCTAGGATTAAGGAGAAACTTCCTAACAATGAGAACAATTAACCAGTGCTTTCAAAAGTTGTGGGTGCTTCACCACTGAAGGTTTTTTTTAGAAGAAGATGGACAGCCACTTGTCTGAAATAGCATAGGGGCTCCTGCTTGAGTAGGGGGTTGGACTAGAAGACCTCCAAGGTCCCTTCCAACTCTATTCTGCAACTAACTAAACTCTCAAGATGTTTGAGCATTTCTGCAAGATTTGGCAATGTCTGGAAGTTGTGTTGTAACAAATGAATTTCATTTCTTTTTCCTGTTGTTCGAATTTATCTAAGTAGCTTCTTCAATCTGAGCCAGTTGGTTGGGGGGACCCCATATATGTCCTCCAGAGTGGTTTCAGTTCTCACCTATCCTGAATAGGCCCATTAGGTGAGTAGGCAGAGAGCCATTGGGACCTAAATGTTCCAACTGATAAATCCTTCTCCTAGGTGGGTTGTTAAGTGTGACAATAGAATAGGATAGGGTAGGGTAGGGTAGGGTAGGGTAGGGTAGGGTAGGGTAGGGTAGGGTAGGATAGAATAGAATAGAATAGAATAGAATAGAATAGAATAGAATAGAATAGAATAACAGAGTTGGAAGGGACCTCGGAGGTCTTCTAGTCCAACCCCCTGCCCAGGCAGGAAACCCTACACCACCTCAGACAAATGGTTATCCAACATCTTCTTAAAAATTTCCAGTGTTGGGGCATTCACAACTTCTGCAGGCAAGTTGTTCCACGTATTAATTGTCCTGTCAGAAAATTTCTCCTTAATTCTAAATTGCTTCTCTCCTTGATTAGCTTCCACCCATTGCTTCTTGTTCTACTCTCAGGTGCCTTGAAGAATAGTTTGACTCCCTCTTCTTTCTGGCAACCCCTGAGATATTGGAAGACTGCTACCATGTCTCCCCTAGTCCTTCTTTTCATTAAACTAGACATACCCAGTTCCTGAAACTGTTCTTCATGTGTTTTAGCCTCCAGTCCCCTAATCATCTTTGTTGCTCTTCTCTGCACTCTTTCTAGAGTCTCCACATCTTTTTTACATCGTGGCGACCAAAACTGAATGCAATATTCCAAGTGTGGCCTTACCAAGGCATTATAAAGTGGTATTAACACTTCATTTCATTTCATTTTTCATTTTATTAGATTTATATACCGCCCTATACCCGAAGGACTCAGGGCGGTGAACAGCCAAAGAGATAAAACATACAGACTACAAAATTTAAAAGACAATATAAAACCCAATTAAATAGTTTGGCCCGGAACAGATGAAAACACCCCTAAAGTTTAAAACAGATTTAAAATTTACAATTAAAAAGGGAGGTTAGGCCAGACCAGCCTGTTGAAATAAAAAGATCTTGAGGGTACGGCGGAAGGTGCATAAATCCGGGATCCTCCGTATCTCCGGGGGGGAGCTCGTTCCAGATAGCAGGTGCCCCCACAGAGAAGGCTCTCCCCCTGGGGGCCGCCAGTCGACAATGCTTGGCCGACGGCACCCTGAGGACTCCCTCTCTATGACAGCGTACTGGCCGATGAGAGGCTACTGGTGGCAGCAGGCGGTCCCGTAAGTACCCGGGTCCTAAGCCATGGAGCGCTCTAAAGGTGGTAACCAAGACCTTGAAGTGCACCCGGAAGACCACCGGGAGCCAGTGCAACACTTCACGTGATCTTGATTCTATCCCTCTGTTTATGCAGCCCAGAACTGTGTTGACTTTTTTGGCAGCTGCTGCACACTGCTGGCTCATATCTAAATGCTTGTCCACTAGGACTCCCAAGATCCCTCTCAATTACTACTATTGAGCAAGGTACCACATATACAGTACCTGTGCATTTTGTTTTTCTTCCCTAAATATAGAACCTTGCTTTTTTCACTGTTGAATTTCATTTTGTTAGATAGCGCCCAATGTTCAAGTCTGTCAAGATCCTTCTGTAACTTGAGCCTATCTTCTGGAGTGTTGGCTATTCCTTCACTTCCTGGTGAAGGATTGAAGGATTCCCTCAAAAAGGGTGGAGGCCTCAGACACAATTTATCTCCCATTTTTTTATGCTGCTCTTTCAACGGTCCTCAGGAAGATTAAGACCACTTCACAGGCTCACCAGGGAGGCCACACCTGACCAGGTATCTAAGGAAAGGATTTAGCAGCTGGAATATTTAGATCCCAATGACTCTCTGCCTACTCACCTAATGAGCCTATTCAGGTTATGTGAGAAATGAAACCACCCTGGAGGACATATATGGGGTTCCCCAACCAATTGGCTCAGCTTGAAGAATCTACTTGGATAAGCAGTGGGATATTTCAAATCAAAAAAGAAAAGAACTCCGGTTGCAATGACTCAACTTCCAGACAACTCTATCTGGATGACTGAGAATCTTCAACAAGATTTGGCAATATCAGCCACTTTTTTTTTTTAATCTTGAGAGCATAGGGGCAATCTTTCCTCAGACAAGGGGAAATGTTACGGCAGACCCTAAACCAAGGATAGAATTGAAAAAAATAAAATAAAATAAAAATTTCTACTAGCAGATATTCACACTAATCTGCAGTTGAAAGCAAGGTTATGAACAGATACTATCAAGAAATATCCAATTGTAGTATCTAATAATACATATCTGTTCCACTAGCTACCATAAATTTTCAGTCATCCAGGTCGTGGTTGTCCCAAAGGTGCTTTTTCAAGAAACAACTGGACTTTGTTTTTCCTTTGTGCCACTTCTCATCCAAGAAGCTGAACTGAGGAACTGAAGAACGTTTTCAAGGAAAAACAAAGAAAATTCGGTTGCCTCTTGAAAAAGCATCTTTGGGTGTTCCATTAGCTGCAGTAATCAGTGGAAAATCAGAATGCAGGTTTAATACAGCTAAAAAAACGTATCAGTAGAGAGAATGCCTGCCATTTTTTTAAATAAATCTGCTCATCGCTGGCAGGTCAGATAGCTACAAAGAATGTTGTTCTAAGAAGGCAAAAGTAAATGACCCACAAAGAGCAAATGTGGTCCAGAAATTAAATCCTTATTCAGCATGAAGCTTATTAAGTGACCTCAGATCTGCAGTTCAATATACTCTTGCGCATTTACTGAAAAAGAATGAAGGAAGGAGTAACATTTCAGCCAGTTTGGTCTAGTGCAGGGGTCAGCAACCCAGGGCTCTGGAGCGGCATGTGGCTCTTTCATCCCTCTGCTGCAGCTCCCCGTTTCCGGTCGGCTCCACAATTGATAGGGCTTTCGGTTAGAATAGGTAGAGGAAAAAGGATGCCGCGCTAGGAGGAAACTCTATGGTGGGGGGAACCAGACTTCCGGTCGGCTCCAGAAGTGAAGGGGGGGCTTCCGGTTAGGACCTTTGCGGCTCTTTGAGTGTTTAAGTTTGCCGACCCCTGGTCTAGTGGTTTAAAGCACCAGAGTAGAAATTGTGAGATCTAGTCCCATTCTGGCATGAAAGCAAGCAGGGTGATTTTGGGCCACTCCCTCTCTCTCTCAGCCCATCCCACTCCACAGGGTTGTTGTGGAGAAAATAGGAGGAGGAAGGAATATTTAAGTATGTTCATCACCTTATTTATAAAAATAAAGGTGAGATAATACAATAAATAAGCAAAGCAAGCAACCCTTGGGCTTCTTGAAAGACACATGGTGTAAAATACTTATAATGTAAAACCATATTATCCATCTGTCTGTTTGGAAATAACCAACAACTTTGGTTTACTTCCACAAAAGGAGGCTGAAGCTTCCAAGGAAACATGACTAGAATGGATTCAATATAGCCAAAGCAGGTTCTTGTTATGCCGTTTTCATTATCATTTGTTCTTCTCTCTCCTGCCTCCTACGCATCCTACCCAAATGGTTTAGTCCGTGTGACATGGAATGGGATATGAATCTTTTGTGGCTTACTGTATTGCACACCCACAATAACATGGGTCTAAATTAAGTGACAAATGTTTATTTGAAATATCTTTCTCAGCTGGTTCCTATGCAACATTATGATTAAGTTACTTTTTTGGAGCACTCAGAGCTGTTCTACAGTGGAAAAGTATAACATAGGAAACAAATTGGAGATATTCCTAAAAATTATATCTTCAACAAAAACACTCAAGTTCTGAAAAGTTTAGAGGCAATGCAAAGAAAATGATATGATATGGAGACTCAAACAATTGTCAGTTCAATGCCCCAAGCTCACAAATTTTAATATAAGTCCGTAAGAATTTAATTTGAAATAAGAATCTCTTTGACTTCTAGGGCACCTTGTTACTAAGCAACTCAACACAACTCTAAATATATTTAAAATTTGTCCCTGGATATATAAATCATATAGAATTGTTTGAGAAACACTCTCTATGGAATTCCCAAACATGTTTAAATACGATTTTAGTAAAGTAGCAACTGCAGAATTATTCTGTCTCCCCAAAGAGTACGCTCTGTACTTAAAGCTCCCAAGATGCTTCTTTAAAACATTATAAAAATGCTGCAATGTCTAAATTTCTATTTGTTATATGTTTCAAATTGCATACCCTACTCCTTCAAATAAGTTCCTGCAAAAATGCGGAAGAAGACAGGAAACCAGCATTTCCTTACATAGAGATTCAAAACACTCAAAAGAGTGTATAGGAAACATCCTGCCAAGATCTGAAACTAACTGAAGGCCAGTGGTAATGCTATATTTACATATTTCAGTACTGTACTCTAATCCATAATACTGTTTGTTTATTTTTGGCTTTGCATGTTGAGATAACCCAGCCACTGCATTTTATAAACCATTACAAATGTTTACATTTTAAACTGCTCTTCTCCAGACAGATTACAAATGTTGTAAAAGCATTACATGTTTCTAAAACCATTTAAAAAGAGGAAATGCAATGCAATGCAATGCAATGAACAGATAAGAGAAAACTATTGTGGACTGCAGAAATCTGGATAACAAAAAAAGAGATGCAGAAAACTTTGTAATCTTCTAGTCACAAGAATTTTTGCATTCTGGATATGGCAATTCTAAGGAATCCTAGGAAACAATCCTACGCAGGCTGGTTAATTTAAATTGAACAGAAGGTAAAATGGTAAAAATACCTGGAACAAAATAAATTTTGCTGCCTGATGACAAAAAGACCTCATGTCTTTTGAGGATGGATAGACAACCCAAAGCCTTGAGCAGGTACATAATGGAGGAGGCGAAATTCTCTGATAAATTTTGTCCCCAATAATATACAAAACCAGCATAAGCCAATCTTATAGGAGTTAATAGAACAGGCAATTGTTAGAATTTCTAGAATTACAGTAAATATCATGAGAAAGGCGGGGCTATATGAATCAAAAGTTGGAATTAAGATTGCCAGGAGAAATATCAACAACCTCAGATATGCAGATGATACCACTCTAATGGCAAAAAGTGAAGAGGAACTAAAGGGCCTCTTGATGCGGGTGAAGGAGGAGAGTGCAAAAGTTGGCTTGAAACTCAACATTAAGAAAACTAAGATCATGGCACCCAGCCCTCTCAATTCCTGGCAAATAGATGGGGAAGAAATGGAGGTAGTGACGGATTTTATTTTCCTGGGCTCCAAGATTACCGCAGCCAAGAAATTAAAAGACGCTTGCTCCTGGGGAGGAAAGCTATGGCAAATGTAGACAGCATACTAAAAAGCAGAGACATCACCTGCCAACAAAAGTGCGTATAATCAAGGCTATGGTTTTCCCAGTTGCAATGTATGGCTGGGAAAGTTGGACCATAAGAAAGGCTGAGCACCAAAGAACTGAGGCCTTTGAACTCTGGTGCTGGAGAAGACTCCTGTGAGTCCCTTGGACTGCAAGGCGATCAAACCGGTCAGTCCTAAGAGGAGATCAACCCTGACTGGTCTTTAGAAGGCCAGATCCTGAAGATAAAACTCAAATGCTTTGGCCACCTAATGAGAAGGAAGGACTCACTGGAGATGAGAAGCCTAATGCTGGGAAAGATTGAGGGCAAAAGAAGAAGGGGACTACAGAGAATGAGGTGGCTGGAGGGAGTCACTGAAGCAGTCTGCGCGAACATAAATGGACTCCAGAGGATGGCAGAGGACAGGAAGGCCTGGAGGAACGTTGTCGATGGGGTCGCAATGGGCTGGACATGACTTTACGACTAACAACAACAACAATACACATATAGCAAACTTCTATGAAGAATCTCAATTATCCAGATCACAGTCGTCCCAAAGGCACTTTTTCAAAAGGCAAAGAGACTTTTTTTGGTTTTCCTTGAAGACGTTTCACTTCTCATCCAAGACGCTTCTTCAGCAGAACTGAGGAAGCTTCTTGGATGAGAAGCGAAACATCTTCAAGCAAAACAAAAGCAGCCCACTTGTCTTTTTTGAAAAAGCGCCTTTGGGACATGCAGTAAACATGTGACTCTTCATGTCAAGAAAAGGAATTGTTAAGGCAAATATAAATAAATCCATAAGATAGATGATTAGATAGATAGATAAATAGATAGACAATAGATTTATCATAGATTTTTAATTAATCCAATATATATACACACAATGATAAATATATGTGTAAATCCATGCAGGGAAGGTAGATAGAAAAATAAGGTAATTTGATTTGGAGCCTTCTCAGCAACAGGCAAAGGGTGCTCTCTCTCGCTCTCTCTCTGTGTATGTATGTATATATATATATATATATATATATATGTATATGTATATAGATAGATAGATATATGGGATTTATATTTGCTTTAGGAGGTATGTCTGTGTATATACACACACAATTCTTGCCTGTTGCTGACAAGGCCCCAAATGAAATTCTCTTTTTTTCTCCATCTACCTTCCCTGCAGCCCAAGGAGAGGAGTCTGAGAAATAGCCAGGAGCTCCCAGGATCAACCCAAGCTGCAGAGACCTTGAAAAGGGAGACCACCAGGAAATGCCCAAGGTTGCTGACTAGAAGAAACACCCCAGAAAACTATTTTTTTTAATCCCTAGAAACTGAGCTCAATTTTATTTAAATGGCTTATGCTCATATTTAAATTGAGGCTACTAATACCTTCCCTCTCCACCAAAAAAAACCCCCCCTCTTATCTAATCAAATAAACTACTACAGTTAAGGCTCATTTTAACTATATCCCCACCTCACCCACCCGTCCATGCTACATGGAGAGGGAGAGAATATAGGTTAAAGTTCCCGAAGTTAGGGAATATAGACTGCAAACAGACTAACGGAAAACGTGTCTCTGGGCATGTGCAGAGCGCATTATTGTCCCCCTCCCCCGAGGAGGTACACTCGGGCCTCCACGGACGGATAGTCTACGAATGCCACTCCATATACTGGAGATAAGACGCCTAGCAGGGCCGCCGCGGCTTCGCCTCCCTCCAGCTCACCGTGTGCTCAGGGGCCTCGGCTACCGCCATGTCGTAAAAAGGCGGTCGTGCCGGGTGTATGTCCCTTTAAGGCCAGCAGCGGCTGCTCCTGCCTCGCTCCCGCCTCCTCCCACTCGGCCTTCCAGCTGTCAACAAGGTAGCTCTATGGAGTGACATAGCAAACGGCCAACCACGACGCGACTCCTTCTCTCCTCCTCCCCCTCCTCCCCCCAACGCATCCGGCTCGTTGCCTCTTACGACACGCTTGCGTCACACAGTGGAGGCGGCGATTGACGCGACAAACAGCCAATAGGAGTAGGCGATGGGATTTAGAGGTGTGGGAGTGGTTCTTAAGGCCAACCTGGATTTTCGGCGCTGTATTTTCTGGGAACGTATCAGCCGTGAAGCCAATCGTACAGCCAGTACGGCGTGGGTTAACAGTGGTTTTTTCTAGCCGTTGGCAAAGAAGCGAAAGGAAGAAAAGGCAGGCAGCGTCTCCGCTCTCTTCTGCGCAAGCGCAGCCCCGAGACGGTCGGCAGGAAAAAGCCCTCCAAACTTCAGAAGAAGAAGAAGAGCGCCTGGGAGGACCAATGAGAGAGCGCGCGCGCTCGGGGGACCGTTCCTTTTCCCGATTGGTGGGGGGGCGGGCGCGACGTCACGCGGCGAGGCGGCGCGCGCCCTTCCATTGGGCGGCGAGGTTTGAAAGCAAGTATTGCCGCGCGGCTCGGATTGGCCGAGGAGGCGAGCCCGCCTGCCGGAGGCGTTCATTCGCTCCTTCGCTCGCGCTCTCCTTGTGTTTGTGTGAGAAGGAGGGAGGAAAGGAAAAAAAAAAAAAAAACAGGTTCGGGCCCCGCGGCTGACACAAGGAAGAGGCGCGGCCTATTCGACGCCGGGAAAGCGGCCGCTGTCGGCGAGGCTCGAAGAAGAAGAAGAAGAAGAAGAAGCGCGGTTTGTCTGCCTTTGGATTTCCTCTCGGGCGGGCGGGCTGGCGGCCGGCCGGCCGTGGCTCCCTTTAGGCCGAGAGGAAGGCGGATGGCGGCAACATCCGGGGCTTCTGGGGCGACGGCGGGCGCGGGATCCGGCGCGGCCCCGGCTCTCTACGCCTGCACCAAGTGCAACCAGCGCTACCCTTTCGAGGAGCTCTCCCAGGGACAGCAGCTCTGCAAGGTGCCGCTTCCGAGGGGCCGAGGGCGGAGGCGGCCGGGAGGAAGGAAGGGAGGGAGGGACGGTTGCGTGGGCGGCTCTGCCACCGGCCAGGCGGCTCTTGGATTGGAGGCTTTGGAAGAAAGGCTCGCTCGCTCGCTCTTTCTCGCCCGCCCGGTCGGTCGGTGGGAGGAAATCCTTGGCCTTTTATTATTTATGATTGTTTTCTTGCTTGCAGATAAAAAAAACGATACACGGCGCTCGCACAATTGGCACACACTCATATTCACACACACACACACACACTCACAAGGTATACTTCACACAGCCACATATAGGAATGAAGATAGTGATTAAGAGGCAGAAGCAAGATGGTTACTTAAAGTAAAACTCTTTGACCCCATTAAAAAAAAAAATAGTCATCAGAAGGAAAATACAATTATTATTATTCATAATAATATTAGGGCAACACTCGTGAATTTGCGCGCACACACACAAACTCATATACTTTCACACACGTGTTTATGGGTACACACAACCACATAGCAGTGGAAATAACAGTTATTAAGCAGCAGAAGCAAGATGGTTACTTAAAGTAAAGCTCTTGACACCATTAAAAATAAAGTCATCAGAAGGAAAATACAATTATTATTCCTTAATATTAGGGCAACAGTCTCGTATATTCGCGCGCACACACACTCATATACTTTCACATGCATGTTTATGGGTTCACACGTACACAACCACAGAGGAGTGAAAATATCTCAGTTATTAAGCTTTCAGAAGCAAGATGGTTACTTAAAACTCTTGACACCATTAAAAAAAATAGTCATCAGAAGGAAAATACTATTACCAGTATTATTAATAATAATAATAATAATAATAGGACAATACTCTTGTACATTCGCGTACACACACGCATATACTTTCACACACGTGTTTATGGGTTCACACCTACACAATCACTTAGCAGTGAAAATAACACAGTTATTAAGCAGCAGAAGCAAGATGGTTACTTAAAGTAAAACTCTTACACCATTAAAAATAAAGTCATCAGAAGGAAAATACAATTATTATTCATAATATTAGGGCAACAGTCTGGTATATTCGCGCGCGTACACACTCATATACTTTCACACACGTGTTTATGGGTTCACACATACACAACCACATAGTGAAAATAACAGTTATTCAGAACCAAGATGGTTACTTAAAGTAAAACTCAACACCATAAAAAAAAAGTCATCAGAAGGAAAATACAATTACCGGTAGTATTAATAATAATATTAAGGCAACACTCTTGTGCATTTGCATACACACACACACATACACACACTCTCATAATTTCGCACACATGTTCATGGGTTCACACACAACCACATAGGAGTGAAAATAACCCCAGTTCCATTTTTTCCATCAATTAGTCAGCAGCAGAACCAAGATGGTTACTTAAAGTAAAACTCTTGACACCATAAAAAAAAGTCATCAGAAGGATAATGCAATTAGTATTCATAATAATATTAGGGCAACACTCGTACATTCGCACACAAACGCACACACTCATACTTTCACACACATGTTTGTGTGTTCATGGGTTCACACTTACACACCAACCACATAGTGAAAATAACAGTTATTAAGCGGCAGAACCAAGATGGTTACTTGAAAGTAAAACTCTTGACACCATAAAAAAAATAGTATCAGAAGGAAAATACAATTGTTATTAATAATAATATTAGGGCAACGCTCTGGTATATTCGCGCACACACACTCATATACTTTCACACATGTGTTCATGGGTTCACACGTACACACAACCACATAGGAGGGAAAATAACCCCAGTTCTGGTTTTTCCATCAATTCTTCAGCGGCAGAACCAAAAAGGTTACTTCAGGTAAACTCTTGACACCATGAAGTATAAAAAAAAAGTCATCAGAAGGAAAATACAATTAGTAATAATAATATTAGGGCAACACTCTTGAACATTTGCACACACACTCATACATTCACACACTTGTTTGTTCATGTGTATACACGCACACACACATGTTCATGTGTACACACACAGAGCCACATAGGAGTAAAAATAACCCCAGTTTGTTTTTTCTATCAATTCTTCTGCGGCAGAACCAAGATAGTTACTTAAACTCTGACACCATGAAGTATAAAAAAAGTCATCAGAAGGAAAACACAATTAGTATTAGTAATAATATTAGGGCAGAAGGCTTCAAGGCTTTTATACTGTACTAATAGGACGGACTCCCTTCTTCCGGTCCTTAAAACAGGTGGGGAATGATGACCTTTTTTTTTTTATTTGTGGACTTCAACTCCCAGAATTCCTGAGCCAGCATAGAATTCTGGGATTTGAAGTCCACAAGTCATTTTATAAAAAGGCCCACGTTCACCCACCCCTGCCTTTGAAATTTACAAAATGAGATTCTATGCCATGTTGCCTGCTGAATTGCACCGTTTAGCCATCTGTGGTTCCTTCTGATGAAAGGAGGGTGGGGTTTTTTTCCACATGGTAAGAAATTAGCAGGACAATTCAAAATGGATGGGTAATAAGAGAAGAGCAAGTTTGGTCTAGTGTTTAAGCCACTAGGTTGGAAAACAAGAGGCATTGAGTTCAAGTCCGGCTTTAGCCGTGGAAGCCAGCTGGGGTGACCCTGGGGTAGCCACTCTCAATCTATCTCAAAGGGTGGTTGTGAGGAAAATAGAGGGGTGTGTGTTATATATGTTCGCTGCCCTGAGTTATTTGTAAAAATAATAAAGGCAGAATATAAATAAATAAGGACAACTGTACACCATATAGTGCTGTTCGGAATGGCAATCTAGTTTCAAATTTGACACCATTACTGTTAGGGCTCTTGACCTCAAGATTTTGGTTTTTTTGGTTTTTTTTTTTTTTAATTTCATCCAGGGTTTTTTTTCCCCCTTGAATTCATTTCTTATGGAATGAGATATACCGGAAAATTTTCATGGATGGAAAAATGCACAATGTTTCTATTACTAGATTGTGGGAGTAGGAGGACAAGAGCTACTGATATCTCTTGTTTGTATAGGTTGTGCTTTCAACCTGGCATTGAAAACATAAATTCGCTGCTACTTAGATATTTGAAATTGGAAGAATCAGTTGTATGCATATAAAACACCAAATGTTGATCCGATTTTAGCAAGGCGGAGAGACATCTGTTTTCTCTTAAAAAGAAAAGCTGTGGTCTTTTATGATATAAATGTTCCTAGGCAGTTACAAAATCATCACAGAACGTTAGATGGATCCAGTAGCTGACACATCCCAAGTCATTTAATTGCAGGAATTCATAATATCAAAACAAAGCAATTTTTAAAAAATGGAAAATTTCAAAAATGCCAAAAATGGTTGTGGGTTTCTGCCTGCATCTGCATTGTCTGTGCTTTCTTATGTAACAGCCTATATATATATCCGTAGACAGTATTCATTGAATAAACGTGTAGTCTGTTAGGTGTTAAAGAAGTGAAACATTGGGTTCAGCAGCATGGGTATTTTTTAAATGATAATTGCTGCATAGTCATTAAATTAAAAAGATATAGAGGCAGTTGCAAGAAAAATAAATAAAATAATTTCCACTGAGGAGCAAACTACATTTAAACTGTGTGCGAGGTTACTGATTTTTGTGAATAATTTTTATTGCAATATTTATGTTTTAAACTTCCAAAAGCTGCTGAAACATATGGCATATAGGTCATCCTTGACTTACAACAGCACTTGGGACCAGAATTCCCAAGCTGGTTCTTAGGTGGGTCACAGCCAATTTTAATAACTTTCTTTGCCATGGTTGTTAAGTGAATCACTGCAGTTGTTATGCGAGTCTGGTTTCCCCCATTGACTTTACTTGTCGGAGGCTGGCTGGGAAAGTTGCAAATGGCGACTACATGACCCCAGGACACTGCAACTGTCGTAAATACTTCCTGGTTGCCTATCCAAAATTTTGATCACACAACTCTGGGGATTATTTAGTGTCAAGGCTAGCTTTTTTCAGTACCGTTGAAACTTTGAACGGTCACTAAGCAAATTTACTGGTAAGTTGAGGTTTACCTGTACATCTTTATTTGAAAAAATTAACAAGTTAATTTTGTACAATAGTCTGCCAAAGGTGTGTGTTCTGTTCTAATAAATTGTATTGTTAGTCCAATATTCAAGAATAGTGTCCTATTTTACTACCTCAGCTGACGAATGTTTTAGAAGCGGTAAGACTTCATTGTGTCTTCTCAAGACCCCTAGTTGATTTTAGAAAGAAACTTAGCAAATGAGATTTTGTCTCATCTGCCTGGTCACACGACCATCATTAAGTGTATATCACAGCACAGTATTCACTACTACTGCCTTACTATATAATAATTTACTTGATTAAAATACAGATATCTTACTTTAATTTTAATTCTTTCAGGATTGGGAACATTCTTGTATTGTACATTTAAAAAATTAAACTACTGCAGTTAAATAAATTAAGTTGCTAATTACACATAGAGAACCAAGGTGATTTGCAAAAGCTGAAAGTTAAACTGGGCATAGCATAATATATTCACAAAGATTTAGAAGCTATATAATAATTTGGCTTTGTCAGTGCATGTGTTTGAGATAGGGATGTAACTTTCCATTTTGATACACTAAATTTGGTGATCCGCTTGCTCGAATTGGTAAAACTATTTGTCGTTGGCAGCAGTTATTTTTTGTAAGGTAAAATCTAATGCACCTAATATCACTTTTTGCACTTCAATAAAATATTGTTTATCTCTTCTAGGAATGTCGTATTGCGCACCCCATTGTAAAATGTACTTACTGCCGATCAGAGTTTCAGCAAGAGAGGTGAGTTAAATAAACATATTAATGAACAAAGGATGGTTGAAGAAAAGTAACTGTTGGTGGCTCTGGAAATGCCATGCATGGAGCTTAAATTCATATCTAGTTCTGCTTGCTGGGAATTCTTGGAATTGTAGCCTCTACACCTCAGGAAAATAACCATATTAGTAACCACTGCCCTACTCCATTTCTTCCTAATATACATACATGAGTTTCCTTAGGGTTACATGGTATTTTTTCTTTCCCATTTAGTGGCATGTCTGATATTTTTTCAAATGGTAGCCTCAAATAGGTGATCTTCATCCACTAGGTGTCCAACTGGCGGCCTGGATGCGGCCCACAGGGTGCTTAGATCTGGCCTGCAGGGCCACCCTGGTAGCAGCGAAGACTTGGCCCACGGTGCCTCAGGCTGGCTCAGTCTGATGTACAACCTGGTGGCAGCTGACAGCGTGCTGGAGGAAGCCATCACAGTCAAAAACAGAGCTCAGGAGGGCCTCCTGCGCCCCTCCAGAGATCTGTTTTGGCTGTGATGGCCTCATCCACAGCGCCCCCCCTCCCCCAACACGAGTGACATTGAGCTGGCCATGCCTACTCTGGCTACGCCCCCAACCACCCTGAAGTTAAACACATCCCTGATGCGGCCCTCAGTGAAATCAGATTTGACACCTCTGCACTAGGTGGTCAGAGTGCTAGCAACTTTTCACACTGTTAATAATTTAAGCCTTATATGCCATAATAGAATGTGGCTTTAGTTCCCAGTGTATCATTTTTAAACTTTTTACTAATGTAGAAGTTTCTTTATTCTCAATTAAGAGATTACCTAGCTTTCTTGCAATAATATATTCAGTTAAGATGGAGTCCTCAATAATTCAAAAATTAGGATTTAAAATGACACACTGAGTAGAAACTTTACTGGTTAATGGTGTCTTGAGATTTAAAATTACTTAAGGTTATAATAGTACACGTGTTCATTTTGATGTAAAATTTCTATAGAACTAATACACCTAGGCTAATCTTATTTCTTTCTGAATGGAAAATTTGTTAATTTATGTGGCAGTAACATATTCTTTGAGAACCTTAGCAACATTTTAATTCACAAATTTCTCCTTTTCAACAATAATTATAGGTAGGTGTTTGATAACTAAGTAGCTAAAATTTGAAATTTTGCTTTTTTTTTTAGCAAAACTAATACAATATGCAAGAAGTGTGCCCAAAATGTGAAACAATTTGGAACGGTAAGTTAACATCTTTAGTCATATTTGTGATTGGGTTGCTAAACTATAATTGTCCAGATTCCTACACAAATTGTAGACATTTTGCCCTTGTTTGTTTGAAATAATAGAGCAATTTTCTGAGATAGCAATTACAATTTTCCTTGGTTATGTGACATGAAGAGAGAAATGATCCATGCATACTGACAATTTATTAATGAACAAAACACTGAGGGGATTGTTTGTTTTGAGGTTTTTGGTAGCAGATAAGGAATTTATGCCTGATGTAGACATCCAGATGAATGCAATTCCAATTTTATGAAGCAGTTCCAGACACTGATTGGAATTATATGAGATGGAACTACTGAAACTCTAAATACGTTTTCGAAGGGATTATGACCCATTATCTCTTGTTCCAGTTATAAAACATAATGCTCTTTTAGCATCCAAGTACTGCATTTGATGACAATATGTCTTCAGCCCGCTGTATAATTATTTGATCTCCCCCCCCACTTGATTTTGAGTTCTCAACAACTTAAATTAACATATTTTTAAGAGTTTCTAACCATCTTTTTCCAGCCAAAACCTTGTCAGTATTGCAACATCATTGCTGCTTTTATTGGTACAAAATGTCAGCGCTGTACAAACTCTGAAAAAAAATATGGACCACCTCAGACATGTGAACAGTGCAAGCAGCAATGTGCTTTTGACCGCAAAGAAGAAGGAAGAAGAAAGGTAGGCTTTGGTGATTTTAAATAAAAGTTTGTGGTGTAAAATTGACAGTGCAATTGATCTCAAAGCCACTGAGTTAAAATCCAGCTTGCATTCCATTCTCCCAAGTAAGACCTGAAGGCTTAGTTATGCTACTTAGTCTTACATTGATGAATATCCATAAAGGTAAAGGTTCCCCTCACACATATGTGCTATTCGTTCCTGACTCTAGGGGGCAGTGCTCATCTCCGTTTCAAAGCCGAAGAGCCGGTGCTGTCCGAAGACGTCTCCGTGGTCATGTGTCCGGCATGACTAAACGCCAAAGGCGCACGGAACGCTGTTACCTTCCCACCAAAGCTGATCCCTATTTTTCTACTTGCATTTTTTACGTGCTTTCGAACTGCTAGGTTGGCAGAAGCTGGGACAAGTAACAGGAGCTCAAATTTCTATGTAAAAGGGGTGTATGGTATCCCTCTTCCTTATGCCTTATGTAACTAGATTAGCTGCATTGTTGATGTTTTCTAAAAGAAAATGCCTTTTATACTACATTAAAATGACTACTTCCAAGTATTTATAGAAAAATAATTTGCATATAAGGAATCTCTCTTCCTATGTTTCTGGGTTAGGGTTTATATATGTTTATGTAACACCTGATAGTAAGAAAAATTAATTGGATTTTTCAAAAGAGTGGGCAACAAAAATTATCACATGAATTTTTTTTATAATATGTTAAGAGGTTCAAATAATGTCTATGTCAAAGTTTGGTCTATAGTTTACCCAGTTACTATTTATGTGATATAAGCTATTGCAGTAAGCATCTATATTAATTCTTCATAGAATTCAAGGTACTGTAGTACTTAAGAATTCATCACGTATAGGATATACATGGAAGAGCCAGTTTATCTAGTGGTTAAGGCACCAGCCATAAAGCAGGAAGTAATGAGTTCATGGCCTTAGACATGAAAGCCAGCTGGGCCAGTCCTCAGCATAACCCACCTCACAGGATTGTTGTTGTAAGGAAAATAGGAGGAGGAAGAAGATATATTGGATATATTTGCCATCTAGAATTATTTGTAAAATAAAGGCAGGATACAAATTTAAAAAATGTTAATTTGTTTAGCTCAAACATACTTATCAAAACACAAGAGCCTGAGCAGCCCTTTGTCTTCTAGAATACATTATTTTGTTATAAGAACAAATAGCAGAACAGTAACTAGAGAAAATCATTTATTAGTACCACTTGATTAAAAATTATGATGCAGGGTATGTTATGAAGTATAATAATCTCTTTGCCTAAACCAGTGACAGTCCTTGGAAAGGTAAACAGATTGAAGTCAAGTTTTTTTTTCCCTGCAAAGTTTTCTGCAATGTCTAGCATATTTTATTTGATATGCTGCAGATAGATAGATGATAGATAAGATAGACAGATACATATATGTATTCTTGTTTATATTAAGATCTGTGTGCAAGAATAAGCGGTAGTATTTGATAATTTTATTCTGGCTGTTGTGTGTCTTTTTAGCACTCAGTACGTGTAACATAACTTGCTGCGAATGATTTCCCAAAAGGTTGATGGGAAGCTGTTGTGTTGGCTTTGTACTCTGTCCTACAAGCGAGTGCTGCAGAAGACCAAGGAACAGAGGAAGAGCTTAGGGCCCTCCCATTCTAACTCTTCTACGTCTATTACCGAAAAAGACCAGCATCATTTGAAACACCACCATCACCACCACCACCGTCACCCCCACCACCATCGCCACCATCATCACAGCGGCGCCCATCACAAGTAAGTGCGATGGGAAACTCTGAAATGAAAGCAGCCTTAAGGAGACGCATTCCTGTGGAAGGGGGTAGATTTAAAAAAATAATAATACCTAGCTTCTTGGCGAACACAACAAATTCCTTTGGTAAGATACAATTTTCAGAAATCAGATTGTGATGTGGCCGAGGCACATTGTTGTGACCCCGACTCCCGAGCCTGTCCTAACAGAGGAAGAGGACTCAGAAGGTGATGGGGAGGAACTGACAAGGCCTCCTTCTCCAGGACCCTCCTTTCTGGCAATGCCTCAGGTTCCATCCGAAGGCCAGGAGGAACAGCCTGGGATGTGCCAGGAGGAAGGCATATCGGAGCACCAATTGATAGGGAGCGAGGATGATGAATCCTGGCTTGATCCCAGGCAGCATCGGAGGGAGAAGCGTGCGCAGCAACGGAAGAGGCATGGGAGGGCCAGAGATTGAGCTGAGTCACGGAGCCACGCCCCACCAGGGATAAAAGTGGGTGGGATTGCTCTTCAGGCTTTGTGACGGACAAAGTTAAACCCTGAAAGTCACATCGTGATCTCTGAAATTCAGCTTGGATATATTTTGGACTGAACATTGACTAAACTCTTGTCTCGTGGATAATTTGTTGCTCCTGGAACGGACTGAAGATAAGTCCTCTTCTGCTTTATGGGAGTGAAAACGGTCTTGGCAGGCATTTGGCAGCTTGCTGCCAAAACCTTGGTCTGCCAAGAATTCTAATCTGTTTACTTAATAAAATACTGGCAGGCGTGCTTGGTATTACGTTTGCCTGTGTGAGGAAGGGGGACAGAACACACACCCTGGTTTGGAGAACGTTGCAGTTGTCACCAGACAACTTGGATCATATAGCAGTGGTCTGGTGTGCGTGTGTGGGGAGGAGGAGGGATGGTTCCGTACAAGTGGGGGGTGACCACATGCGCGCACAGCTCCATTTGTACAAGCAGAGAGCACCCATGGCTTCTGCAAAGAGACCTGCATGTGCTTGCCTGCTGCACATTCAAATAAAGCTGCAGGCATGCTCCCACCCGCTGCTTCTGCGGCCCAGTTCCAAACAGGCTACTACTAGGCCGCATCCCAGAGATTGGGGACCCCTGTCAAATAGAATCTTGGTGCGACTGTTTAGAGACTGTATATTGGCCAGGAATATGTTTGTATGGAACATGCACACCTCAACCCATCCCAAGTGTTCTGACCCAGCTCCCCAAACACGACAAACCCTCTGAAGTGAACTCAAAGATTCCTTTAATTGGGAGTGCCGGCAGCCCTGGCAAAAAGTTTCTCTCTCAACACAGGTTAACAAGTCCAGCTGGCCAGAAGATGAATAGTTGTCTGCCACATCTATTCCTCTCCGCCCCCCTGCCTTTTATCCCCAGAGCTAGGGTGGGGCTTCGCTAGCAGCCATGGCTCTTCCTTCCCAAGGATCGGCCCATGGATTTCCACTGCTCTCCTCTCCTCTGCCTTCTGCGCATTCACGCGTCAGGCACTGGACCCAGCTGTTCCTCCTCTTCCTCATCAGCCACCTCCAGACCTGGGGGCCATTTGAGGGCTGTCCGTCAGAGGCTCTGCCTCTCTCTCTCTCTGCCAGCTCCATTCCCTCTTCCCCCTCAGAGCTCTCAGGTTGCCTTGATGCTGACCCTGACTCCCACGGGTGTTAGCATTTTTTAGGGATCACTGGGATGGAGCCAAAAGCAGCTCAGGAAGAGCTGCTTTATTTAGGCAACCTCTTTGCTGATGGTGGGGAGGAATAGATCAAGCATAAGGCAAATGTACTGATTAACGGTGAACATGTAGATGAGAGAGAGAGAGAGATGCTGCAGTGGTCATAGATGTGGCCATCAGTCAGAGTTACGTTTCATCACCTTCGTAATTGCAAATAATCCTTGTCCAAGATAGTCGCTAAGCGAGGGTTACCTGTAATGGCATGCAGGGCTACAAAAATTGTTCAACTCCTTATTAAAACAAAAGACCCTGATTTGCTTTCTTTCTCCATCCTTTCAAACCATTTCTGAAGTTACTGACTGAAGCCAGCTATTGGAATTTCCACTGATAAGCTGATTCAAACATTTCTGCATTTCTGTATTTTAGAATCGGCAGTCTGAGCCCAGAAGATGATCAGGGGTTGTGGAAGCAGAGGTAAATAGTCTTGAAAAGATAACTTATTTTGTGTCTGGTGTCAGCAGGGTTCCAAGTAATAATCCCCATAGCAAGCAAAACTCAGAGGCAGATGAATTCCTCAAAGAATAGCTTTATTGGAAATACCGTATTGGCACAGATCTGGTGAAAACCGACTCCAAAGACTCCCATGGTTTTCACCTAATTAAAAGCAAAAGTTTTTTCTCAAAACAATCAGTCACATGATCTAATCACGGTGTGGTCTGATAACCGGGTAGCATCACCCTGCCTTCCTCCGACCAGGTGTGAGAATGTCCTTGGTTCCCAAGAGAAAGTATTTTGTTTTGGCTACAGAATCCCAACTATCTCAAATATATCCCCCTCCCCCACTTCCTATCCCTCGGCTCCAGTGTGGCAACACTGAAGCGGTAAAATGGCTTCGGTCAGTTCAGCTTCAGGGTTGACATCTGGATTGGAAGCTATTTGTCGTTTCTTTCCCTTTATGAAGTGTTCGATGTCAGCAAATGAAAAAATGTGGTTATCAGAAATGGCGAAAACAGAATTGCCTTGTTATCGCCCTTAATTTTAACGGGCTGATTGAGAGCATAGCACTAGAGAAGAGAAAGTTAAACTTTTGTCACCTGTATTAACTTTTAAAAAGATTTCACTGACACCACTGGAGGCTTTTTGAAAATCCTAATTGCTGTGTAAAAGGCTGGGGATCTTTTTTTTTTAGGGAGGGCACAAATAGCATTGCATTAAACCAGGGGTCTCCAATCTTGGCAACTTGAAGACTGGGAATTCTGGGAGTTGAAGTCCACAAGTCTTCAAATTGCCAAAATTGGAGACCCCTGCATTAAACAGTAGGATGTGCTTCAAATGTTCCTAGAGTGACAGTTCAGCGTTAAAAAGAATTAGGAATGATGGAAATTTGTTTTTAATTTGAGAGAAAAGCTGAGAGGACAGATTGGGCCTGCTGCAGGGGAATCCTAGCCTCAGCTTTAAGTTTATAATATTTATAGATATATAATGAATTTATATTATGTAATACTGCTTGCTATTAGGGATAAATGTGGCAATATAACCATATGTCACACAATTTTCTTAATGTTTCTTTGCAGCCATAAATCCTCTTCAGCTATTCAGAATGAAACTCCAAAGAAAAAGCCCAAAATGGAAACCAAGCCATCTAACGGAGACAGGTAAAAATACATATATATATATACATATATATATACATACATATACATATAGATATACATATACATATACATGTGTTTTTCTTCTAGCCAGGTTTTCCCTACGTAGCCAAGGTTTTTTTGTAGCTCCAGCTCAGTAGAATCACATCTACTTGGTTCTGGGCTTTTTTCCTTGCTAGGTGTTAGAAAGGAAAAAAGCCCAGAACCGAGTAGATGTGATTCTACTGAGCTGGAGCTACAAAAAAACCTTGGCTACATAGGGAAAACCTGGCTAGAAGAAAAACACACATAAACCCTACGAAGAAGTAAGAAAATTGATACATATACATATACATACATACATCATACATACATACATACATACATACATACATACATACATATATATATATATATATATATATATATATATATATATATATATTCTGTTCTGTTGAATAAAACAATGTACGAACAAGTGGAGCTCATACTTTCCCTGTTTGTTTGTTTTTTAAATTTCAACATGAATATTATTCCAATTGTTGATCATGAGAGATTTCTACAACAGTAGCCTAAATCTTTGTTGAAAAATTCTGCTACCAGCAGTTCCTGGGATAAGTGAACTGAAATTAAATTGGAAATCAATATAACGCAGTAATATAATATAATGCAATATAATGATCCTTGTGAATCCATTTTATTCTAAATACGGCTAGTCTTTGACTTACGACCCTAATTGAACCCACATTTACAGTCATTTAATGAGTGATCACATGGCTGCGCCCAATTTTTATGAGTTTTTTGTGGCAGTCATTAACCAAATCCATGGTTTGCTAACTGGCTCACCAGTTAGTGAATGCTGGGTTTCTGGCACAAACATAATTTCTGGTCATGTGACTGGGGGATGCTGCAAGTGGTTGTCAGTGAGCTGATTTGCCAAGTGTGCAAAATACGGTCATGTGACTATGGGGCTTCCAGAACTTCCAATACTGGTCATAAGTACCTTTTACGGGGTCTATCCTAACTTTGAAAATCTGTAGAGATTCTCAGTCATCCAGGTCATGGTTGTCCCAAAGGTGCTTTTTCAGGAGGCAGCTGGACTTTCTTGTTTTTTGTTTTGAAGACATTTTGCTCCCATACTATTCAAAGGGTGTTCATATGGTGTCTATACAATTTGGGATGAACACCCTTTGAATGGTGTGGGAGTAAGAATGGATTTCCAGAGGAAAAATTGCAGACTACAGGAACCAGGAGCACCACTCAGGTGACCCTGAGGACACAGATAAACCTCCAAGTGCTTCACAGACCCTCTGAAAGGATGCAGATGACCAGCTGTCTGCAAGGAATAAAAATCCTTCCGTTCCCCACCATCCAGAAAGAGCTGAAGAAGCTTCTTGGATGAGAAGCGAAACGTCTTCAAAACAAAAAACAAAAGATCCAGTTGCCTCCTGAAAAAGCATCTTTGGAACCTAACTTTGAAGAGTTGTTAAGTGACTGGTTATAAGTTATCTGTACATCATATGTGAAAAAATGAATCTCTTAGTTAACTCTTGTTCGTATATAAAAAAACGACTGCTTCATTAAGCAAGTTTCTGATCCTTTGGAAGTCGATACCCAAAGATAGGTGGTCTTTTTTGAAACCTGTCAATTGCCAGAAACAAAGGATGGATAAAAATCTGCTGGCAAGGGAAGAGATTACATGCAATGCATATATATCACAGGTAGTGCTCGACTTTTGACCACAATTGAGCCCAAAATTTCTGCTGCTAAGCAAGGCAGGTATTAAGTGAGACATGCCCCATTTTATGACCTTTTGGCCAGGGTTGTTAAGCAAATCACACTAGTTGTTACGTGTTTGTTAAGAGAATCTGGCTTTCCTCTGTTGGCTTGTCAGAAGCTCCCTAGAAAGATTGTAGAGGATAATCCCAGCACCCCAGGACAGAGGTCCCCAAACTTGGCAGCTTTAAGACTTGTGGACTTCAGGTCTTCAATTCTGGGAGTTGAAGTCCACAAGTCTTAAAGCTGCCAAGTTTGGGGACCCTTGCCCCATGATATTGCAACCATTATAAATATATGGCAGTTGCCAAGCCCCCAAAATTTGATCAGATAACTCTGGGAATGTAGCAATGGTCATAAGTATGAGAAGTGGTCACAAGTGACCTATATTTTTCAGTGCTGTTGTAACTTTGAATGGTCATTAAACGAGTGGTTATACATCAAGAATGACCTGTATTAAGCAGATAAACATACATATTTGGGATGCACTTTGTTCCTGCCCTTAGTTACATTTGATGGTCTTTATTTTTACAGTAGCTCTATAAATCAGTCAGCAGACAGCGGCGGCACCGACAACTTTGTTCTAATAAGTCAATTGAAAGAAGAAGTGATGTCACTGAAACGTCTCTTGCAACAAAGAGATCAGACTATACTGGAGAAGGATAAAAAGGTGAATGGTTTAGTCATTTCATTAGGTACTTTAGAGGTGTTCCATTTGTATCTAAGAGTCGTGTTTGTCAAATATTTAAAATTGCAACTAAACCTCCAGACCCTCCCTCGGTGGGCTTCCGAAAGCCCACAGATAATCGTTGCGTGCGGACATTACTCAGAAAACACTCTGTAGTTTAAGTAGTTAAAGACAATTTATGTAAATTAATGTCATCTGAATCAATTTATGTAATTATTCAAATGGTGCAAATAGTCTGAGTTGCCTGCAAGAAAATCTATAAATAAGGCTGCACATTAAAACACGGAGAGTGGTTTTGAATGTTGTCCTGAAAATTACCGTATTTTTCAGACTATAAGACGCACATTAGCTTTAGAGGAAGAAAATGGGGGGGGGGAATCTGCCTCCGCCGCCCAGTCACCACAGCCCGGTTGCCACCACCCCTTCACTGCGAATGGGTGGCGGCGATAGGCAGCGGCAATCCCCGCCGCCTAGAACAACTGATGGGCACAGCACCAACCCCTCTTCCCCGCTGCAATATTCGATGTATAAGACGCACAGACATTTCCATCCACTTTTGGGGGGGAGGGAAGTGCATCTTATAACCTGAAAAATACGGTACTTTAATATACAGTTTTTCATCTTGGAAAAGAGCTTTACCCCTTTACCACATAACGTATCCAGAGTAAGTACTGTAATACTTCTAGTTTCTTTAAATTTAGAAAGATAAAGTGTTAATATTCCTCAAGTTTCTGATTCCTCAATAATGTATTAAATTAAATCTGTTGCATAAATCAATAGGGTACAAGACATTTCTCGGAAAAATAATCACTGCTTTAGCCAGCAATACTAGCTAAAGCAAATATACAATATATGGCATGGGATGCTTCTAATGCCAAGAAAAACAGTTCACCAAACATTTTCAACAGGAGTGTTATATCAGAAAGGAAGTGAGGGGTAATTTCCTATCTTCCATCAAACTTTTGGGAACCAAGAATCTTCTTTTTGGAAAAGAAATAGGATTCAGAGGGAAGATGCCCTAAATTAGTAATCAACTGTGTAAATGACAAATGTACTGGATAAATTCAGGAAAAATTTTGTATGGATCTTAAAAGGATGACAGTTTAGCTTGGAAGCACTAAAAAGCCTGAAATATTTTAGAAATTAGGCCAAAGAGCCTCATTAGAAAGTTTAAGCAGTTAGGATAATATTGGTTCTGTAATTTTATAGTAGTCCTCTTTTTTTTCTTTTCTTTTTTTGTTCATGACTTCAAATGTATACCTACCACTTCATGATAGCTCAGACTTTTATAACAATATTAAATTTTCAGGCAAATAAGAAAAAGGCCTGTATTTTTTTTTAAAAAAAACCAATTTTTGTATCTTAAAACAATTTAAATTACAGGGTATTTTGGTTATAATTAAGAAAACACAGACAAAACTCTAAATCACTGTATTGGATAGTTATTTGTAAAATACAATTTTACAGATAAACTCAGCATTCTTTATATATACAGATAAATTACTTAATGCTGCATGATGTTCTCTTTTCTAGCCTTTAAAGCTAGAAACCCAAGAAAATTGGGTTCTTTATCTTTAAACATTTATCCAGTCAGGAAATGCATGTTGTTGATATTTGAGAGTGAGAGTGAGAGTATTGAAGTAACCACAGACAATATTTTTAAAGAGATAATTCAATTCTTTTTCTCAGCTGACTGAGCTGAAGGCGGACTTTCAATACCAAGAGTCAAATCTAAGAACTAAGATGAACAGTATGGAAAGAGCTCATAAGGAAACTGTAGAACAATTACAGGTAAATTATATTAATTTCACAGGCAATCAATAACACCTCAGAACATCAGTGAATGAGAGCCAAAAGGCCTAAATTTTGAACCCAGTACTGCTCCATTTCGTTGTACTACCCAAAAATCAGGATGAGTCAGGTAGCACCTTTCCTGATTTCGTAAATGTTATTTTTTTTTAAAAAAAAAGTTGGCATATGATGAGGTGAGCTATAGTTCACAAAAGCTTGTGCCTTTTGATTAAATGATTTTATAATCATTCAATGATATTGATTAATAGTAATATGTAAATAATGAAGTGTGTTAATCTGAAAAGATACTACGGTAGCTGCCTGGGGTAGAGGATATCAAGAAGAATGTGATGAATTGATAGTTTCTTTATTGCTGTTCTCCTTCAGACAGATCTTGCCAGACTAAAGCACACTCTGCATTACTATTATATAAATGCTGTGAAGATTTAGGGAAGATCTTTCCTGGGCCTCTTCCTGCATATCAATGACTCAGTGTTGATTTGTCTCCAGTGTAGTACCACAGACTGGATGAACCAGCCTACTGTGTTGGGTTCTCCATCTCTTGATATAGTGTATTTCCACCCCCCCACCCTGAAATTAGGATTTATATAAACCAGGGGTGTCAAACTCAAGGCCCAGGGGCCGGATCTGGCCCGTGGGATGCTTAGATCTGGAAACAGTGAAGGACTGGCCCACGGTGCCTCTGCGAGCGAAAACTGAGCTTCTGAGGGCTGTGTGTGCCCCTTCTGAGCTCCGTTTTCGCTGGCAGAGGGTTGCAGGAGGCCGTCGGAGCCGAAAACAGCTTGGGAGCCCGTTTTCGCTGGCAGAGTGCTCGGGCTACCAGAGGCGCCCCCGACACGAGTGACATCGAGCTGGCCGTAGGACATCCCCCCCCCCCGAGGTCAAACACAATCCTGATGCGGCCCTCTATGAAATCGAGTTTGATACCCCTATTATAAACAGAGTATTTAACTGCACTGATATTTGTGCAGCCTTTGTAATAATGATGTTAAATTGCAACCAAAGACATCTTTTTTTAAAAAAAAAAAAAAATCTTCACGTAGCAATGTAGAATAATGCAGATTCCTGCAAGATAAAGTCGCTCGGATTCGGGAAGGCTTGGACTCCGATTGGATGAGTCCAGGGGAGGAGATGAGGGTAGGTCTTGAGAATATTATCTGGGAGGAGTTTGATCCTGTGGCTCCCGAAGATATGGACAGGGTTCTGGGTAAGATTAGTGCTGCCACGTGTTTATTGGACCCGTGTCCCTCCTGGTTGGTACTGGCCTCTCGGGAAGTTACACGAGGCTGGCTCCAGGGGATTATAAGTGCTTCTCTGAGTGAGGGTGCCTTTCCCGCCGCCATGGTGAGGCCCCTCCTCTAGAAGCCTTCCCTGGACCCGGCTGAATTAGCTAACTACCATCAGGTCTCCAACCTTCGTTTTGTGGCGAAGGTTGTTGAGAGCGTGGTGGCACGACAGCTTCCCCGACACTTGGATGAAGCTATCTATCTGGACCCGTACCAGTCAGGCTTCAGGCAGGGGTACAGCACAGAAGCGGCATTGGTCGCGTTGGTGGATGATCTCTGGAGGGCTTGGGACAGGGGTTGCTCCTCTGTCCTGGTCCTATTAGATCTCTCAGCAGCTTTTGATACCATCGACCATGGTATCATGCTGCAGCGATTGAGGGGGTTAGGAATAGGGGGCACCGTTCTGCGGTGGTTCTCCTCCTTCCTCTCTGACCGCTCGCAGTTCGTGTTGGCAGGGGGGCAGAGGTCGACCTCGAGGCATCTCGCATGGGGAGTGCCACAAGGGTCGGTCCTCTCGCCCCTTCTGTTCAACATTTATGTGAAGCCGCTGGGTGAGATCATCCGTGGTTTTGGGGTGAAGAGTCCATCAGTACACTGATGACACTCAGCTGTACATCTCCACCCCAGACCACCCCAACGATGCCCTTGACGTGATGTCTCGCTGCCTGGAGGCCGTGCGGATCTGGATGGGGAGAAATAGGCTCAGACTCAACCCTTCCAAGACCGAGTGGCTGTGGCTTCCGGCATCCCGATATAGTCAGCTGGTGCCATCACTGACTATTGGGGGTCAATCGCTGCCCCCCACAGAGAGGGCTCGCAATCTGGGTGTCCTCCTGGACGCACGGCTGTCTTTTGAAGAGCATATGACGGCCGTGGCCAGGGGGGCTTTTTATCAGGTTCACCTGATTCGCCAGTTGCAGCCCTTTCTGGACCGGGACACCTTGCGCACGGTCACTCATGCCCTTGTCACCTCCCGGCTGGACTATTGTAATGCTCTCTACATGGGGCTCCCCTTGAAGAGCACTCGGAGGCTCCAACTGGTCCAGAATGCGGCCGCGCGGTTGGTTATGGGCACAACCCGACCTTAGGGTATTTCGCTGTGCCCTTAAGACCCTGCTGTTCCGCCAGGCCGGGCTATCAATGTAATGATTTTAAATTGGATGTTTTAAATTTTGGGGGGTTTTAATATTGAGCTGAAATTATTTAATAATTTTAAATTATTTTAATTGTTGTTTGTCTTTGTGCTTTTAATAGGCTGTACACCGCCCTGAGCCTTCGGGAGAAGGGCGGTATAGAAATAAAATTATGATTATGATTATGATTATTGTTGTTGTTGTTCTACAAAATAACCAGGAGCACCGGCTGTTTTGGTTTTTTTGTAGGCGAAGAACCGAGAGCTTCTCAAACAAGTTGCAGCATTGTCAAAGGGCAAGAAGTTTGACAAAAGCGGGAATATGCTGACATCACCATAAGAAGATGGTGGCAGTTTGCGTAGCTATTAATCTCGGAAACATAAATCAACTCCGGGGAAAACTGCATAGAAACAAACCTTTTGGCGTGCAGAGTTGGTGGCATAGTTCCTATATACCTTTTTCTAACTGAATAATGTTACGGAGGTTTGTTTTTGCTTTCCTTCCTCCCTCCCCCCCCCCACTCGCAAATTAAGATTATTAAAGTACTTCAACAGGTTTGAAGAAGGCACGCATATCTATATAATGTATACGTGCAGCCATACAAAAGGAGGCAGCTGGCCAGTCCCTGGTGATCAGTAAGCGTGCTGTCCCTGGTCATCGCATCATGCAATAACATACACACACACACACACACACACACACACACACACACACACACACATTAAAGGCAGCCCTTCAAGAGGGCAGCTCCCCAAAGTGCTCCTGTTGTGCAGACTGATTGCATTCGGTTGGACTTTAGCAGGTTATCCGGACAAGAGCAGAAACTTGTCTAGGCGCTGGACGAAGGCATCCAAGGACAACTTTCAATCTGATCTACATTCCAGCAGCAGCAGCTAATTTGAAAACTGAGCAAGAGCACTGGAGACTTTTGACCAACCCTTCTTGGTCTTTCAGTCCAAATAAGAGTGCATTGAGTTTTAAAATCATGGTGCTTTTATTACAAGAAGCTTAAACCTTATAAATAAATGTACAAGATTTTAACACTTCTATTCTTAGTAATAACTGGGTGTTTTGCATTTCCTGTTATAGAAAATGAAAGAGATTCTCTATTGTAAGTACCGGAACAAAATGTTGTTTTTTCTTTTCCCTTTTTCTGAAAATACGCTGTAGACTTCCTCCTGCAAGTGCCTTTTCTCCCAACGGTTTATTTATAGGAATGTTGGTATTTGTATATACTTTTCTTTTTCTTTTAACCATGTTTCAGCGTCCCCCTGTATGTATATATTTATAAGTGTATATACAGAAGGATCAAATGCTAAGATCAAATGGTTAGAATGATAGGGAAGGTGCTAAGTCCTAGCAGGCAATGAATTGGGGCTTGTAGATACTGTAGCAGATGTGTCTGGGTAGACAGTATCTGTCTTAACTCTTGCTGTGCCCTAACTTAATGGAGGGAGGGGCTTTTAAACTGTAGGACTTCTATGAATAGATGAATTGTTTTATCTCAGTGCTGATTTGCATTGTAATTCTCAGTGATCTGTTCTCAATTGAATGAGGTGGGGGGGGGCAATATTTGAGCTAATGTTAACTCTCCAGGTGTTTCTTTTTAACAACATTGTATTGAAATTTAATGCAGTTTCTGAACAGTTCTGGAAACATGGCTCGTTATTTCTACATAGTGAGGAGTTCTGTGGCCAATAATTGGGAGCCGAAAGAAATGAACCCTGAAGAAACCTGAATGCCTAACACTGAGATTTAAAAAAAAAAAAAAAAAGAACAACCAGCTCTGTAGTCATAGAACAGGGGTCTCCAAACTTGGCAACTTTAAGACTTGGCAACTTTAAGCTTTGCTGGCTGAGGAATCCTGGGAGTTGAAGTCCACAAGTCTTGAAAGTTGCCAAGTTTGGTGACCCCTGTCATAGAACCATACTGGCCCCATAACCATGGCCCAGTCTTTGCAGTCACGGGACAGTAATGCAGGCTGAAGCACCGTTTGCACTAGAGGGCTAAGGTGAGACTGAACTGCAACATTTCTTTTTCCAGCTATTAATTATAATCAGAGATGCCATAAATCTCCCCAGCAGCATTTTTGGGGGAGAGCCTGGGATTCTGTGGAGGTAGATCAGTAACCATAGAGACCACCATTACTTAACGTCAGTTGTATACATATCCGTAAGGAGTTTGTTGAGTGTGTCCTGCGGGCGCTCTCAATTTCTTCAGGGCAAAGACCCCCTTAGCATTGCACAAGTTAGTGCAATGCACCTGGAATGTGTCTCCAAATTTTGTATAATGCACAGAAGTTTCTAGCACAGTGTCCTTCAGACTTGGCGACTTTGAGAGACGTAGACCAGCATGCTGTCTGGGAAATTCCCTGGGCTTTGAAGCCTACACATCTTAAAAGTCGCCAGATTTGAAAAAAAGATTGCTCCAGCAGATAAGCAAGAAGTGACTCTTGAAATAAGTAAGTTGGAAATCATGATTTGGATACGTAAAGCTTAAAAACAGAAACCAATACTTCAATATTTTTAGGAGAATGAAGTAAGGCAGGGACCCCTCCCCCCCCCAACTTTTTGGGTGCCAGGAACCGGTACTGTGGAGGGCAATTTTTCCCTCAGACTGGGGGGTGGGGGGCGGGAGGGGGCTGGATTCTGTCTGCGCGCAGATGGGGCTTCGCTCCTTTCCGCGCTCCGATTCTTGGCGGGCTATGAACCGGTACAGGTCCGCAGACCAGGGGGTTTGAGAACCCTGGATCTAAGTCATTAAAAGTTCATCGCCATTCCAGAAAATAGTTTCATTAACCTAAAATTTATTAATCTAAACCTGTTTCTATTAAATGGAAAAAATCCAGTTGATAAAGGGGTGCTCAATTTATTATCACAGGAATTGCACTTCAGCTAGCCTTCGTGTTTTGGGGCCTCCAGCTACCGGTTTTGGGAGGGTTTGTTCCCAAGAGACTACTGAATAATTGTAATTTGAACAAAAGGAAGAAAAAAAAAGCTGCTTTCTACAATATTGAGAATTTTTTTATTTTTTGTATACTAAAGATGAACTTTGTAAATTTATAAATACTATTTGCGGAGATTACATGATTATATAGATAGGGTAGAATATTCTTTTGCTATCCTGTTGAACTGCTTTATCATTCAGACTTTTTTTTTAAATTGCTGACTTCCATTTCAGAGTATTTTGATACTTTTTCTGATTGAATGACTGCCTGTCATTGGTGGACTTGTTTAAAAAGAAACTGGTCAAAACTTTTCACAAGAAACGTAATGACTTTCTGATCAAGGCATTGTCACTGAAACCTGTTTATGCTGCAATAGGAACATTATATATAGAGGAAGAAAACCAACAGTCTGGTTTTTAAATACCAGAGCTGTGGAATATCCCATTTCAAAACATTTACAAGAGTTTTACTATGTCTAAAGAGAAAATATTTATTTTTAATTGTAGTGTTTCAAAGGCTGAAGATTGGGGTGGCTTGATGTTATGTAGACTCAAGATGACACACTATGATTTTTGCATTTAAATCAATTCTTTTTTAAATAATTGGCATCAAGCAAGAAAAAAAAAACCCTTGAGCTTGAATTATTTATATACATTTAGCCTGTAAATAATTGCATTTTTTTTTTTTTTTAGTTAGAATGTCTATCTCCATTTTGAGGTGAAGCTTTTCATCTTACTTACATTTGTATATTGTGTTGAAATTCTGTACTGGCACACATTTGACATTTTTGTACTTTTTCTAAATCCAATATTTCACAATAAAAGCTTCTTAAAACAGCAGTATGCTTGTCTATCAGTAACTGCCTATTGGGTTCCAGGATTGGGCAAAGGGATAATTAAAATCTGCGGGTTTGACCAGCCTTTCCCAAAGTGATGCCTCTATAAATCTTATCCTTTCTAGCCAGCATCTTTACTGTTCTATAGTTTGTGTGTTTTACAGATTGCCTGTAATGAATAAACATTTAAAATAATAAATGAGATTTGAAGTTATGATTTCAAGCTGTTCCTAGTATTCTGTTTAGTTCAGTGGTTTTCAACCGTGGGAAATTTGGGAACTTGAAGTTGTGGGGACTTCAATTCCCAGAATTCTCCAGCCAGCATGCTGGCTAGAGCATTCTGGGAATTGAAGTCCACACACCTTAACATCCCCAAGGTTGAAAAACACTAGTTTATTTTATCACATTCTGGAAGTCAACTGCAAAAAATGTGTAATGATTTTTGTATATAAGCTGAGTTCACATAGATGGAAGGTACCATTCAGCCGTTACTTATTCCTGTGCTCAGGAATTTAATTTAAAACCATTTACAACAGATGGCTACCTAGTTTTTGTAAGAACACATCCAAAGAAGAGGAACACTCATTGGGGTAATAGGTTCCACCACTAATTGTTCTTACTGCTGGGATTTTTTTATAATATTCAACCATTCAATCGCTTTGCCTATATAACTTAAAATCCATTGTTCAATGTCAGGCCCTCTAGAGCAAGGGTGTCAAACTGGATTTCTTGGAGGGCCGGATCAGCATTGTAGTTCTCCACGGGCCGGCTGGGGGGGGTGGGGGAGAGATGGGATGGACGTCTCCTGCAGGACCCTGCCGGCCGAAATGGGATGCAGAGTGCTGCAGGAAGCAGTCCAGGGCAAAAATGGGGCACGGGAGCTGCACACAGCCCCCGGTGCCCCATTTTGGCCAGCACAGTGCTGCAGGAGGCCATGGAGGCTGAAAACAGGCTGCAAGGGGGGGCGTATGTGGGGGGCCCTTGAGGCCCATTTTGGCCTGCAGAGGCACCTTGGGCCAGTCCTTAGCTATTTTCAGGCTGGCCCCACGGCCAGATTTAAGCACCCCACACGCCACATCCAGCCCACAGGCCTTGAGTTTGATACCCCTGCTCTAGAGCAATAGCATTTTTCCCATAGCATCCTTTCTATTATATCATGCTTAGACTTCTTAACCAATTTTCTTAGGACTTAGAATTTAGTTTTCTAATTGTCCTGCCCTGTTCCTTTTCATTTTACTTGATTTGAACATTTGAAAGTGTAACAAAGAAAAAACAGTACAAAAAAGATTTGCAGAGCTATATAAAATTCGATAAGAACGTTCAAAATAGCATTAGATTTGGCTTGCATATCAAATGATCTTGCATCAAAGGAATAATTTAAAATCTGATGTTAAAATCAAATCAATATTCAATGATTAACAAGGCAGCCAATATTATAAAAATAATCAGAACATACAATTCATAGGATGTATCTATTCTGAGAAAATCTATCCATACCACAAATCCAGAAGATCTAATGTTAAGACAAAAGTCAAACTTTGATTCCAGTACAAATTCATGTGCAAAGTTATAGACTATAATTGGTTTAGAAATTCATTATAGGACCTGGATTTAAAGATTTTGACCGAGATGCATCATTTGTGTTGTTTCTGGTAAACATTCTAGCAACTCTTGTCATGTTCAGACCAGTGGTGAAATGTAAAATTTGTTACTACCGGTTCTGTGGGCATGGCTTGGGGGGGGTAGTAATGTGACTGGGTGGGCTTGGCCAACTTTTTTTTTTTTTAACTTTTAAAAGCATTTTTTCTACAACCTCTTTGGCCAAAGAGGTTGTTAAAAAAAATGCTTTTAAAAGCCTCTGACGATCCCAGCAGAGTTGCCTGATCGTCAGAGGCTTTTGTTTTCTTTTAAAAGCTGGTTGTTGTTTTTTTGCTTCGGCCAAAGAAAAAATGCTTTTAAAAGTAAAAAAAAAAAAAAGTCTCTGATGATCGCATGGCTCAGCTGGGCATGGGGAGGTGGGCAGGGATTTTTGCTACCGGTTCTCCGAACCACTCGCTGTCATCGCTACCGGATCGGGTGATCCAGTCCAAACCGGGAACATTTCACCCCTGGTTCAGGCCCAATTCTATCATGGAGTCCTTAATGCTCTCTGAGCTTGGTTGTTTGCTTGAAGATGTTTTATTACCTGACTTAGATACAATCAGTACTGGTAGGTGTGGTTTTCATATTACAGTAGCTGCTTCTATTACAACAGCTTGCCCTGCCAGTTTCGATGGGGCTGTGGTTTTCTCCTTGGTAATTCCTTGATTAAAATATTGTTTTCTGCTTGGTTGTTTGTCTGGTGTTCATCCCTGCTTGTCTGAGAGTAGGCTGCACAAGAGAATACATTCTGGTCTTTTTGTTTCCTTCTTGACTTTTTTATTGTCTCTTGAACAGTAAATGCAGTTTATCTCTGTGTGTGTGCATTGATGACTGATGTGACTAAGTGCCAAGCTTCGAGGAATTCTCTTGTCATTTTTGGATTTAGCTTGGTCTAGGAGCTACGAAGGAGAAAAACACACCCATTAGTACTGATGATGTTACCTAGTTGGGTAATAAAACATCTGCAAGCAAACAAACTCAGACAGCACCAAAGATTACAAAGTTGAACCCTGAGCTACAAATATTCTCTTCTGTTGGAAACTCTATATTCTTTATAGAAATAAAAGACTTAGAAAAGTTAGTATTTAAAATTTGTTTCTTTCTAGAATGAATTGTCTTACAAAGTTATTGAACTTTATGGCATTGGCGTTAAATATGAAAAAGATATGCATTTCCACCCATTTTTAAAATATGAATGACCTATTTTAACGATTAAAACAAAAAATATACAGATGTGCCATAGCATAGCATAGCATAGCATAGGATAGCATAGCATAGCATAGCATAGCACAGCACAGCACAGCACAGCACAGCACAGCACAGCACAGCACAGCACAGCACAGCACAACACAGAACAGAACAGAACAGAACAGAATTCTTTATTGGCCAAGTGTGATTGGACACACAAGGAATTTGTCTTTGGTGCATATGCTCTAAGTGTACATAAGGAGAATAAAATACATTTATCAAGAATCATAAGGTACAACACTTAATGATAGTCATAGGGTACAAATAAGCAATCAAATCATACTAGGAAACAATATAAATCGTAAGAATACAAGCAACAAAATTACAGTCATACGGTCATAAGTGGGAGGAGATGGGTGATAGGAACAATGAGAAGACTAATAGTAATAGAAATGCAGACTTAGTGAATAGTTTGACAGTGTTGAGGGAATTATTTGTTTAGCAGAGTGATGGCGTTTGGGAAAAAACTGTTCTTGTGTCTATTTGTTCTGGTGTGCAGTGCTCTATAGCGTCGTTTTGAGGGTAGGAGTTGAAACAATTTATGTCCAGGATGCGAGGGGTCTGTATTTTCACAGCCCTCTTTTTGACTCGTGCAGTATACAGGTCCTCAACGGAAGGCAGGTTGGTAGCAATTGTTTTTTCTGCAGTTCTAATTATCCTCTGGAGTCTGTATCTCTCTTGTTGGGTTGCAGAGCAAAACCAGACAATTATAGAGGTGCAGATGACAGATTCAATAATTCCTCTGTAGAACTGGATCAGCAGCTCCTTGGGCTGCTGATATAGTTAACACAAAATAAAGTAGAATCAATTGCTTCCCATGAATTGAGAACTATATTTAATGTTCTCTAAAACTGCATTCACTGTTTTAATAAAAGGGATAAAAATTTTGTTTAAAAACCTCTCAATCTATATCCCTTAAAACCCTTAAAACCTTTAAAATCTTTGTGCCACTTCTCGGGGTTCCAGGACCCATCCTTAAGGTAAGTTTTTGCAAGGCCCACTGGCCACACCCAAGAATGGGGGGAATTTCTCAAGGCGACCAAGTCCGCGGTTGTATAAGTTTGTATAGTCATACTCAAACATAGAGATGGGAATGTCCATGGTAGCGGGGGCTATCAAGATCACAGGTCAGTAGTTCAAGGTCTAAAATCCAAAATCCATCCTAGCAATAGGCAATAAAGTCTGCATTTCCAAACGCCCTTTCACGGCAAAAACAGACGATGGTAATCCTCACTGCCCTCTCACCGCAGCGAGGTTCCTAGGCCAGGTGGACAATCATCCGGGTGGGATCCACAGGTTGTTGATGCTCTCCCACCGCAACACGACTTGATCATGCAATAGGTCCACAGCCGCCCTCTCACGGCAGCGGGCAACCACACCCAGAGAGCCAACCATTATAGGGCTGGAAAAGAAGGGGGCAAGGGCTCTAGATGCCATCACCAGTCCAAGTGGTTGCAGCAGAAGCAGTCCGGGGGTCAAAGCAGTAGAATGGAACATTCAGGCGAGGCCTTCAACCACCTGCGACCCCCTGCTCGGCCCAACTCGCTTGGGCGGTGCAGACAGGCCTCCAAGACACCTTCCCTCCACAGGGGAGCCAGTGATTCCGGATTCGTGCCTCCACCGGCCCCAAAAAACGCTGCAGTCCCATGGCGAGGGGGGGAAGGGGGGAGAAGAACCCCCCCCCCCAGCTGCAGGCAGGTGGAATCTGATCTCGGTGCGCAGCCTTCCTCGTCTCACTCGGCTCGGCCTCTCCTCCACCAAGCCGCATCTGGGACGGGGTGCTCCACTGCCGACCAGCCCTCCACGCTACCAACAAGCCCTCTACGCACACCGCCAACAACTCCTTCACCTTCGGCGGGTGCCAGCTGATTCCAGGGAGGCTGTCGCCGAACGGTCTTCCGGCCATCGCTAGACTCCAATGGAATCGGAGTCCATGGGGAGGGGCTCTACCCCACCGCGCCCCACCGCCGCCACGCCGCAGCACTGCCCAGCTGACTTGGGTGAAGACCGAGTTATATCAGCTATATCCGTGATGGCAAACCTATGGCACGGGTGCCACAGGTGGCACGTGGTGCCATATCGGTGGGCACGCGAGCTCAGCTCCGGCAAGCATGTGTGCGCTGGCCAGTTGATTTTCAGGCCTTCTGGGCCCACCAGAAGTCAAGAAACACGCTGTTTCCAGCCTCCGGAGGGCCTCTAGGAAGGGTGGTGAAGGCTGTTTTTGCCCTCCCCAGGCTCCTAGAAAGGCTCTGGGAGCTCTGGGGAGAGCAAAAAATGGGCCTACTGGGCCCACCGTGCCATCATGTGCCAAAAGCAGAGGGAGCATGA